AGAGGGGATGGAGATAGTCATAAGACTTTGATACACATCTTGAGGTGTTTATTCATTTATTCAGTTAGCGGCATTTGGAGGGGTGACTAAAACTAAATGTGGATGGCTTAAAAAATTTATTAGTTAGGAGAGGAGTGGGAATTTTAGTACAGCAGCATTCCAGTAGGCTAGTCCAAAAGCAAAATTTAAAGCGCAAAATAGACTTTCGAATCACGAAAAAAAAGAAAATTTTATTGCACTAGCCATTAGAAGCACCGCATAGAAAAGCGTGACATTTAGCGATTGTGCAAAGCTGACTCAAAATGGGAACCTTCAAACTAGTAGCAGATCTTTTTGCCAGGTCCTCATGGAATGCACATAAACCCAAATCTATTTTTTTCGCACTTCTCCCCCTCAGTTTTTGTTTATCATCTCTTCGTGATGCCCTCAACCTGTCAATCATTTCTGCGGGCCGTACCTTCATCTAATTGCCTCAAATTTCCAGTCATGCCTAAATCGTAACCCCTTATATCACCCCAAAAGTCCTATCCTAAATTATGGACGACACAACCACCACGTCGTCGAGTTCAAGTTCAGGGCATACCTCACGTGTCCAGAAGTCTCATCACATTCCAATCCGGATTCAAACCCTCGTTCCGGCAAGGCCAGTCCCCACCACAACGCCTTCCATGTCTACGGTACGAATTCAAGGGTTTAAAGTTGACGAAAACCCCAATGATTACGAAAACACGCAAGCAGGGGCTTATCAGAATGTGGGCTCAAAAGAATCCGCTCAACCTACCGACAGTCCCAGGCCAAGTCGAAGTTCAGCAAATCAGGAAATTAGCCGGGATATCAAAGCCGACAAACATGACTATCAGAACGTGGAAGCCACCGAATTCACGGTGCAACGTGTGCCCCGCGCCATCTCCATCCAGCTGAGCCAACCGGACGTGCCGGTGCGGCTGGCCGCCGAAGAGGAGATGGAAATTTTACCCACAACCTCCACACACGCCCCGCCCTCCGTCGCACCTGACGAGAGGGAGAAACAGGAAAAGAAGCCCAACATTTTCCGTGCCTCGTTGGACAAATTGCGGGACAAGAGTCGGAGTCTGACCAAATCCGACTCCAAGGACGGCCACAAATCGCGGATTCCGTTGGCCAAGAGCAAGGAGAAGAAGAGCGTGGACGGCAAGGACGAGATGATTCAGCGGGAAGGTGAGACCTCCAAGAGTTCCAAGTCTAGAGATCAGAAAACCTCGGAGGACAGCGAGAAGTTCCCATTGTTTGAGGAGGATGATACTCGGAGAGATTCCGTCCAAACCGCGTTTAATATAGAATCCGGGAATTTGAGTGATAGCGACGAGAATACAGGCGGTAAGACGTTCCATTCAGTGGAAGTTCATCCGAATCCTGCGGTCTCTACCGAGTTTACGAGTAACTTTACGTTCATTAGCCCACGGAATAATATTCGCTCGGTCTCGCCACGAAACTCGGAGATCAAATTGAATCCGCTGACCTCGCTCGCCATTCGTCAGGTCCCGCCAATCACCGTGAGTCGGGGCGACGACACAGATATAGCCATAAGTGTGCATGAGAATTGTTCCGAGGAAGCGGAGATCTCGACGAGAATCGTGATGGACAAGAATCAAAATATTCGCTCAGCGTCGGATGTGGAGATCGAAGTGAGACGGGAGATAACAACTGATGTTGGCCCTTCAACTACGGCTCATTTGAGAGCTCCGAACAGTCGAAGAGGAAGTGCTGTGAAGGAGGAGGAGAAGCCAAAGAAACAGAAGCCAAAACTGATCAGGCTGGACTTGAACAAGTCGAATCCCGTTCATTATGGCCAAGATAGCGACGATATTATCCATGAATCCCCGAAATATGTGGTCGCTCAGCCTGAAGACTTTGCTTTTGCCCTGGAAAAGAAAACGAGCTCATCGCCAAAGGCTACAAGTCCCGCTGTAGAGCCGGTGCCGGAAGAAGTCATGGTTTTGCGCAACAAAACTACTGATGATATTATTGTGCTCAGAAAGACCGATGGAGATAAGTACGATACCGTCAGTCTAGCATCAAACGATCAGCTGATTCTTCGAGACGCTGACAATGAAGAAGTTATGGTGCTAAAGAGGGAAAAACGAAAGGTTGACGATTCCCTTGAAGTCATCGTGGAGGAAGATCGACCAACTTTGCCAAAGCGAACAAAATCAGCAAGTCCAGCAAGGGATTTTAGAGAATTCAAGAACTCGATCAAAAAGCTGGTCACTCGCTCGGTGAGCCCTCATAAGCACGTGGAAGTGGCTCCGGCGAGTCCAAGTCATCTTGTTCATGAGGAAACTATAAGTCCAAACCAAGAAGTTCCGCCAACTCCAACAAGTGCGCAGTTAACGGCCCCAAGAACCCCGACTTCTCAAGCACCTCCCGAGACGCCAACAACACCAACTTCTCCCTCTGCTCGTGATGAATTCAGTCCTCCAAAATCTCCTTCAATTCGATCGGTGAGCCCGAAGAAAAGCCCGTCGCAGCCAGCGCATCCGGGCCCAAAAGAGAATTACGGCTTTAGCACGGAGCCTTATGTGGGCCCACTTGAAGTAATGACGGCTAGTTCGGAGTTCCCAAAGGATGAGAAGTTCTTTGAAGCAACTACCGTACCTTTGGGGAAGTCCGCAGAAGTCGGACAGGTTGATTTTATCCGCAAAAATCGAAGTGTCTTGCGCTTCGACAGTATGGATAAAGGCGCTGACAGTGGTTTGAAAACGTTGGATGTTAATGTCTACGAAGATGAGAATGAGCTGGTCCTTGAGCGAAGAATTGAAGTTAAATCTGCAACCCCTGAGGAGATTATTGTAAAACAAGAAAAATTGGTGTTAGAAGTGCATAAAGAGCCAGTGGAAGAGAAGCCGAAGAAAAAGATTGATCCGGCTGAAGAAAGGTATGACGAGCTTGACCAACAGTCTGATTCCTCTTATCAACCCGATCCAAATGTCGCCATTAGACTTTCACCCATGAAAGAAGCCTCGGTTGAGCCGGGAAAGCGGTTTATGGACATGTCAATTCGAGTGGAATCTCCTCCACCATTGCCGGAAGAAGAGGTCACTCTTGACGTCCATGAGGAAAGAAAACCAGCCGAAGATCAGGCTGAGGTCCGAGTTTATCGTGAAAGGTATTCCGAAGCCCCGATTCTGCCAATTGGAAGTAGCGCCTCCTTTCCTCATGAGCACAGTGCGACCAAAAACGTTGAGGCGGTTAAACCGGCCGAGTCCGAGCTTCCTAAAGCCGGAAAGGCGGCTGAAGTCGAGGTTCAGAAGCCTTCGACTAGCCAGCAAAGACCTTCATCAATCGAAATTCAGCGCCATTCTGAAGTCCCTCTTCAGATCGACCCCAGATTTGTGGTCAAAGATGGAGATCTTCGCCCGGTTACGGTTGCTGTAAATGAACCGCCAAAAGAGAAGAAGAGACCGTTGATTTCGCCAGTGTCTCCGGAGGAACGTGAGCTTCTTCGAAGCCATAAACCCAACAGCACATCACCCAGACCCAAGGCAATTATTGAAGACGCTCAAAGCCCCTACGAACAGCGGTCTCCTCAATCCAATCAGGGTTCGATTATCTACAACAGAAACCCGAAATTGGACGAGGATCTGAAGCATGAAGAACAGAGACTTGACTCTTTGTCTGATGAAGTTATGAGGCAGGCGCTCGAGTTGAACATGATCGATGCTACTACGCCACGAAGAACGGAATGGAAGGAGACTTCTATCACGAGAAGTCGCAACAGTGGAATGCAAGATAGCGTCAACTCGGCGGAAGTTGTATACTCACCAAAAATTGTAACCATCACCCAAATGGACGAGAGTATTCATGAACAAGTCGGACAAAGAAGCGTCCCACTGGCGACCGAAGAAGAGGACGATCTTTACAATGAGATGCGCAAGGACAACGACAAGTTTGCTCAGCGAGAACAGTACGATATCTCCGTTGATGTCGACAGTAAGCCAATAAATGGCGAAGAGATTACAATCCGCCGTCAAAGGGAGATCCGCGAAATCCCACTGCATATTGCTTCGCCTTTGCAAGGAGAAGGCAAAGAGAATGGATACCCGGCTCCAGTGGATGTGAACGGATTATATCGACCGCCAAGTGAGGCCAGCCGTAGTCGGGCCAGAAGACGGCCTCAATCGCCGATTCTGGCGCCGGCTCCACGAATCGGAGCGCAAAGCCCCGCGCCAAGCCACACAAGCGAGTTCAGCTTCTCGCCAAGGACGCTGACTAGGATCAACAACTTCAATATTGTAATGGAATCAACCCATGATAACGACGACTTGAAGGACACTGTCACAGGTTAAACTTTGAGATTTTTTTGGGTTGGAAGTTTAGAAAGATCTTTTGGGGCGTGATTTTAATGGTTAATGGTAAATACCCTACGTAGACCATAAATCGATTCCGTAGCCTTTTTAACTAGCGACTAGCACGTTAGTCATCAATCACGCATACTAGACACTATGGAAATTGAGGAGAGACGGCCAAAGATAAAGTTTGAAAAAAGATTCTCTAAACTTGTGCCAAATGTCTTAAAAATCTGCAAGCGAAATTTAAGAAATTCTCTTTTTTTATGTTTCTGTCTCTGCATCCACGCAGACGCACTTCCCATAAAAATCCGAGAAAGTCGACGGAGATCTGGCGCTCAATCGCTTGAATTGTTTAATCACACATTTCGGGGAAGAATAAACCGCAAGCGAAAAGACGATCGGTTTCCGTTTGCCCGCAGGGGGTCCGACGAAATAGCAACTCTCGAAGGAGCTGTTGTTGTTGCGCTCTTCGGAACTACCTTTTTCCGTCTTCCGAAAACGGAAAAAGAGAATCCCATTTAATTTGAGCTAAATTCTAGAGGGTTTCCCCCCGAATTTCTGTTTTTTCTTTTTATTACCCTAAGGCAGTTGTGGGAAAGGAGGAGCGAGGGTAATTAGCTGATAAGAGAGAACACTAATTTGCTCCGTTCCTCACTTGCGACGTGGCTGAAAATGCCCAACGATCAGCTGGAGCGGAACCGCGAGCTCCTGGAGAAATGCCAGAATTTGCCGGCCACCGCGAGGTTTCTCATTAAACTACCGAAAAGTAAAAAAATTTTAATTACCTTAGCCACTGTTATACACAAAAAAAATATTTTTAAAAAAATTCAAAACATTTTTAACATAAATTTTAATATTTTATGTTTTCAGATAATGGAGAAGTAATCACACATCACCCAGTTTTCATGCGCGACACCTCAAAGTATTGGTACAAACCAAGTATCAGCAGAGAAGAAGGTAGGCTTATCTTAACACATATAAATACTTTCGTCAGAGGTTCGAATTTTGTGAAACTTGATGTGAATTGAGACTGGAATTATGCAATCTTTACGCTTTACTCTTTCGGCTTTAGCAAAAATAGCAGAAACGACCAAGATTTTTATGTCAAAAGCTGGAAAATTTTTATGCGGTCTTTGTCAATAAAAGCTTTAGGGTCATTTCTACTGTAAATTTTTTTTCAAAATAAGCAAATGCAAATTTTCTGGAAGGTGACATGAATTTTTTTTTGCAAATGCTGTCAATTCCGGCATTACCGAAAATTGGAATTTAAACAAATCTCGCGAAGGAATGGTCCCCAGAGGCCTTGGGATTCGAAGATACCACCTCAATCTTCTGAAAGCCCATGTAAAATTTTGTTTGAATTCCTTGTCAAACCAAAAATCTTGATTAAAAATTCAGCCTCAATTTACACCAAGTTTCACCATCTCCGTTATTCTTTAGACCAGTGAAATGTTTCCCTCTAACCTTTCCATTTCTTCAGCCATAAACATTCTCAAAGACAAGGAGCCCGGAACATTTGTTGTCCGCGACTCCAACTCCTTCCCCGGTGCCTTCGGACTAGCCCTCAAAGTTGCACAGCCTCCAGCGGGCGTTGAGCGTGGAGATGGGACGGAATTGGTGCGGCATTTCCTAATCGAGCCTTCCGCTAAAGGCGTCAAACTGAAGGGATGTAACAATGAGCCGGTCTTCGGGACATTGGCCGCTTTGATTTATCAGCATTCAATCACTGCGCTAGCTCTGCCACAGAAGCTGATTTTGCCAGAATACGATCCGGCGCAGACTCCGGAACATGTGAATGCGAATCAGGCGTTGTTGGACCGAGGGGCAGGTAAGGAAGGATGATTTGAATTTTGAGTTTATTTTGCTGAAGGCGTTTCGAGATGTTTTAAATGATAAGAAATTTTTCTTTTCCTTACTTCATACTCACTTTTCTAGCCTGTAACGTGACTTTCATCTGCTCATTGGACACCGAATCCCTTACCGGCCCCGAAGCCGTTCGTCGAGCGACCAACTACGGTCTCGAACTGCTCGCACGTCGACAACTTTGCGCCGTTCCGGTTCATTTCAAGGTCTCGGCGCAAGGAATCACCCTCACCGACAACACTCGGACCCTCTTCTTCCGACGTCACTACCCCGTCAACTCCGTCACCTTTGCCGGAATCGACCCCGACAGTCGAACCTTCGACAACAACAACACGCAACAACTCCCGACCACGTATGTCCGTCAGGCGCCGGTGTTCGGGTTCGTCGCGCGAAAGACGCCCAACTCGGCGGAGAACACTTGTCACATCTTTGCGGAGCTGGACCCAGAGCAGCCGGCGTCGGCGGTCGTACGGTTCATCACGAATGTCATGATGGTGCAAGCGCGCGCACAACAGGCAGCCATATCTCGGACTACGAATCAGTAAAGTAAAAGTATCTTGATCTGATTGGGATTTTTTTCGATTTTTTGCATTTTCCAAGCCGTATTTTCGCCCAGAGTTCTCTACAACGTAATTTTAAGCAATTTCATTTTGGGAAAATAACAAAAACTTGAAAATTGACTTTTGCAAAATCAAAAAAATCTCCGTCTGCCCATCTGATATCAAGTATAATATAAGTTTTTCATCGTGTTTTCTTTTTCCGATTCCTCAGTCCAAATGTATTCGAAAAGCGATAGTTTTAGCCCAGAAATTCTCGATTTACTCTAGTCGTATTTTACATTTCGATTGTTCTGTACATTTTTGAGCTATTAACGATTCCCATTGGTGCTCTCTCTCTATGTATTTGTTCTGAAAAAAGCGTTGGAGTAATGTTGTTAAATAGCTATTTTATTGTTCGAATCATCCACAGATTGCCTTACAAATGTCTACAGATTTCAGTGTAATATGTTTGGAAATAAATTTTTCTAAATTTTGTGTTTCCATACAGTGCTGGACGACATAAACACTTTAAAAATTGCTGCAACTTTTGGCGGTATAGCACTTTGTTTATATGTCAGTCTGTCGACCAAAACGCCAGCCGCGACTACTCGACGTAAAGCGATGACGTGCGATTCCAAGCCGCGACGATCCGCCGTTATTTTCCCGACAGACTACGGCTGAAAAACCGTCAACTTCGTTCAATTAAAAAATCAATTTTACAATCAAACGATAAACTTTCAATAAAGATGCGCACATATTTTGAATACCGACATGCTGTATCAATTCTTTTCCCCTTATTTACGGAAATACGATAGGGAATTCTGAGCAACGACTGGCGCGGCAGTCCTTCACATACGTCATTTCTTCGTTACGCTTTACGGTAGGTACGTACACAATCGTTTCGCTTTACGGTAGGCACGTACACAATCGTTACGTTTTACGGTAGGCACGTACCTCGTGCGTTAGGAACCCTTGATACACCCCCCCTTTCAGCATTTATTGCATTAGTAAAATCAGCGGGATAAAAATTGAATAGAATCATTGCAGGTGGCTGGGCTGGGCTGGGCTGGGCTGGGCTGGGCTGGGCTGGGCTGGGCTGGGCTGGGCTGGGCTGGCTCATGCGTCCTATAAAAATTTTTGCTTTTATTCAAATATTTTTATAATAAAAATTTTAATTGTATTCAAATTTTTTTTGGGGGGGGGGGAGGTGAGTCAACCCAAAAAGAATTAAAATTCAAAATTACCATTTCACTTTTTCCTGTGTTGGGGTGTCGGTTGATGCTGGTGGGTGGCGTCAGGCTGGTGGTGGTCGATGGCCGGCTGGTGCTGCTGTCTGAAAAAAAAGACCCCCCTCCCACCCGGATTAAAATCCCCTTTAACTTACCCTCTCGTCGTTGATGTTGTCCTGCTCTTCTTTCATCTCATCTTGTGCTTCGACGGACGCTGTAACTGAAAATAAACGCGCGCAAAGATTAAAATTTTAAAAAAAACCCCTATCCAAATCGATCCATTCTTCTTCCCCGCCTCCTCCGTAGACGACATTTTAACGTCGAAGCACGCTGCCGTTGCTTGTCTCCTGAAAATAAAGAAAATTAAAATTGTAAACTCAAAATTTGCGGGCCCATCCCCAGCTCTAGTTTAAGGTCAAGGGTCGGGAAATGAAAACTCGAAGAGTTTCCAAATCCAAGAGTCGAATCAAAAGATTCGCAAGGATTCGAAGAATCCGAAGAGCTGAAAAAATCGAAGAGAAGATCCATCGACGGCCACAATGCTGGAAAATATGCCAAAAGGTCCATTCTTGCGTCGAGACCATCAAAAAGTCGACCAGAATTCTGAAAAAAATCCATCATTACGGCTAAGGGGGCAAAATATAACAAGAAAGGCTACAGAGTAACTTATCTTATTGTTCGTTGTTCCAAATCGTCGACAGAACCCATCGGCATCCGTAATCCTTGAAAAGATGACAAAAAATTTAATTTTTAGGTCAAAGTCATCAAATAATCGGCTAAAAATCTGAAAAAAACCCAATCAAAATGGCAAAAAAATAAACGAATACGACAGAAGTCTACAGAGGCACTTATCTCGCAGTTATCTTCCAAAATTTCCTGTGCAACAATATCGTACTTGGGCCTTTCATCAAACTGCACGGTGCGGAGCGTTCACAAATGCCTGAAAATATAATAAGCTAAATTTGAAAAGGTGGATGGCCATAAAAAAATTGGACCGGTCAAGAGTAACCCAAAAGTAAACATCATCTTTTTAGTACATGAAAAAATCAAAAAATTGTCTGAAAAAGTCACAACTTCAAAGAAAACGAGTAAAACGCAACAACCCGCTTTTTATTGTCTCCTAGTATCACAAAATCTCAAAAATCCCCCAAAAATCACCTGGCCCACTTCCAATGACACAAATCACTTCCTCACAATGACATTATAACACTCTGAATTCACTCTCACATTATTGGCTTTACTTTCAAGATCTCAAACCGCACTGTTCCGTCCATAAACATTCTGAACCACAAATAACCTCAAACATAATCCACTGAGACCTCAAACAATCAAGAAATCGCAAAATCTCATCACAAAAACCAAGGCAAATTCAAGAATGCACCATACGTTCGCACCCAGAGAACGATAACCAACTCAGAATCAGCCAGGACCAGGATACGCACAAACACACACAAAGATTACGCTTAGACACACAAAGATTACTCTCGTCGATTTCAGAAGCCCCACAGATCAGAAGGATGTCATAACAGACCTTACAATCCACTCAAATCACAAAAACCGTTAAATTGTCATCACACACATCCTTCAGAAGCCGACAGTACCAAGAACCAATCAATCCTTTCATCAACATGTCTTATCCTCACACTCGATATCCCACAAGCCAATAATCCACTCAAATTCCTCATCAACAACACCTCAAACCCTCAAAAATCATCCCCATCCACCCACAGGCCCCACAAGTCCCCCCAGTACTATGTCTAATATTATTGGCCAATCCATCCAATTCCATTGAAGATACCACCATCTTCGGCCATCCATCAGCTTCTGTGTCTACCGTCTTCGCCACCGACCGCACGTTGAAAGAACGACCATTTTAACTGTCGATTTTCAGAATTTTTCCGGATGAGAAGCGCTTTTTTTGAGTTTTTTATTCATTCCGTGAATCGGTATCGATTTGATAGAAAATTTTGGAGAAGGCAAGGAATTGACAAATTTTGGATGTAGTTCATTACTTTTTAAAAAACGATTCAGACAATTTTAAGACATGACTTGTCATCAATTATGATATTATTTACTTTATAATTGCTCGATGACATAAATTAATATCTGAGGAACGGTTAATCCGCAAATACACTTTAATATGAAGCCGTACAGTGATGATTAATCACCCATGACTCCTTTTCACCACTCTCCTCTGGCTCTGTATTTTTCATTCCAAATTGGGAGAGTTCTTATTACAGTGAAACACTTGACACACTCGGGAAATTTGGGTCATCTCTCCCTCGTAAAATGTTTTTTTCACGCGGTCTGAAACTTGGAAAACAAAGAAGAACACTCGAAAGTAACGTTGATTGTTAATCTTTCGGTATTTCGCATTTTGACAGCATATTTGTTTTAATCCGTGTGCTCAAAAACTCCTGCGGGCTTAATTTTTTTCTTATCCATAATCGGTTGGAGTTTTTTTAGATAGAAGCAAGTGCGGACGAGCCGACGTTCGTTTTTATCCCCCGGTAAGTCCTCTTCTGTATTTTTGTTGTTGGCTTTTAGATGAAGAGGCGTTTGACGTGCGTGGAGACTACTTCTGAATATGTTATACTAGGTTAGGAAGACCAAAGAATTATTTTTATAGCTGAAGCAGAAGTTTTTTGTTTCCTACGTGGAAAGGTTCGACACGAAATTGAGTGGGATTTCTCCGGCAGGTTTCAAAGGGGTTTCGTAATTTTTATTGAGGTTTTTTGATTAGCTGATATTATACTTGGACTAGGTGGCAAAAAAAAATTTTCATGGTTTCGAGTGTTGATTAATAGCGACAGATGGTATTTTTATTCTCTGAGCAAGCTTTATTCTTTTTCCATTAACTAAAAAACAATTTTTAAAAAAAATATTTTAGTAGGTAATAAGTCATATCAGTTTAGGTACTACTTGTAGTTTTTAATAGTTTACGGCAAGATTTGATGTCATAAAGGTGTAGTCTGACTCTCGCCTGCTGTCTAAGTCAATTTTTCCACGCTTGCATCGTATTTGACCTGCGACACAACTCAATTTATTTTAGCCAAGAACAAAACTTATGGCTATCGATCAGCCACGCCCGAATTTCGGGTGGTCAAAGGGCAGACCTCGTCTGACGTCCGAATCATTCCTCCATTACACGATTCATGCCTCAAATCCCTCATTGCCTCGCCATATCTGCGCAGCACGACGGGTTGATGTTATTGTTCATACCCCCTCAACTTCTGGTATTCAATCGGGTTCAGCGGATTCAAGTAACGAAGAAAGTCGTCAAGACAGTGGTAGGTTGGATGAACGGGTTGCTGACCGTCTTTCGGAGCACATGGATCACGGGGAAGCCAACAATGAACATATTCACCATGAGCCGGGTCAAGTCCAAGATGAAAATATTGCCTTTCCTCCGAATTTGATGCAAAATCCGGCGGCTGATGATGACGAACCAATCCCTCCCGAAGTCTACGACGATAATCTTCGGCGATTTGACGATGTGATCCCCGGTTTCCATCCAGAAGGCCTCCTTTTAGGCTCTGACACTGATGATGATGACGACGATGAATACGATGGTGATGATCTATATCCACCTCATTACGACTACGATCTTCCTGATGTATTTCTACAACAGATTCAACAAGCAGCTATTGATCAATTGGGAGGGAATTTCTTCGGGGACTACGAGGAGGACAGCGATTTCGACACAGAATACAGTTTTTCTGATGGAAGTGCCGAGAGAATGCGATTTTTGAGATGTCTGGTGAGTGGGGTTTGACATCCTGGTGTTGAGGATTAAAACTTTTTGCCTTGAAATCATGTTTATTTACAGTGGATTACCAAGCTTGGGCTCCAGGATACACAGATTAGCTGAATTAAGGTTTCCTTGTCTTTCGAAAGGCTTAATTATGCTGGATTTTGGATTAAAATTAAGGAATATGCCCTTAAGGTTTTCAAAAAAATAACTAAAAGCTTTTGGATCTAAAAAAATTGTATTAATTCACCTTATTCTAGTTCCTTTCCCGTCGAACTCTGGCCGCTGTTCATGAATTATTCCGAGGGATCTGGTTGGTCTGCGACTTCGAAGACAAAATCAGATTCACACAGGAGAAGAATAGAGACGCTTCGGTTCATTTACCCTTCTGCATCACTTGCCGGGATCTAAAACAACTCACCGCAATATTATCCTTGGTCCAACCAGCTCGATTCAGGCTAGGAGGGGAGATGAACATGGATTATGAGACGGGATTTGTTTCCGAGCTATTGAAACACTGCCAAACTGTCTTCGAGTTGGAGGTTTGGTCGACAAATCAGCAGAGGAATGGAAGGAAATTGATTTATGAATTGGGGCCTCAACTAAAAACCCTCAAATGTGACTTGGATTATCTAAGATCCAATGGATTAAGACCGATGAAGCTGGATGAATTGATTGGAGATTTCAAATTACAGTCAGGTAAGGATAAAACAATTATTTTTCGGAATTTTTTGAAATATAATTGAGTTTGATTGTCTATAGTAATGTAAATGATGATTATTTTATTTCCAGGTGTGGTTGACATTGCGGATATCATGAAACACGAGATTAGATGTCTCGATTTGACAAATACTTACTGGACTCATGTGACTTTTGAGTAAGTTCATCATGGATAACATAAATTAATTTTTTTTAAATGTAATTCTGGACATTTTTCTTTTCAGCACCGCATTACCAGCCCCTCAGGACCTCAAAGAGCTGAAAATCAGATACCGACATTGTGATCGGCCCCGAATGAAATCCTTTTTTGAAAATATGAACAAGGTCATCTCCGGGAAATTCAAACTCTTCCTCACGTCGAACGAGTTCCTGTCCCCCGAAAGAAACAGCTCTTTGTATCAGAAGGCGGTCGACAATATGCCACACAAACTCCTTGGCAATATGGTAGAGGTCTTGAAAGAGATTCAGAGTTTCCTCAACGAAAAATTGATTCACATCGAGGTGAAGATCAAGGCCAGGATGAATTGCGCAGGTGTCAGTGAAGTAAGTTCTTAATTTATAACCAAAAATATGGGAAATTAGTTAAGAAGAGTGATGGATTATCTTGAAATAGAGGGAGGTTTGTACAACGGAAGGGAAATTTTGGAAAATGAGCGAAGGTTTGATGTAAACAATGATTTCTTTGGTGAGGACGGAGTTAATGAGCAAAAGACATGATCTTTTGAGGGCCAGAGCCTTCGAAGATGAGCTCGCGAAGGTTTTTGTAGTCCTTGTCTTTCTGAAAGTACGGGTTTACGGTTTTTGTCGATAATAGGATTGGAATAGAGGTCAAGACTAACACTCATCCAAAAAAGGTTGTAAAGGTTCCGAAACGCTCACCTTGGCCCACATTTTGTCGTCCCATTTGGGGAACAGCTTCTTGAAGCCGGGATTTTCCTTCCCTTGATTCAGAATGTCGATCTGTGCCGTCTTGTGTCGAGGGACTTTGTCCGTCTCCAGGTATTTCTTTGCCGTCTGGCTAGCTGCCTCTCTCTCCGCTTTGTTCGCTCCATCCCCGATCCAGACATAGATTGTATTCAAGGCATCCAAAATCATGACGTCATCGGTGTCCAAGTCCTCTTGAGTGAAGTTGGCGACCTCTTCGACAACCAGTTTTCCGGTTTCGTTGGAGACATTATAGAGTTTAGGCTTGTAGTCGGACGATTTTTTGTTCCCAGACCAATCGGCAAACCATTGGGTGAAGATCTGCGGCTCGGCTCCTTCCAAAACACGGATTACTTGGGTGTATTTGTTTCTATTCTGGAAAGAATTAGATAATTAGCGTTTTTTTGTGGAATGAACACTTGCCTTCTGTTTGAGGTACTCTTGACCCCATTGTTGGGCTTTGGATCGCTCGGTTTTGTTGCATTCCTTTCCAATCCAGACGAAGACACCTCCATGGTCGGCATCGAGAATAAACGCGTCCTAAAATTGAGATTTTGAAAGTCTATCAATGTTTTTTTGGGCTCATGACTTTATTGAACTTACATTAGTGTTCAGATCTTTGATGTTAAGACTTCCTTGAGCCAGTTTGGTCACTTTCAAAGTCCCACTGGCATCAGAGACCTTCCAGAGAGTAACTGCAGTCCCTTTTTCTCTCCAATAGTTCTCATCGGCCCCTCCGGCTTGGGCACTCTTCACTCTTGAGGCGTTCTGAGCACCTCCAAAGTGCTTCCAGAACGTCGGACTGTCTTTCCAATCTTGATCCAGCACATGAATCTTCGGCCTTCCGGCTCTCTCCTGGTCTCGAATACTTTTGGCTTGGTTTACTCCTTTCACTCGTTCCAAACGACCAGCTTCTGGAGGCATCCAAACGTAGATGTCTAGTCCAAGATCGAGAAGAAAGACGTCGCCGAGATTCAAAGATTCCAATTTGCAATCGACTTGAGTGCAACGGACATTTCTCTTGCCTTTGCATTGGAATAACTTGGGTTTATAGTTTTGATAGGGATCAACTACGTGGTTGAATCCACTGGAATTTCCTCCTTGCATGTATCTGGAATGGGTTTAAGCCATAAAATTCACGATGCAATAGAAATCTAATATGAGCTTTTGATTTATCTGTCTTACTTGATCCCATCCTTGAAATAGGACAAGAAAAGAGCACTCTCGTGGTCCTGAACCTCTCGATATTGAACAGGTAGTCCACCCAAGGAATCGTCCAGCTCTACAGTCTTGATAGCAGCGGTTCCGGCTTCGTCTTGTGTGGTATCTTTGCCCAGCCAGAAGTGGACGTCCCAGTTGTCATTATTCTTAGTCTATTCTCCCAGTTATGAGTGTTAAGGGGACAGTACTTACATTCAAAATGATGTATGAGTCACCAGAATAGAAATTTCCAAACTGTTCTTTTGGCACGACCTCGAGGTCAAAATCCTGGAATTTAATTTGTAATATGGTTAGTAGTACGATGGATGGATTTGAGGTCGGAAATACTCACTTTGATTCTCCAAATCTCCAATCCGCGCTTCCTTCCCACGTTCTTGAACTTGGGGTCCACAACGACCATTTTTCGAACTTGTCAGTACTCGTTCCAGGAGTGACAGCTTTGACCTCTGCCGTCCGATTTTTAAAAGCCTTCCAGAAAACAGCTGGCTGGGATGTTTCCAACCTCCTTGAAACAAACAAAATCTTTCGCTTCATTACGCCCCGCGAATTTCTAATTGTTACCTGACCTTTGGGCCGTCTTTGTTTGAGCGATCATCTTACCCGGTATACATCATCTTCTTTTTTCTGCACCTTCTCGTGATTAACGCGAAGTTGTGCTTGCTTGATTAATCATAGCCGCCGGGCATGTGCTGATGTCAGATCTGGAAGGGGAGTTCGACTCGGAAATTTATTGGGCCAAAGGCCGGAATGGACACAAAAACAGCTCACAAATAAGTTTTATTGCTAACAGATGCGGTAAACAGAAGACAAGTAAATACGTAATTAGGGAAAATGTATTTTTAAAAAAGTGGGAAAAAGCCCCCATAAATAGTTTTATGAATAACAATTTGCAGATGAACCTGTGGCGCTCGAAACTGCACGAATATTGCACTGAAAACCCGAATGAATTGTACATAAAATCGCCTGGCGAAACAACGGATGTGGAGTTTGATTTCTACCCAATGAAAAACACTGCCGTCAACGTATTGATTAGCACCAACTGCTACACGGGCCAGTTTTATGTCGACGACGACGATGATCCGCTCTTCCAAGACGAGGTCTTTGATATTGTGGTTGGAAATCGTTAGGAAAATGGAAATTTTTTTTGTTTGTTTCTAATGACGCTCTTGAGCTTCAAAATGTGTATTATAAATTCCCGCTATTCGAAAAAAAAAGACTTCTAAACATACACGAGTTGTAGATAGAGCTTCAGCCGGGTACTAACACTTTACAAAAATGTCTGCATTCGAGTTTAAACTCCAAAAAAATATCGTTAATGTAATTTAACAAAAAATCCTGACAAGGACAAAACTTGTTGGAAAGGGTGCCATAGTTAGTCTTGTTGTATCCTGTTATGATTGTAATTCGCAGATTTAAAGTCTTCAAAATTTTGTAAGATATAAGCCTCCTCCAACCCCAAGGAATCAGATTTGTTTTGGCTGATCATTTGTTGGTTCATGTTTACTCAAAAATAAAAGTACAGGGTGCGGCAATTTTTCGGCCGGATTTTAATTGGCCATAACTTTTTTAGTTTTTGGGCAAATGTTAAAATTCTCTTTTTCCCTGAATCCACAGACAACCCCATTTTGTCTAATACCAAATATGTTATACCCGTTCATTAGACTACAGTAAAAATTCGAGACAAAGAAAAAGCTCTAATTTTCATAGCTGACAATGGAATTATCCCTAGTGCGACTCTCAGATTTTCTTTAAATTTTGCACATGGGCCGGACATAGGCCACACATCAATTCCTGAAAGTTTCAGCCCGCACCTTTCAGGGGCGACCAAGATATTCAACGATTCTTTGCGGTCAGGAGGGCACATGAGTGGTCACACAGAAAAACTTTTTGGCTATATCTTCGCCAGTTTTGTGCGGAGATAGCTGACTTTTTGTGGAAACGGTATTCTCCATGGCATGAAAAGGCATGACAATTTTTACGACAAAATTCGTAAAAAAAGTCATTTTTTCTGGCGATTTTCACACACGCCGAAAAAGCAGAGAAAACGACCGAAATGCCAATAACTATGAACTAGGTCCCTGTATATATAACATATTTGGTATTAAACAAAATGGGGTTGTCTGAGGATTCAGGGGAAAAAAAGAATTTTAACATTCGGATACAAACTAAAAAAGGTATAGCCAATTCAAATCCGGCCGAAAAATTGCCGCACCCTGTATTTCATGGACTTGCATAATCCTGAGAAATACTTTACTACAGTACAGATGCCCTTTTTTTGTAATCTTCAAGATTCCCACAGACATATGACGGTATTAATCTTGATTTCGTTATATTTGGCGTTTGTTTTTCTGTTTTTACTTGTTTGCTTGATATTTATAGTTGCATGACTTCAAAAAGGTCTTGTTTCTGATGTATTTTGTTTTTACTGCACAATAAATTTTATGAAAATCAAAGAATCGACGATATGCCGCGTAGGGTGAATCGATGGAATGGAAATCTGAATTGTTGCGGGAGTGATAAATTGCAATTCCGAGGAACCCGGTGACACAGATTTTGTCAAGAACTTGTTGTTCTTTGGTCGGTTGAATGGTGCTATCGTTGCTGAAATGAAAAATTTTGGGTTAAAAGGGGAAGTATCCCAAATGCGACGCTCAGATTTTGATGAAGTGTGGCAGTTTCTTTTCCGGATAACCTTTGTAGGGTGAACAGACCAAAGCTTATTTCACGTATACGCCAAATTTTTGTCGGCTAATTTTGTTTTCTGTTCTTGTTACCACCTGCATTTAATTCGGTTATATTATAGCATGGTCCTGTCAAGGTGAATCTGTCCGATTGAGAGAAAGTTTTTTTCCATCCATGGACGAGCTCTTATTTTATCCGGAAAGCTTTCAACGCAGATATAATTGTAATTTTTATTCGGTGGATACAATCCCGGTAACTGAACGGCAGCATCCCATATTAGGGATGGGCATCTTCTTTGTTTGCTCAACACTAATTGTAAGGTTTGACAAAAGTAGTTTCATGGACAATGAAGGTTACTTTCGAAGATTTTTACGCTTTAGTAGTTTAGGCGCTGTACCTTCTTTGTTTGATATGTATTGCTATTAGCGATCAGCTGAAAAGATCGACCTATAAATTAATGTTGTTGTTGGGAGTATTCCATCTTGGCAGTTTGGTCACCACAGGTCTCTTTGGATCCGTGTTTTATATACGTGGGGATGTTTATTGTTCAGCGCCGATGTTGATGTACATTCTTGGAGCTTTGGATGTTGGTATGAGGCTTCATGAATTTTTCTGACTCCATTTAGCTTTTTGGTGTGGCGGAGGCTTGACGAATATATTTCTAACGCTAAATCGCTGCTGTGTGATGTACAGCATGAAGCTGAATGAAACTATTTTTGGGCCAGGGACGGTTTATATATGGATTTCTCTTTCGGTCGCTTATTACTTTGGTTCGCTTTTCTTTGTTCCTCCTCCTTTGTTCAATTCGCTTGAACTGACTTATGTCTCAAATCCTCATGTTGGATATTTTGGTGATCCAACCCGAGAATACACGGTTTTATTCGGCCTCGTTCATAATTTGGTTGACTTTGCAGTCAGCATTGTCGCCATTACGGTTTTCTTGACTGTATACCAAAACAAAAGACACAGCGTTGCGCATAACCAAGGCTTTGATCACCAAGTAAGTTAACAATTTAGCATCTTATGCTTGTTGTAATCTAGTATTTTGATTAAGATCTTTTTATAGATGTTTATTCAAGTACTTCTTATACACGCGTTTCAATTACTCACCACGTTTGGGTTTGATTATATTCGGATTTTTGGATCCTCACGGCCCTTGAATGCATTTTTACTGGTTACTTATATGATGTCTCAAGGCAAGTTTAGAAGGCAGTTGATAACTTTTTTAGGAATTACTCCAATTATCTATCTGATTTTCAACAGTACGATTAAAAGCGTTTTGGTTACGCAGATTCTACGAATTTCATATTCCCAGCGGCATTCTGTGAGCGTTAATCCGAAATCTCAATATGTAAAATCAAATAAAATGGTGAAAACATTAACAGTCCAATAATACTTATTCAGCGTAATTTTTATTCAGATTATTTTTGTAATGTTTATTACTTTAAGGAAAATACAATATTAAAGTCATACAAACTATATACATATATACATATATTTATATTATAAATATGAAAGACAAAGAATACCGGATTAATATGTAAGTTATATTAACTAAAAAAGGTTTGATACAGCAAATTAAGTGGGATAACTATAAACCCATTAAATCAAAAATTTTTTCCGTTGTTTTCTCGTCTTCATGGCCTCCGGCTAATTCTTGCCAAATGACCTTATTCATAGTGTTTAAAGTACTTCTAAAGGCCAGATAACATTCTTCGCTAAGGCTTCTGGTCGGGCTTCTGGCCATAACGGCGCATTCTATGCTAATTCGCTGTTTTTTATTTTCATACCAATCGTCGCCCACTGTATTCCTGTTGGTTAGTTGAGCCCTTCTCAGGTTAACAGTCCACTCACTGAAGTTGAATTGTGCATAATAGGCAAAGAACCCAATCAGAAGTTCAGTGATGCTTATGTCATCAGGTCTTTGCTCTAAAAATATTGAAATTAGACAGTTAATAATCTTTGATTTCTAATAAAGTAAGTTTTGATCTAACATGAAAAATAATTAAAAATAACTAACCCCACTTCAATAAAGCCACAACTTCTTCCACACTTTGGTCGTACAGACCACAATCCAACAGCGCGGTTATTTTACTCAGTTCTGGGAGGATCGGCGGGCTAACTCCTTTCTGCAAGAAGTTGATGACCAAGATCACCAAACTGTAGGTATTAAACCTATACAGTGGCCCACCATGCAGTTCATTTTTTTTGGCCCATTTCTTAATGACTGTCATCAATTGAACTGCCCTTTCGTCAATTCTGAAAAAAAGCGATAAAAAATACAGCTAAGCAGTTTGAGACGCAAAACATTCTAATTGATGAAAATTTGCTTACCTTGAATATATCTTTAGGATCTTGGTGTTCCTGACTCCATTGATATTTCCACTGGAAAAATCAACTTCGATTTTATGGCCATCTTTTTCGAACTCCATCTTTGCCAAGGGGATCTGAAAAATTTGACTTCTAATCCGGAAGATGAAATCTAAGAGCGTTAAAAATGCTTTCAACTTACATTGATTAACTCGAGGTTTTCCATCGAGCTGAGGCCTGTGGCTTGTCGATTTTCTTCGCTTTCAAGGATTTCCACAATATTTGTTATCTTGGGTAGGATTCCGTGGCATACGAACCTGAAATATTTTTCATGATTTTAAAAATACTGAAGTAAACAAAAAGTCGTTGCAGGCGAACTATCCCTCATTTTCTGAACTCCCACCCAAAAATTTTCGTTGTACAGGGTGTCCAGAGAAATTCCGCGGAAGGTGTTTGCCGATTTATCGGCGCTCAGGCAAGATATCCAAAAAATTCTTTTTGCACTAGAAAGAAGAATACGGGCGGGTTTTTGTCTAAAAAAGATTTTTTGTCCGCCGACGCGGAACATACTGTATTCGACGGAGACTTTTGATTGCTTTTTTGGTCATCACACCAATCCTAAGCGCTTTACTATGATCCTGAAACTATCGGGAAGCCTTCAGTTTTTTCCAAAAGGATCAGTAGACCGACGACAACGCTATGCAATCGCATTTAGCGACTGCACCGCACTGTGTAGTTGCGTCAACAACGATAAAGTCCGAACGCAACGTGCGGAAGTTTGGAACAGCGGGGCAACGAGAAGTTTAAACAAAAAATATTTTGTTGTTTTCTGGTGCACCAAGTGGTTTACTGATGGCTAAGCTGCTGCCAAGGCCTGGCGACAAAATTTTGGAGAGCATATGGGATCAGCAAAGAATGCTAGCCACATAATGTTTGGGACATCTCCTATCCGAAGCTGAGTTGTGGCCTCCGGAAAACTCGCCATTCCATTGCCGAACGTTTGGTAAACATAAAAATAAAATAACATTCTCTTTTTAACCATCAGAAATCGTACTGAAGCTTTTAGGATTGGTGTGATGACCAAAAAAGCGATCAAAAGTCTCCGCCGAATGCAGTATGTTCCGCGTCGGCGGACAAAAAAATCTTTTTTAGACAAAAAACCGCCCGTATTCTTCTTTCTAGTGCAAAAAGAATTTTTTGAATATCTTGCCTGAGCGCCGAGAAATCAGCAAACACTTTCCGCGGAATTTCTCTGGACACCCTGCATAACATGTCACATATTATTTATTCGTTTGCAAAAAACTTTTCGTCGTATAAAATGTTACGCCTTATTTTTTTATTTGCAAAAAACTTGTCATCGTATAATATGACACACCCTATTTTTTCAATTTGCAAAAAAATTTCATCGTGTAACATGTCACATTTTATTTTTTCATTTGCAAAAAACTTTTCATCGTATAACATGTTACACCTTATCTTTTTCAATCTGCAAAAAACTTTTATCATATAATATACCACACCCTATTTTTTCAATTTGCTAAAAAATTTCATCGTATAACATGTCACGCCCTTTTTCTTCAATTTTCAAAAAAATTTCATCGTATAACATGTCACACCTTAGTTTTTCAAAATGAAAAGGAGTGTTCAAAAAGGGGGTGAGTTCGGGCCCAACCATGAGAAGTCATGAAACTTACCCGTCCTCCTCATTCCACTCTCTTATTATCTCTGGCGTGATGATCGTTATATCCAAGTCACTGCACTGGGTGCCGAATCCATTATGACTTCCTCCGTATGGTCGGATGCTGCAGCCGGGATACTTGCCCTGCAGCTGCTTTTCAATCAGCTGTATGAGCTTTTCTTGCGCTCTTTCGACGGCTGGAGAAGGCCTTTGTCTAAAAAAAGTTGTTGATTAGTTTGAAGATCTAGAAATAACATGCGATTTTACTCTAGGTTAACATAAACCCCAGATTTGTTCTATCTATTAACCTACCTCAAATAGCTTTCCATCATCTTATCCTCGAGCCTCTGCAGGGTTTGGCTTCTCATGTACAGCCTTCTGGTGACCCGATTGGCTTCTTTGATATCGGAAGTTGATGGCCAGAACTCAATGCACCGCATGTACCCTCTTAATCTGGTCTCATCTTCCACATGATGTTCCTCTTCGGCTCGATGGGCTTTTGAATACCAGCTGAAGGCTGTATCCTGGCTGGTCGAAGCGCAATTCCTTGATTCTCTGAAAAAAATTCAGTCAAGTGAAACAATTGCACCTCTAATGGATTTTACGGTAATTTCCTACATTTTTTCTTTATAAATACGCCAAAATTTCCCCAATTTTGTTTGAAAGTACTATTGTGTCCACAAAAGTAATTATTAAAAAGTTACTTACTCATATTCTTGCAGCCATACTTGTCTTCGCTCGTACCGAGCCCTGCCGGCACTGTCAAGTGTTTCGATGTATGGTATTTCTTCTTTGGCTTCTTCAATCTCTTCTGGCTCTTCTTCCCACTCCACCGACTCGCTGCTTGATTCAGCATCCCAATCATAATCCTCGTTCCAGATGTCGGCGTTCGACTTCATTCTCCTGGTAGACATGCTTTATGATCTGAAAACCGAGTTATATGAATGTTGCATGCCTTTGTCTCGAACGTTAACCATTTTAATCACGATTTAAAGTATTTTGAAAAAGAAAAAATCCCGAATTTTTGAAAAGAAAACATCCCGAATTTTTGAAAATAGAAAATCCCAAAATTTTTACAAAAAATAAAAAATCCCAAAAAAAAGAAAAAAACTTGAAACGCCTTGAACTCCAACAATTAAATGAAACTTCCTTGAAAATTGCCGACATTCCGTTGATAATAAGCTAAATATGTTCTTTCTGCTTTAAATTTATGCGCGTTGTTTCTTCATGGAGATGCTGCGCAAATCGTATTTTTCTGTGATGTAATCATGATGGTCAAAACGCTTTCTTACGTAATCTTGTCACCAAGCTCGCTACCTAATTCGCGAGCTTGATGGAGAGCGACCCATTGAATGAACACATAATATTATAGTAGTCCCCTTGGCTAGCTAGGCAACGAATTTTGCAACATTGGATTTAAATATTGGCAAGCACTTTTAAAATTTATGTATGAAACTTTATTAAAACAAACTTCGAACCGAATTAAAATGGATTTGATAATCCAAAAAAAGAAACACAAGCGATTTCCACGGGTTTTTGATTTCGAGCTTACGACCTCGATTTAAACTTTTCGTGTGACATCTCATAAGCCCAAGAAGACGCTTGTAGAGGCTAAAGATGGATACATTTTTTAAGAGACTGCGGAAATGAGAAAAGATTGAGACGAAGGAAATCTTGATAGTTTTTGTTGAGAAATGAATCCAAAGTTTTACCGCCATAATAAGTTTATTTAGCCGTATCTTACAATTCAAATAACCCAAAATTCAATCCAATTTCCAATGTCCAACCTCCTTTTTCTTTGCTTCGATTGGAAAATAACAGCTTCCGGTATCGAGATTATCAACAAGTGCGGGTTCCGGTGGCTCCTTGTAAGATCTGGCAGTGTACTCTTTTATCGACGGTTCTCTAGGGGTCTTGACCTCAGGTTCTGGAGGGGTCTTGGCCTCAGGTTCTCCGGGGTTCTTGACCTCAGGTTCTCCTGCCGGTTTCGATTCAGCTTCAACTTTGGGCTTTTTCGGAGATTTGGGGGGATTTGCTGGAGTTTGGAGCTCATTGACCATTCCTCCTGTCGGGTTCTTTTCGAGTTTGGATTTGCTTCGAGGTTCCTTTATCCAGCTGGGAGTTCGGAGGTCAGTGCTCTCTAAAAATAAGAGGGAATGATTTGAAATCATAAATTTTCTACAGTAGAAAACGATTTTTGTTTTTGATTTGTCGTAACGTTAAGATTAGAAAGAAGTTTCTGAGGCATCTTTGAGATTTTCGGCTCGTGCTTAACAGAAATCGACGAGAATTTTATGTCGAAAATCGCAAAATAAAATTAGTTTTTGCCATGTCCAACCAAAGAAACTCGCCGTTTTCTGTAAACCGCGAGCCAAGCATCCTCTGTATGACATGTATATATTCTAATATTAATGTTGGCCTTTTGTCAAAATCTAATCTTCGAGAAGTTACAGTGTTAACATGATTCTTACCATCATCCTCCTTCGGCTTGGCGCGTTGCTTTTCGATGTTCCTGATGAGTGAATCGAAGGAAGGCCCTCTCTTGACCGGTGGGAGATCTCGATGTTCATCAGCAGTTGAATCGGGCTTCTTATTTATATTCATGTTATCCAAAGGCTTCGGAGTTTTCGGTCTTGATTTCGGCTTGGAGACTGCCTTCGCTGGCGCTTTCTCTGTCTTTCTCTGAAAACAGAACAGATAAAAATCAAAAATTTGATCAAGTTTGTCATGAATAACCGGATTTGTTACCTTAGTCCCCAAAGGCCGACTGCCCTTCTTCTTTGCCGCTTTCCTCGAGCTCTTGCTGCATGATCCACCAGGCGACGAGGTCTCGTCCTCTTGTCGCTCTTGTCGTTTCTTGGCCTCCGACTTTTTCTTTGAACCTTTCGGACCCTTCTCCTCCGTTGTTTTATCGCCCACTTTTTTGTCGCTTTTCTTTGGCTTGGTAATGGCTAAAAGAAAGTATTAGTGAAGATTTGTGTTACTTACCTCGATGCCCTCCGTTATTCTTGCCGCAGGAAAGCCAGATGTATGTGAAGACCAAAAAAGGCGCAATCAGGTGAAAAAGCATCTCCTAACGGTGGAGAAACGACCGACTGGCAAATGAAAACTGGTTGCATCTGAAAGGAAATTGAAAATTTTATTTATTTTTTCGTCAAATTTTTGATTTTTCATGTCATTTTTTGCGACTTTTGGAAAAAAGGTGTAATTCATGAATGAATTACACGAACATTCATGATCAAGATGTTAAGGGTAGTATTGACTCAAAACAAACCTGAAATAAATTCGAATTCGAAAATGGTGCCATTATGATCTCGAATTTGCTGCTCTTCAATATACAGTAATCCTTTTTCTTCTTGACGTCGATTCGTTGTCAGTGCCACACTTGACCCGCAGGGTCAAGTCTTTTCTTTTCTTGGAAAATAAATAAATTTATTTTTTCGCTTCTTCAAAAGTTCGTATCTTTCGATCCAGATGGTTCAAAAACGAATATCAGTTACTGGCTATCAGTCATTCGGCCCTTATGACCTGAATCCGGCCGAGGTTGTTGTGAATAACTTGAAGAAATACCAATTTTCTTCCGATTTGGATGTAGAATTTGCTGCAATCCCAGTGTCGTATGAAGCAGCTGATTTCTGCAGTCGAGATCTTTGTGGAAAGGGCAAATCCGACGTGAGTTTTTGTTGTTCATCTAGTTTTTTTCTGATTTTAGCATCAAATGTTGGGATAATGGACTAGTGCAATATAAAGTGGAATAGCTTGTTAAGTTATTTTTGCAAAATGAAGAACACGACTAATTGCTTTAGTTATGGTTTCCTGACCAAACGGTCCTTGTTCTTTATGATTTTATATTATTTATGACAGTTAGTACCTAAATTTTTTTAAAATATATAATTTTTCGGGTATAGCTGAAGATTGAAGGCTGGGTCGATTATTATAGGATTTGAGGGTAGCAATAATGCGTTTTCTTCATTTGGAATATTTTTTTCAGTTCGTAGTTCATGTTGGAGTTCATCCCAAAAAAGAGACGATATGTTTGGAAAAACAAGCCAGAGCTTCTGGATATTGCTCGATGGATGTTGACGGTAAATTTTCTTTCCCTTTTTGTTAGTTTGCTTTTAGGAGAAATCCCGCTGAACAATCGCCCATTAGTTTGTTGTTGCACTACACCAGAGGTCGTGAGGTCAAATTTGGATACCGAAGAAGTGATAGGATCCCTTAAGAATGTTCCTGAAGGGCTAACAGTCAAGACAAGTCATGATCCTGGAAGGTGAGAAATTCTTTGCCTATGGTATCACTAAAATTTCCAAAATGTAGTCATTTTTATCAATTGATGTTGTAAATGAGCTCAGGATCTGATATTTTTTGGCTAAATATTAACATTAATTAAATTTATTTGTTTTAGGTACCTTTGCAGTTACATTTTCTACTCATCGTTGGTGAATAACCATGGAAATGCCCTTTTTATTCATATCCCAGACTTCAGCGAAACCGCAACCGTCGAAGTGGTGTCAGATATAGTGGCCCAAGTCATAGAATTTATCGGGAAAACTTTGTGATTTCAACTTGGAAAATATTTACGGTTATTTTGTTCAGTTTCACATATCTTGCCATCTTTTAGTCATCAAAAATTTTTATTGTAAAATACGTATGTACAGGGTGTCCCAAAAAAAATGCATGTTTTTTTATGGCTGCATTTTATATACCAAACAAAATTTAACAAAACTAACGATGTACAGGGTGCGCCAATAAAATCTGGACAAAACTAAATTCCATATAGCCTTTTTTGGATGGCCTAAGAATGGAAACTTTTATCACTTTTAGAAAGGGTAACAACCGTGCTATACAGCAACGGTAATGTCCAGGCCGGTGCCTATTTCAAGACTGAAAAAATAATCAAAACTTTTTGGAGGTGCAGAATTTTTTTTTTCCAGATGATGACTGGAATATTAATTCTTCCATTATTTCTGTCAAGGGTCACTGACGTTCTTCAAATTTATTTTATATAAAGTACGTGCTGTTGACTTTGTAACAGCATACGGAATCTTGGGTGGCGGCCGTTCTGGCGGCGCTGGTGGCGGAAACAAGAAAAGGCCCAAAAATTTGGATTTTTGTGTTTTTAAGGATCTCAACGCCAGATTATAGCTCGTGTTGCTCCAAAATTCCGTGATTACAGAGCGCATAGATAGCCAATTGTCATAGAGCAAAAGAAAATTCGCACATATAAGGGGACCATTTCTGCATAAATAAAAGTTCATGGGGGGAATTCAAGGCACGGTCCTTCGGAACTTGAAATGTTTTGGCAGTTTGTAACAAGTTGGAAAGGCCTTGAGCGAAAAGACCATCATAGTGTTGTATACTGGATACATCCTGATGTAGCCAAATCACTTTTAGAAATATCTAGTCTAAGATCACTCGAATAGCAAGCATATAGTAAATTATGCCACTACAGTCGCTGTTTCATTCCCAGAGGCAGCAGACAGAAAAATCCTTTTTGAAAGGCGACTAGGCAGACTCTGGTTACCCTTATAAAAGTAGTTCTGGTGCTTAACACGTTTGGATTCACACAAGGAAACTTCTACGTAAAAATCTTTGATTTAACGGAAGTTTTCGGGAAAAAGGGCCCGTTTTAAAGCCAACTTTGGCAAGCTGTAAAAAGCCAAATAGTCATAATTAGACAAAATCAATTTCAGTGTATAAAAGACCATCGAAGCTCTATCAGAAAAAGTAAATTTCAGCCCATAGCATAAAACGGTAAAGCTAGTGCAGCCATTTTTAGACCAATTTGGGGTCCGTGTTTCAGGGGTCTTAGTTGTGTGCACTTATAATGGCAAAACAAGTGTCGTAGACGATTATTTTGTCTGAAACTTTAAAGATAGCTTCTTGGTCGTATTATACATATCCACAATCGCCCACTTTGCTCTCGTACTGTTACAGCCCGCAGGGCGAGCAAAAATATTAGTCCAGATTTTATTGGCGCACCCTGTACATCAGTAACATAGAGGATTACTGATAACGTGTCAAGCCAGTTTCACAGTGGCTGCCTTTGGTGGCGATATATAGCTCCAAACGTAACTTAAAATTTTGGGCTCGGGGCCGCAGCTCTTTTCGGGGAAATCAGTCCCGTTCTCGGCGCAACGACAACTCTGCGACTCCAAACTTTTGTGGCGTGTAGTACACGCGTTGGTCTCCAATTTAAAAAAATTTTTGGTCTGTCGGATTCAGATCCGGCGCGCAGACGGTTATTTTGCAGACGGGATAAAATCGGGGAAATTGGTCCCATTCCGGGTCCTGAGTTGATTTTGCTTTGTGAGCCGGCGCTGAGTCTAGTTGGAACCCCAAATTTGCACTGCCAAGGTTCTGCTGAGTCAACAGAAGTACGAGAAAATCGAGATTAACGCGGTGCTAGAATTTTGCTCCCTTGATCCGCGAAAACCATAGAATTCTTGCCGCTGGCACAAATTCCGCCTTAGGCAAAGACGGCTCAGACTTTGACGGTTTTCGACGTTAGCCGACGTGCCGAGGGCCTCATCTAAGAAGATCCTAACGTTCTGGTGGTTGTACATCCGCCATATATTGAACCACGAACGAATGCGCTCACGTCTGTGAGCTGCGGCCCAGCCCTTGACTTTCCGACATTTCTGGCGCAGTACGCACTTGCTGTCTACTTCAAAGATATGAACTTTTTACAGCTTATACAGCGTGACGTAAGGCTCATCATCGGCTATTCGGGTGACCAATCGGTCGCTGATGGCTACCTCACGGGCAAGTTTTTCTTGAAAATCGCGGATTTGGCTGTTGGCGATCTCCCGGTTGACAGAACTGCTGGCGGTGCGTTTTCTTTTACGTCCTGGACGCTTACGACCGTTATCAAGCTCCTTACGTCGCGTGATTACTTTTGACACAATGTCCTTTCTACAGCGAGCAAATTAACAACTTGAACGGCTCAAAAATAGTGACAAAATCGCGGATCCTTTGTTTGACATTTAAAAAAACCATGTTCGTTAATCGATATGAACACGAAACTGAAATGTCTAGGACAGAAAAGCACGGAGATTTTAGTAGTACAAAAATCTTTTGCCCTGACCTAAACATTTTCGCGTCAGGACCCATGGAAAAAACATGCATTTTTTTTGGGACACCCTGTATAGTTGAAAATATAATAGTATGTATATTAAAAATTTTGAGCGAGTTTCCTACGATTTTTTATAAGTAGTAAGATACGATTTTTTGGAAAAATAATAAAAAATTTTTAATTTCCGATTTTTTGAGGTGACATACGATTATCTCAAAAATATCTTTAAAGTTTATATATCTGTTTAAAAATTACCCTACATATTTTTTGACCCACTTCGGGCCCCACTCCATTTTTTCTCCCCTTCAACCATCTGTTAACTGTATTTGAATTTGGACTGACTTTCGACCCCCTAATCTCTCTCGTTTCCCTCTTCCCAAAAGCCTCCCGGCTGGGTACCCAAGAGTGCCTCAGGGCAAATATTCTTCCCCCCGCTGTTTGAGAGAGGAGTGCGGCCCACATTTCGTTCCGTTTTGGCTGAATAACTAGGTACCCCCCCCCCCCTCAGGGCCCGAAATTTGAGAGGGAAGTGGAAGGGGAGAGATGAATGAATGGATTAACTTTAGGGGTTCTCGAACGGAATAGGCGACTATAATTTGTGTACAGTGCCGGCAGTTATGCAATAATTTTCGAGATGGGGGAAATTGAAAATTTTGATAATTTGAAAAGGGCCTAGTATAATGCAAAAATTGATTTTTAAATTTTTTTGGGTGAAATACGGTAACCTCAGCGATTACATGATAAAATACGACAACTTCGGTAGTTATAAATTAGCTCACTCTCTACCGTGTTTTTAAAAAAGTAAAAAGCGTCGTTTTCGTCATGAATAATATAAAAATTTATTTTATTCCATAACGGTGTCAGATTAGATTACACTGGTAGGGTCTGTAACCAATATGCAAAATTTATATCATCACTTTCCCGCAAATTACGATTTTTGCGGGAAAATTACGGTAAAACTTGATGTCATAATGTTTTTTGGTGCACATTTCACCTACTGTGTATCATCTTTATCGCAGAAAAAAATTTATTCTTCAATTTTGACCTTTGCTGCCATCAAATTCAAGGGTAACATAAAGGATATCCGTATTTTGCCCTTGATTTTATCCCCTCTTATCCTTCACCCCTAAAACATGACTAATATAGTCGCAAACTTGGCCAGGTACCCCATTAGACTGTTCTTTCCCCTTTCCACATTTGTCATTCGAATGAATAAACCCTGCGGTCAAAAGGAATGGGGTCTCCCGAGAAAATTTTGAAAATTTTTTTTGAAGGCCAACGCCCCCCCCTTTCCACGAAGCTCTGTGTACTACGACTTTGCGGGTCGGATCGTGTCCTTAAGAAGTCAACACCTTCTGGATCGTGATCCGTAAAGGATTCTGGGAGAAGTCGGGGGGAAAGAAGGGTTTTTGGAGGAGAAATTTTATTCAGTTATGATTTATGATTTGATTCGTGGAATCGAGTTTGTCTGTAGATTTTTAGGCGCCTGATGTTTTTTGGCACGGCATTGAATTTTTGATGATTTTCCGTTTTTGGCATTTTCGAATAAAAATTATTTTTTTGAATGTTTATACCTAAAAAATGTATTTTTCTAGCAACAATGCGGCAACATTTTTGCTTTTACAGCAGCGTTAGTAAAATACAGCAGTTAAAAAACCAATGAATCCGATTTTCGAAAAAATTTAGGGTAAAAAAAATAAATCATTGCTGTCATAAGTAATATCAAAAATTCCTGCTTTTCCAAAAAAAATTGGCGCTTTCTTTGAAAATACAACAGCTACTGAGCCAACTGAAATTTTGTCCGAAATGATATAATATTATTTTCAAGATTTTTCGCTATGTTTATCTTGTACTAGGTAATTATCTCTAATCTCTAAGAAACTTTCATAATTCGAACCCCAGAACCTTGTAAATGCTCTTATCATTATTTTCACCCTCCATAATCCGTTCACAGTAGTTTTGATTCTCGAAAATGCCCCGAATTTGGTTACAGTACCCTTCTTTTGGAGGGTTTGGATTCCAGTCGTCCAAAGTCGGCGTCCCATAAACGGTGCAATTTGGTGGTTACCCCGCGATTCCATGCACAGTCCGTGGAGCGAGGAGGGCCGATTGGGGGTGAGAGGGACTCCGTGGCCTGAGGGTACACCCAAAATTCCCGTCCTTTTCCCGTCGTCGTCTCGCCTCCCTTTCGCTCCGTTTTGTGAAGAGCGGGGCTGTGGGCAGAAAGGCTCTACGAAAAACAGCGAATTTTTGCCCTAAGGGCCTTCTCCGCTCGTGGCGGGTACCTGTGTGGGGGGAGCGGAGAGGAGTGGGGGGAGGATGCCTCGAGACGGCCACAAAATGTGGCCAAGGAGACCCGAAGCGCCTCGGGGCTACCCCTGAAGAGTGGAGGCACCCGCAGGGCACAATACCAATTATTCTCCAATTTCCGGCCAAGTTTTGGTGGCAGAGGTAGCCAACAGAAAGCAATTTTATTTTTTTAATACTTTTGCTAATTTTTGTAATTGTTTTTTAGAAATTTCAAATTTTCGAGAAATTTTTTCCCTTCGGCCAGTATTTTTTTATCTTTTTGTAATCGAAATACCAAACATAAATAGAGGGTTTCAAAATTTTGGAACATTCAAGAACAAAAAGAATGCACCAAATCATTTTTCGATAGTGTTTGTAAAATACGACGTAGAATTTCTTTGCCATTTCTTAACGAGATTTCTTAGAAAAGACGTTTCAGTCGTATTTAGAAGGAATTCTTCGAGTTTATTTATTCATCTCTGGTAAAATAAGGTAGCGGCAGTAAACAACGATTTCTGCTTTTTTTCACTATCTCAAAAAGTCGTATTTTTACATTTTTTAAAATTTTTTTGGGTTGGATATCCCAGAGTAACAATTTTGGGATATTCTTGAAAGTTTTGTTTGTAAAATACGGTTGATCTATGCAGTCCATAATTTTTTCTCTGTAGACTTCAATAAACCAAAGTTGTTTCAAATTCCGATCAAAAAATCCCATTCTTTTTGTTTGGACGAAGTGTATCCAATAAATCGACTATTTTATTTTTTGAAAAAATGAAACATCAAATTTTTTATTTTCTTATGTCGCAGGTGCCGTATTTTAGATTATTTTTTTACATTCTTCGCTTTCCTCAATATTTTTCCAGGATTTTTTAAATTTTCTTCAAATTTTCCCCTGATTTCTCCCCATTGCAGGGTTTCCCGATGACGGCCATCACTCGGTCGGGCCTGAATACGAGCGACATGCTCGAATTCACCGTCACCGACCTGTACGTGGCCACCGTCGATGATTGGTCGGCCATTCAGTTCGCGGCGTCGGTCGGCCTCCTACCCAATTCCCGGAAATGCGAGCGCTGCGAACGACCGATGCATTTGGTCAGTCGGCAGGAGAATATCGACAAGAAACGGTGGATCTGCAAGATCAGTGAGGGCAGAAAGAAGCGATATTGTTCGACGAAGAGCATCCGAAGTGGGACTTTCTTCGAAAAGTCCCATTTAACGATCCGAACCATTGTCCACATCATTTATTGGTGGTCTCTAGATGTCCCACCCACTCTAATCGAGCCTTTATGCGGCATTACGTCAAAGGCCGCCGCCGACTTTGCACTGTTTTTGCGGCAGGAGTGCGAAAAGTGAGTTGGTTTTGGGAACGCACTGTGCAGGAATTTTTCTTCTTTGTCGCGAATCCGATGCACGGTGCGGTTTTCGCGACAAAATTTTCACTGCACAGTGCAAAAAGCAAATTGGTCACCTCTGTGCAACGAATTCCGCTTTTTTCTGAATGCACTGTGCGGATCGGAAAAATACGATCGCACAGTGCGGATCAAAAATTAATCTTGAAATATCAGGGAAAGGAAGAGAAATTTGATATTTTTCGAATGCCCTACAGAACCTAGAGCACTGCAAAAAAATTTTAAAATAATTTTTCCTTGTTTCAGATACTTCCTCGGCCACAAATTGGACTGGGATTCGGACAACAACAATCTCATGGACACCGAGGTCAAAGACGCCACCGATTCGTCGGACACCTCGTCCGCTTCGTCAACGCAGAGTCGGTGGGCGGCGGCCAAACGAAAACCGGGCCCCGTCGAATCTTCGGCCGCCTGTTTATTGGAGAGAAAGTTCAGGAACGAGGCGAACGGAGCGGTCTTTGCCAAAATGATCGAAGCCATCAAAACGTCGCACAATTCTAGTCAGTTCATGTGAAGTTCTTCCTGTAAAATACGAAGTTTTTTCGCTGATTATTTATTTTTCATTCAAATGTAGGGTAAAGCGGGGATTTTTGAGGGTTTTTTGATTATGTAAAATACGCCTTCAAATGGATATGTATGTTAAAACGCGTTTTATTACAAATCGTAGATTGGCCCGGACATTGTTGAGTCGATGTCTCAGAATTAAACCAAAATTGGTCAACTTGATCGTCATGACAGACAAAACATTCGCTTTCTTTATTTTTGCCCAAAATTACCGTATGACGGCATACTGTAACATTCTTTCTTAAAAAAGATATGCCCTAATCGAGAAAACGAAGCGTTATTTTAGCTCAAATCGAGCTCAGTCGTACGTTTTCGACCATGTAGAACATTTTTGTAATTGTCACCAAAAACTAAAAATTACATCTAAGCTATGTTACACATGAGGTAACATACTATTTCGGGTGTAAAATGGGCTACTGTAGCTTGTAGCACTTTTAGATACGCTTAAAAAAAACTTCAACCTTAACCCAATAAACAGTAGAAATTTTAAAAAAATAAAATGCACAACTTTTGAGATACAGGGATTTCAATCTGTCATGTACAAGGTCATCAGAACCCCGAAAAAAGCTGGCATTCTTGGGATTTCGGGTTGTAGCACTTTTTGATAGCCTCTAATACATTATTAGCCTTGTAAACGATGATGACGAAAATTTCAGGCGAAAAAAATGCACAACTTTCGAGAAAATGACCAAAATACCTTATTTTAGGTCATCAGAACCCCGAAAAAAGCTGGCATTCTTGGGATTTCGGGTTGTAGCACTTTTTGATAGCCTCTAATACATTATTAGCCTTGTAAACGATGATGGTGAAAATTTCAGGCGAAAAAAATGCACAACTTTCGAGAAAATGACCAAAGGACCTTATTTTAGGTCATCAGAACCCCGAAAAAAGCTGGCATTCTTGGGATTTCGGGTTGTAGCACTTTTTGATAGCCTCTAATACATTATTAGCCTTGTAAACGATGATGATGAAAATTTCAGGCGAAAAAATGCACAACTTTCGAGAAAATGACCAAAATACCTTATTTTAGGTCATCAGAACCCCGAAAAAAGCTGGCATTCTTGGGATTTCGGGTTGTAGCACTTTTTGATAGCCTCTAATACATTATTAGCCTTGTAAACGATGATGGTGAAAATTTCAGGCGAAAAAAATGCACAACTTTCGAGAAAATGACCAAACGACCTTATTTTAGGTCATCAGAACCCCGAAAAAAGCTGGCATTCTTGGGATTTCGGGTTGTAGCACTTTTTGATAGCTTCTAATACATTATTAGCCTTGCAAACGATGATGGCGAAAATTTCAGGCGAAAAAAATGCACAACTTTCGAGAAAATGACCAAAGGACCTTATTTTAGGTCACCCGAAAAAAGTGACGAAAATTTATGATATTGTCAAAACATAGACTAAAAAATTTTATTCTTCGTCTTCGACATTGGACCCGGGGAGAATCCGAATGTTAAGTCAACGAATGTTAAGTCGATGTTTCATTGCCCGGACGAAACATGCTGATGACCTAAAATAAGGTCTTTTGATCATTTTCTCGAAAGTTGTGCATTTTTTTCGCCTGAAATTTTCACCATCATCGTTTACAAGGCTAATAATGTATTAGAGGCTATCAAAAAGTGCTACAACCCGAAATCCCAAAAATGCCAGCTTTTTTCGGGGTTCTGATGACCTAAAATAAGGTCCTTTGGTCATTTTCTCGAAAGTTGTGCATTTTTTTCGCCTGAAATTTTCACCATCATCGTTTACAAGGCTAATAATGTATTAGAGGCTATCAAAAAGTGCTACAACCCGAAATCCCAAGAATGCCAGCTTTTTTCGGGGTTCTGATGACCTAAAATAAGGTCCTTTGGTCATTTTCTCGAAAGTTGTGCATTTTTTTCGCCTGAAATTTTCGCCATCATCGTTTGCAAGGCTAATAATGTATTAGAGGCTATCAAAAAGTGCTACAACCCGAAATCCCAAGAATGCCAGCTTTTTTCGGGGTTCTGATGACCTAAAATAAGGTCCTTTGGTCATTTTCTCGAAAGTTGTGCATTTTTTTCGCCTGAAATTTTCATCATCATCGTTTACAAGGCTAATAATGTATTAGAGGCTATCAAAAAGTGCTACAACCCGAAATCCCAAGAATGCCAGCTTTTTTCGGGGTTCTGATGACCTTGTACATGACAGATTGAAATCCCTGTATCTCAAAAGTTGTGCATTTTATTTTTTTAAAATTTCTACTGTTTATTGGGTTAAGGTTGAAGTTCTTTTTAAGCGTATCTAAAAGTGCTACAAGCTACAGTAGCCCATTTTACACCCGAAATAGTATGTTACCTCATGTGTAACATAGCTTAGATGTAATTTTTAGTTTTTGGTGACAATTACAAAAATGTTCTACATGGTCGAAAACGTACGACTGAGCTCGATCTGAGCTAAAATAACGCTTCGTTTTCTCGATTAGGGCATATCTTTTTTAAGAAAGAATGTTACAGTATGCCGTCATACGGTAATTTTGGGCAAAAATAAAGAAAGCGAATGTTTTGTCTGTCATGACGATCAAGTTGACCAATTTTGGTTTAATTCTGAGACATCGATTTTAACAATGTCCGCCCTCTGTTAGGCTAAGCTCCAAAGTGTGGCAAAACGCGTTTTAAAGTATAGAACTTGTCAAGCATACGACTTTTTAAAAGCTAAAATACGGATTGTAGACCTTAAAATTCCTTGTTTAACCCAATTTCGGCTAAAATCATCGACTTTTTTCAGAATTTTTCGACATTTCCTGGTGAAATAGGACTTTTTTCGAACAAAATTCCTCTAAAATCCTCTTAAAATACGATTTCAACCCCTTAAAATGTATCTATAATCCCCTTTTTATATTGTTTTTCCCTTCCACACTTCCCCTAGTCGTCTCCAAAATACGGGTTCCCCTAGTGCAAATCTTCTTCGGTCTATCAAAATCAATACCAATGTTCTTTCAACTACACCCCAAAACCCCGATAATCAATTTACATTTTTCTTTGTTGGATATTTATTTTTAATAAATTTGGATATTTGAAATGAACTAATCGAAGGAAAACCTATGTAAAAAAGTGTGTCAAGATCGCTCGAGAAACGTGAAAAACTCGGGTGAAAGTGCGAAAAGAGCGCAAAGAAAGTATTATATTCTGTAACCAAATCAAACATTCGCAACAGCGGAATGAACGCTTACATTGGGGTGCTTGTACTGTTGGTCGAGTGTAAAGGTGAGATTTGATGATTTTTCTGGGAAATTTTGGCAAAAAATTAATCCAAATAGTAACTTTTTTTTACTGTTTGGATAATTTTTAATTTTATTTTAGGGTTCCAATTAAAATTTTAGCTCTACTATACTGGTCGACAAAATTTTCTTTCCACCTCGTATCTCGGGAACCGCTGGGCCTAGAACCTCCAAATTCGGCATAGAAACAGATATGGGACAATCTAACACCATACCCAAAAAAATCATATCATTTGATGCACTTTCAGACTTTGGCTTTTAATTTACAAACGTTTTTCCAAAGTGGAAAGAAAATTTTGTCACCTCTTTTTTCGCCGGTTGCATAAAAAGTGCACTGAAAGTGCATCAAATGATACGATTTTTTGGGTATGGTGTTAGATTGTCCCATGATGTTTCTACGCAGAATTTGGAAGTTCTAGGCCCAGCGGTTCCCGAGATCGAGGTAGAAAGGAAATTTTGTTGACCAGTATACATCTAGCCTCAGGCTATTTAGGACATATACTATCTATGTGAATATACACATCTCATACTACCTATTTGAATATACACATCTCAAAATACCGCCTTCTAACACCAATAATTTTTCAGTCTACGTTTCTGCCGGTGAATCCGGCTACCCACCAGTCCTCCCTTCTCGAACCGCCATTGAGGATATGGGGTTTCGATTGATGGATTCACTCTTAAAACTCGGCCGAAACGAATTGGCCAAGTCCGTGCAAAAACAGCAGATGGAACGGCTGGAAAAAGGGCTTCAGGACCGAGAGAAGCTTATGAAAAGTGATCAAGTGGACTTGGTGGGAAAGTCTGGCCACAAAATCGTCGAGATTTTGAGAGAAAACGGAATTTCGGTGGTCGATTTCTTCAGAAAAATGCAAAAAGTCGATTTCAACAAAGACTTTGGTGGGAAAAATGAAGTGAGTAGGAATTCTAAACATTCGTTCTTTCTTTGAAGACTAAGAATCTACATTTGCAGCAAGATTTCCTTACAATAGCGCCTTAGATGAAATCAAAATGATATCTTTACCTAGTGCAAGATAATTTTTTTATGTAGCCCACAAATTTAGCTTCAATTTTTGTTCTCTGAGGCCTTGAGACATGTAAAAAGTGTATTTACAGGACGCTAAATCATTACTTGACCGACTACGCCTCGAAATTCTGCCAAACGTGGTCTCAAACGTAATCCATGGCCGGGAAATGGATGACGGGGAAATCGTAGAGCCTCAGCTTCATCCTGTTACGGATGTAAGTTCCATTACAATCCCTTTCCAGTTCTCAGGCTTCTATTTTGCATTTTTCATCGACTTTGCACCCAGTTTCATCCAAAATCCTTAATTTCAGCAACAACAGCACCATTTCATCGACCAAGAACAACAAGTTCTCGACAAAATCCGTGTCCCGGAGTTCCAATCCGTCCCGGAATTGCGGTTTATGACTCCCGCAACAACTCAGATCCCCATTCCATCGATGGAATCGCTGTTTCCATCAACCACTTTAGCTCCAATCCTTTCGATTCGGAATTCATTTCCAAATTTGGAAGAGCTGAACCAGTTTATGAGCCAATTTCCGGCGAATCCATTAACGAACACTCCAAATCCATCGATGAATTCGGACAACCCGTCAATGAGTCGAGTTTCCACCACCAATTTCAATGTCGCCCCAACACCCGAGGGTCTAAGATACGACTTTACTCCAAATCCACTGATGAATCCGATGGCGCAACGGCCAACTTTCGCGATTCCATCGAGTAACGTATTAATTCCGTCGGCGGAAAGACCGAGAATGATCGGAATTGAGAGAGAATATCAGCGGATCGTCGGGTCAGATCAAGATTTGCTGATGAAATCGTCGATGAAACGGCCGTTTCCATCGACGGAACGACCGCCAAAGTCAATTGCCTTGAGGACAAAAGACGAATCAAACGATATTCGATCCTTTTCATATGCAGATTTGCTGCTGAAAGAGATGGAACCATTGCTGAATCGGAAAAACGTCGACGAATCGGAGGACAAGCGGCCAAAAATCGAGGATTCGGCCGAAAAACAGAGGAGAATCGACGCAATATTAGAAAGTAACCGAAATCGGGAGAGTTCAACGATAATTCCAAAGACCGTGGAGCTCAAATGGATCGAGAATCGGATGGAGGAAGCAGAACAAGAAACTTCGACGACCAAATTAGTTGATGTAAAGCCAATTCCCGAGGACACCGCCAAGTATCATCGACTGAAAATCAAAAAACATCAACTCAAGGACATCGAGGGACACAAACGACTCGGCTGGGAGATCAACAACGACCCGGATTACGCGGAATACGAGGTCCGACATCAGAGTTTGACCAATTCTGGGTCCTCAACCGCAAATAAACGAAGGTTTTTGTAGCCGACAAATAAAAAATATTGAAAGATAAATTGTACCATGCTCATTTTTAGACTTGAAAAGTATTTCCAACACCTTTTTGGAGGAGCTTTCGTAAAGTTCTGTTATTATCCATAATAAAATTTTGATAAAAATTATCAAAAATGGATGAAGGACCGTGAATTAGGCTATTAAAAAGCAATATTAGACTTTTTTCTACATCTTACATATCTCTTGGCAAAATTTTTCCAAAAATTTTATATTATCCATGGCAAAAAATTGATGAAAAATTATGAAAAATGACTCCCAATCTCAACCAAACGCCTTTAAAAGTATCATATTAGATTAGAAAAAATATATCTTCCGTGATTTCTTAACACTTTACATCTTCCACGACATAAATTTTAAATTTATGACATAACAACAACATGACAACAATTTTAATTAAAGCAATAAATAACTATGTTTAAAAAAGTTAGTAAATGTCCTCTACATTAGATAAACGGGTAATTCCGCTTGGTCTGGGAGGAGATCAAATTCAAATTCGTCCTCTATGGCCTTCAAAAACCCGTTAATTCTGGCCATGATTATATTTTTGGCTCCGCTGTTAATATATTCACCAGTGTTTAGATGAGAGCCGTATTTTACATCCCACATGAGATAATTCTTCGTCAATTTCGTTGGGTCTTCTGGGGAAAAAATGGGTTCCAGTTCGGCTACTTTGGTCTGAAATTTGAACTTCAAAATAAACTCGGGCGCGAGCTGCCAAAAACGAAAACCCTTTTGAGACCTACCTTGATCCTTTCCACACATTCACAATGCAATTGCTCCTCCTCATCATCAACTTGCATCTCGTTTTCTTTGACCTTTTTAGTCCTCGGAAATCCCCCAAAAACTTCCAAAAGTGCTGCTCCAAATACTTTTTGATACTTTTCCATGCCATCAATCAACTCCAGAAGCAAGATCTCATCCCCCAATAATATTCCTTTCGCGTTCTCTGCCTTCTCCGTCATCTCTATCAAGTTTTCTCCATTTTCTTGTAAAAATCCCAATTTTTTCAGGATTTCCACTCGTTTTTCCAAATTTTCCGCACTAACGCCGGACGCCAACATTTCAACTCTCCTGTTTAGGAACTCCCTCTCATTTTCTGCGTCCTTTTTGGCATCGTAGGCACCGATGGAATCCATGAGAGACTGCTTTTCCTCAACTTTTTCGATTCTTTCCACCAAACCCCGCCGTTTTTCTTCAATTTCTTTGAATTCTTCGGTTTGTAATCGAAGTAGGGGTATGCTTCCACGGTCCCAATCAATTAGCTTCTAAAACATTCCAACTGCAAGTATTTATCACCCCATTTTAGGATCAAATTTCAGATCAGAAAAACTCCGCAATTTTTGGCATTCTGTAGCAAGGACAAAAGTCTTTGCTCCCAGATGTCACAACAAGCCCTATCATACCCAAAAAAGACACCATCCGCAAAGAAAATTGCATATTCTATGTTATCCATGAAAAAAACTCGAAAAATCTCTACTTTTCCCCTAAAACCAACAAAAACCCTGTAACCACTTACTTTAAGCATAGCGCCGAGAGTACTGAGATCCGACGGCTTCATCAACGTGATTGGGAGCTTCAATCGCAGCGTCGAAACATCAAAAATAGCATCTTTCGGGATAGTCCTTATAACAAATACGTTTTCCTCCGTTTCCGCGGGCGTTTCCAATTTTTCAAAGGGCAAATTCTTCTGCGCATCCGGTTCGGAGATAAAGAAGCCCGCGTGGATCACTGGATCCTGTTTATACCTCCTCAAAAGGCCTATCACCACAGCCCAGCCTAGGTCAACACGGCTCGTTTTGATCTGAAAAAAGTGCTATTATTAGGCTGTTTCCATTCCACAAAAGTCTACAAAGCATCTTTAAGTTCTACTAAACACCATTAAATTCTAAAAAACTCTAAAAAAATCCACTTTTTAATCGAAAAGATCAGAAAACTCCCAAAAGACAAGGAAATACGCAGGCTATTCCATTTTTAACTCACTCTGATCAGCCTGCCAAGGCCCAAATAATTGACGACCTCTTTTAACACCAAGTCTTTTTGTTTTCGATCCAAATCATCCAATTCCTTCAGCATTTCCTTGTAATTTTTGATTTCATCTTCAAATTTGACATCTCCAATGCGCTGAAATCTAGCCTCCAGTTTCTTCAAATCTTTTTGAGTCTCCAATTTCAATCGGAAAGTGTCAAACTTGATAAAGGATTGGTCGATTACCCGAGTTGTGAAACTTTTTAGGGTCTGAGGGCCTAAAATAAGGTAAAGTTCAAAATTTTCCCCCAATTTGAAAAAGCTGAAACCGCTAAAAAAATCTACAACGCTTACCATGGCTTGCAAAATCATCCAGAATACTCGCAAACGTTTTGAATTCCGGGATTTTTAGATTTTCAATTTGGGGAGTAATCAAATATTCGAAGGTATCTTGAGGTAAAGCCGAGTCCATGATAAATACCCGATAAGCATCGGAGCGAAATCCCTTCAGATGCGTCATATTCTCCACTTCCACCGGGGTTAACAACCTAAAATAATTTAAAAATCATCACTTTCGTCTACTACAATATGATTTCTTGTCGAAATCATATAAAAAATGATCTTACAAGGAATGTACTTTTATGGGGGCTCCTACTTTTTGACGGGACATATCTCAAAAAATCAGAAAAAATATGCTGATCATGGATATATAAATCTTAGCTGCCCATTTTAGGTTTTTAGGGGTGAAAACTCAATCGGAAGTTGACTTAAAGTCCTATATAAACCCCTTTTCGCTTAATTTTTCACAGGTTTACAATTTTTATTTTGCCTTAAAATTATGTTTAATGTGTTTCTAAGACGTAATAAATCAGTCTTGGCCCAAAAATTTATTTTTTTGACCTTCAACTTCAAAAAAAGTTGATTCAGCCCAAAGGGAAATCGAACCCGTGCGGCGTTCCCCCTCATGATTCCCAGACTACGGCACTAACAACTCGGCCACACCGCTCGAAGGAGGAGACCGACTGCGCTTTTTATCGTTTCGAATGCCTGCGGCTTTTGTAGGGAAATTAAGCCAATTTTTGGGCATTTTCACCCCTAAAAACCCAAAATGGGCAGCTAAGATTTATATATCCTTGATCAGCACATTTTTTCTGATTTTTTGAGATATGTCCCGTCAAAAAGTAGGAGCCCCCATAAAAGTACTTTCCTTGTTAAAATGAAACAAACCGGTATTAAATTCTCTAAAAAGACTCCTTACCTAATGTCGCGTCCATTCTTGACATGAACCGAGGGGATAATTACCGATCTTGCCTTATTTATACCCCTATCAGCGGATTGTCGAGTCATGATTAAACAACCCAGAAGACCTCGTCTAAAGCAAGTTTGGGTGACCTCAACAAGTCCATTGTGCAATGAGGAGTGTATGAGGCCAAATCCATTCACAATCAGAGGGAATAAATTGTTGATGAGGGCCACTTCTTCAGTTCGATGAGATTGTTGCCCGACGAACATTTTGAAGGCGGTTTTTAGTCGTTCCTTCTTCAGTACTGCAAAGAAAAAAAATCATTCAGGGTCTTATCCAAACTTACAAGACAACAAATCGATTCTGGAAGCCAGTTGAGTGAAGAAAAATTCGGCTTGGTGGTCGTTCTCTGCCAAAATAATCACCGGAGCTCTGCCGTCCGCCGTCAAAGTCGCCACCGAATACTCCAAGTTGTTCAGCTTCCTTATTGATGGATCTTTGTGCCATACTCTGGATTTTATATCCTCCGCAAAATGTATATATTCACTTTGGGAAATTCGTTTATCGTCAGGTCCCAAATTCTCTGAGACCGAAAAAAATCGTTCGTTTGAGCAGATAATATTTTTCACATCAAACGGGCGAGATTTGGCCGTGATTACATGACAGTTTCGGCTCGAATTCTTGGCAAAATACTCTGAAAAAAATAAAATTTTCCAAAGTTTAAAGTTTATTACCTAAAATAATATAAAATCTTAAAATTTAACACTCACCTCCAAAATCCTTTACGTTTTGATAAGCTCGAGTCAAAAACAAGAACCCAGCGGTCCTCCTGATGTCATTTTCGAGCAGTTTACCCATAACATCACGCCAATATCCACCAAAATTTGGATCGACCATCCCATCAAAGTCATCCAAAATAAACAACCCGATCTGCTCAAAGAAAGACGGGTCCATTCGAAAGTCAGAAAGGAATTGCTCCAGACTAACAAACCTTATATAAGAATCTTCGCCTTTTCGCTCCAGAAGTGTAGTTTGAATTGCGGAATCATTGAATTTGTGGAGGGATTGAAAGAGAAACAAAGAGGATAAGGTTCGGTTATGGGAAGATGATATGAAGATAACATGCTGCCGGACGGCCGCAAAAGTACGTCCTATTAACCTGAAATCTCAGTTTTATTTTGGGATCAAAATATAAAAAGTTATGGGTAGCACCTTATTTTAGGTACCTTGACCTCAGAAATTGATAAATTTCTCTTCGATTTTGAAAACGCTGAACAGAAAGTCTATCCTCAAATCAATCCGTGATTCATCAGAATTAAAATAAGATAATGATCAGCCAGCTATGATCAACCACGTATCGGTAACAAACAAAATTGTAAGCCGATCGAAATTTCTGGGCCTAGAATTATCTCACCCGCATTTTCCACCTAAAAACAAAACTATCAACGTCAAAAATCAACTCACATTGCCAAGAAGCTTTTTCCACATCCCGTCGGCCCAGAAAAGAAGACGGGTTCACGCCGTTTCGCGCAGAGAAACGCCACTGATTTCGGGATATCCAGCTGAATCCCCGAGACCGTCGACCTCTCCGTAACAAGCCGTTTGAAAAAGTCTTCGTTTCCATATCGAAAAACAACGTGTTCAGTGTCCGGTGAATGGTTAATTTGATGTATTCGACAATCCTCCTCCTCGTATTGTTCAATCCCGTCTAGTTCAATATCAAGTTCAACAACATCCTCTTGAACCTTGTCGGGAATTATACTTATCCCATCAAAATCGGCAAAAACCACCTCCTCTTCAGAGTCATAGTCTTCCTCCTGCTCTTCTTCATCATCTTCATCGCCATAAATATTCGAAGCAATTTGCGGTAATAACGGGAAAATCTCTTCGGTTTCTTGACTCTGTTCATTCAATTCGCCTTCACGGTCTTCGAAGAAATCGTTGAGCTCCTCATCACTGTCAGACATCACAAAGCGGCCGAAAAAACCGACAAAAAATGTTTTTCGAAAAAATAAAGATATTCAAGAGGAAGACTTGACACATTTGGGCCAAGTGTTATTTTTATGTGGAACTCGAGAATTTGAATTGATATGTTCCCAAGTTTTGATTATTGGTGCCCCAGGAACGGCAAAGCACAGAAACATTCGATTTATTCGAAGTTCAAAGCTTTTCATCCCAATTTTCATTATAAATAGTGCATTATGCACACTATTTCCCCAAGGATTAGTAAAACCGATTTCAAATTTTCACCGATGAATTTCATTTGGCATTGGTCCTCTTCCTGAGCAGTCGGATCACTTCTCAAAAGCTTCGTGAAAGATCGAAATGGCTCCGGCAAGAAGAGCTGCGGCCAAAAAGAGAGGCGCCGGAAGGGTAAGAAGCTCTCATAAATCATTTCGGCCTTGCTCTAATTGGCTGGTATTTGGCAGCCAATTAGAGCAAAGTAGCAGTTTACAGTATGAGCTTTTAGTTTTTTGCCTAATTTTTGATTTTCAGACCCCAGCACCCCTAAGAAGCCCCGAATTTCCCAGCCTCCAGCTGTCCAGCTCTTCCTCCGACAGCGAAGCGGATGACCTCTCTCCGACCACCCGTCAGAACACCCTCGCCAACTCCGGCAGCGGTCATCTTCTTAGTCCAAAGCCCGAGAGCAACAGACGCAGCGCCTCCAAGACTCCCGATCCAGATCTCCAACGGGATTTGGTCGATGCAACTCCGATGAGAAATGATTCGATGGAAGCGCGTCTCTCTCCGGTGCTGCGGCGTGCAAGTGCGGCACAGGCGAAGGAGATGGATGTGGAGGAGCCAGAGCAGGTTGCTGGACCTTCCAGGGCCAGATCTCCGGCCAAAAAAGCGGCCAAGTCAAGAGCCGCCGCCAAGTCCGGAAAAGTTCCACTTGGATCTCCCCCGCCAAAGGTAGGAAAAATTATCGTGGCTTTAAATAATGACAAAAAAATTGGAGCCAAATAGTGGTTTTGAAATAAGAGGACAGTGATAATTTTTTGGTAGATTTAATATTTGATTTCTTCAGCGGGCCCTTCGCCCTCGACCCACTCCAAGTCCGATCACCAGCACTCCCAGGTCCAATTCCAAGTCTCCGAAACCTGTGGTCATTCCTACGACTATTCCAGAAGAGGCGGAGAATGATTCTTCCAGATCAAGTAGCTCTTCTGAAACCCAGCCACCTGTTCCCAGCACTTCTCGAGCGTCTCCGAAGCCTCCGGCCAAAAAAGGAAGGCCTCCGGCCCAACCTAGAATGAGCGTCCCTTCCCGTGCGGCGGTAAGGGGGGACATTTACCAATCATTTTGAGCTAAAAAAAGTTTCTGCGAAGCGCGGTCAGAATCTTGTGCATGCATCTTTGTTAGAAAAAATTTACATTTTGCCATGTTTATCAACATTTTTTGATCGACTCAAAGAGTTGAAGCTTTGATTGTTTGCAGCTTCGTCGCCAAGCCCACGCTGAACAAGCCGGCACTTCCAAAGATCTTCCCAAGTCTCCGGCCAAGAAATCGAAGGCGGCGGCTGAACCTTCCGGAGTGAGTGGACCTGCAAAGGGAAGAATAAATTTTCTGCAGGGCTTTTTATTTTTGATCCCAAGTTGATCAGTTGACCATATTTTCTTGAAAAGTTATGACCGAACGATCAACGGAAATTTTCCGGGTCTTTAAAAAAAATGTTTTTGAACTTGACCAGGAAACTTGACCGATTTAGTCTGACCAACTTGACCTGCCTAATCAGACCGGTCCAGTCGAAAAAAATTTTTTTGTTGGCCATTTTTTATGATTTGTCTTTGAAAATTCAATTTTCAGCGCCCTCGAGCCGCCAGTCCGGACTCCAGCTCCAGCGCTTCCGAATCCAGTCCTCCAAAGGTGAGAACAAAAAAGAGGAATTAAAATCATGAATGTAATAACTTTGTCTTATTTGCAGCGTCGCCGTAAAGCTCGTGCCAGTCCAAAGCCAGGCCCAAGTCATGCGAAGTCTCAGCGTCCAGTTGTCCAGCCACCAGTCGCCGCCACAGCCTCGCCTAAGCCTCCGGCCAAGAAGCCTTTTATGCATGCCCGAATGTCGGCGGCTCCTAGTCGTGCTGATGTAAGAATTCGTCGAATTTTAGATTTGATTTTGATTTCTTCAGCGCGCCGTTCGCCCTCGACCCACTCCAAGTCCGATCACCAGCACTCGCAGGCCCAATTCCAAGTCTCCGAGAGCTGTGGTCATTCCATCGACTATTCCAGAAGAGACGGAAAGTAATTCTTCAAAATCAAGTAGTTCCAGCTCTTCTGAATCCCAGCCGCCTGTTCCCAGCACTTCCCGAGCGTCTCCGAAGCCTCCGGCCAAAAAAGGAAAGGCTCCGCCCCAACCTAGAACAAGTGACCCCTCCCGTGCGGCGGTAGGGAGAACATTTACTAATCCTTTTGATCTAAAAACTGTTTCTGCAAAGCGTGGTCGCAATCTTGCGCATGCATTTTTGCGAGAAAAAAATTGACATTTTGCCATGTTTATGAAACTTGATGACTCAAAGAGTTGAAACTGTGATTGTTTGCAGCTTCGTCGCAGCTCTAGTGCTTCGAGATCAAGCGGTTCCCACTCTTCTGAACCCCAGCCTGAGGAGGATCAAGCTCCCAGTGATGCCAATGCTGCTCCTAAGCCTCGTCCCAAGCCACCGGCCAAGAGACCAAAGCTGTCCCAGAAGGCCCGAATGGATCCTGCACGCACGGTAAAAAACGGCAAATCTAAAACTTTTTTTTTGATTTTTGATTTTTTCGATGTTTGCTTTTGCTTTTCCAGGGATCAGACTATCAACTCCATCTTCCGGTGTCTCGAGTTCGCCGTCAAATGAAGCAGGAGTTGCCAAAGAAGAGAATGGCCAAGAACTCTTCGATTGCGGTGGCGGCGGCCGTCCAAACAATCCTCACCGAAGTCATTGCGGGCGCGATGGACGTGGCCAAGAGCCAAGGAACGACCCGGATAAACCCCAGACACATTATGATGGCCATCAAAGCCGATGAGGAGCTGGATCACATCTTCAAGGACGTGACTATCGCCGGTGCAGGATACGTCCCACTTCATCCGACTTTCTAGCTAATATAGAGAAATATTGTCGAGAACTGTCTGGTATTGTCTTGAAGTGACGTAAAATAAATTTTTGTAATGGAATTGGATTTTTTTTTATTGAAATTTATTAAATTTTTTTTTTGATTTTTAGTAGGTACCCCATGGCCATGTTTAATATATTTTTTTTTAACTCTTTACGCAACCTCAGAGAGACCAAGCAAATCGATGAGAGCTGGTCAAAGAAAAATATTTTTTTTTGCAAAGATTTTTTTTTGTTTTCTGTTCACTGCACGGTGCAAACACACTTCAATGTTTGCGCAGTGCAATGTCGCAAATGAAGAGCGATGAGATCCTTTGCACAGTGCGCGCTAATTGTCGCAAAACTTTCGCACTGTGCAAAGCAAACCATGTCGCGGTTTCGAACGCGACAGGCCTCTTTTTTTGCCATTGAAATTTTCCCCCAGAGAATTTGAGTTTTCCTCGGCATGCACCGTGCAATGAAATCTGAATTAAATTTCGTTCTCTGCACAGTGCAAATAAAAAAAACTTTTTTACCGCACTGTGCAATGTTTATAAACATGTAAAACCTGGATTTTGGCCCAATTACGTCAAAAATCTCATCAAAAGAACCAACAAAAAGGTCCAAACACCATTTTATAGCTTTTTTCCGACCCGACGAACTTGAATACTCATTAATTTTAAAACGCGTTTTACTACAAATCGTAGATTGGCCCGGACATTGTTGAGTCGATGTCTCAGAATCAAACCAAATTTGGTCAACCGAATCACCAATCGGTATGAAACAATCACTTGAATTTTTTTTGCCCACAGTCGTTATATGGAGGATTACTGTAACTTTCTTTCTGAGAAATGGATTGCATTTTCTGCAAAGATATAGCCGTATTTTAGTCGGATTGATCCACCACCATATGTTTTCGACCACGCAGAACATTTTTGTAGTTATGACCAAAAACTAAAAATTACATCTAAGCGATGTTTTACCTGCGGTAACATACCATTTCGGACATAAAATGGGCTATTGTAACCAGTAGCACTTTTAAATACGCTAAAAAGAAACTTCAACCTTTATCCAAAAAACCGTAGAAATTTCAAAAAAATCAAATATATAAGTTTTGAGATACAGGGGATTCAATATCTCATGTACACGGTCATCAGGTTCCCAAAAAAAGCTGGCATTCTTGGGGTTTCAACGCGTAGCACTTTTTTAATGGTTTTTCTACATTCTTAACCTTTGTAATGACGATACATCAAGTTCCAGGAGAAAAAAATGTGTAAGTTTTGAGAAAATCGCCAAAATACCTTATTTTAGGTCATCAGAACCCCAAAAAAGCTGGCATTCTTGGGATTTCAACGCGTAGCACTTTTTCAATGGTTTTTATACATTCTTGACCTTTGTAATGACGATACAGCAAGTTTCAGGAGAAAAAAATGTATAAGTTTTGAGAAAATCACCAAAATACCTTATTTTAGGTCATCAGAACCCCCAAAAAAGCTGGAATTCTTGGGGTTTCAACGCGTAGCACTTTTCAATGGTTTTTATACATTCTTGACCTTTGTAATGACGATACAGCCAGTTTCAGGAGAAAAAAATGTATAAGTTTTGAGAAAATCACCAAAATACCTTATTTTAGGTCATCAGAACCCCCAAAAAAGCTGGAATTCTTGGGGTTTCAACGCGTAGCACTTGTTCAACGGTTTTTATACATTCTTAACCTTTTTAATGACGATACAGCCAGTTTCAGGAGAAAACGATGTGTAAGTTTTGAGAAAATGGGCAAAATACCTTATTTTAGGTCATCAGAACCCCCCAAAAAATGGCGTTTTTGCGTTTTTCCTCTAAAACTTGCTATATCCCTGCAAAAATTGACAATAATGCATTATAAACCTCGAAAATCTGCGTCAGGCCAATCCCTCAAGAATATCAGGTCTTTCCGGGTTCTGATGACCCAAAGTAAGGTATTTTGGTCGCTTTATTAAAAAATTTTACATTTTTTTTATCTGAAGCCTGTCGTATCGTTCTAAAAAGTGACAAAAGTGTATCGGAAGCTTTCAAAATCTGCGCCAAGCCAAAAACCCAAGAATGCCAGCTTTTTTGGGGTTCTGATGACCTAAAATAAGGTATTTTGGCGATTTTCTCAAAACTTATACATTTTGTTCTCCTCAAACTTGCTGTATCGTCATTACAAAGATCAAGAATGTATAAAAACCATTGAAAAAGTGCTACGCGTTGAAACCCCAAGAATGCCAGCTTTTTTTGGGGTTCTGATGACCTAAAATAAGGTATTTTGGCGATTTTCTCAAAACTTATACATTTTTTTCTCCTCAAACTTGCTGTATCGTCATTACAAAGGTCAAGAATGTATAAAAACCATTGAAAAAGTGCTACGCGTTGAAACCCCAAGAATGCCAGCTTTTTTTGGGGTTCTGATGACCTAAAATAAGGTATTTTGGCGATTTTCTCAAAACTTATACATTTTTTTCTCCTCAAACTTGCTGTATCGTCATTACAAAGATCAAGAATGTATAAAAACCATTGAAAAAGTGCTACGCGTTGAAACCCCAAGAATGCCAGCTTTTTTTTGGGACCCTGATGACCGTGTACATGAGATATTGAATCCCCTGTATCTCAAAACTTATATATTTGATTTTTTTGAAATTTCTACGGTTTTTTGGATAAAGGTTGAAGTTTCTTTTTAGCGTATTTAAAAGTGCTACTGGTTACAATAGCCCATTTTATGTCCGAAATGGTATGTTACCGCAGGTAAAACATCGCTTAGATGTAATTTTTAGTTTTTGGTCATAACTACAAAAATGTTCTGCGTGGTCGAAAACATAAACCTGAACTCGATTCGCGCTGAAATATCGTTCCGTTTTCTCGAGTAGGTCACATCTTTTTTGAGAAAAAATGTTACAGTAATCCGTCATATGGTAACTTTGGGCAAAAACAAAGGAAGCGAATACTCTATGCCTAGGGATGATTAAGTTGACCAATTTTGGTTTAATTCTGAGACATCGATTTTAACAATGTCCGGCCTCCGTTAGGCTAAGCTTCAAAGTGTAGTGAAACGCGTTTTAAGCAATTAGATTCAATTTAAGTAATTTTTGCCAACTTTTTCCCATCATAGACAACACAAACCGGCTAAAAATTATTTTTTATTACCTTAATTTCCCTCCGCAAAAGCGGTTCTTGTGTACATTTCCGTTCTGTGCTAATCCAGCCTCGGAGATTTATCCGATTTTCGATGTAATCATCTCAAATTGCCTCAGGCGATATTTACAGCGACCCGTCAAGAGTTTTGAGAAAATTTTGTCTGGTCTTTTCGGACATGTATAACATCGCTTGACCTCGAAAAACGCAAAATGTCATAATTTTATGGCCGACTTTCCGTTTGAGCGCACTTTCTTTCGCACGGTCAGAGAAATCGCCTTTCTTTTTGTGCCAAATTTGGGGATTTATGTTGCAGAAAGAGCAGAAGGAGTGTTTTGGAGTAGTCGTTTTTTGGGGATGGTCATATATGGGGGTGAAAATTGTAGTCGTCCAAGTTTAAATTTAAAATTCAGGGCTCTGAAATCGCGACCTCTTCAGATCTTGATGAAATTTGTCGCAAATTCAGCTACATGGGAAGTACCCCAAGTGCGACGCCAGATTTTGATGAAACTTGGCACAAAGTTAGAACATTTTTTCTAAAATATATGCAAAAATACTAGTTTACGCTTTGCAGAAACAACCGAGTTTTTTAGATCAAAATTTTGCGAAAATTTGACACTTTTTGCCGAGTTTCGGTACAAAAAGATTCGTGCCTATTTCTACCATAGAGGATAATGGTTCCACAAAAAATCAATTTTTTCCGCACGAAACTGCCAAAGTTATGGCCAAAAAGTGTTTTTCTCTCTGACCACTCTCCGCGTTTAGCGTACTCTCTCGGCGGCAAAGACCGTTCAATATCGCGGCGGCGCTTGCAAAGCGCGAGCTAAAACTTTCAGGAATTGACATTTAGTCCATGCCCGACGTGTGTGCAAAATTTTTAAAAAATCTGAGCGTCGCACTTGGAGCCCTTGAATTTTTGCCAAATATCGATCATAAAATTGCAAGTGAAAAATCTACCGTGCCTTAGAAAATTGTAAGGGTAAATTTAAGCCCAGTTTTGCCAGAAATCAGAAATCAATTTTTTTTGAATATTTTTTTAAACGATTATCTGCAATTTCCGATTTCCCGAAATTGGCGCGGAGTATCTTGGTCAATGTTCATTACCATTTTCACAAATTTGAATGTCCTTTTATCCCAGAATGCCACCCTACACCAACTTTTTAAATTGACGTGATATCAGGAAACCAGTCTTAATTTTTGTTAGACCATCCAACATCTTAAGCCTTTTAGCTAATCCCCTCGTCGTTTGCAGCATGAATACCCCGCCAAAACCTCTGAACATCATGGCGGACCCACGGATTTTCCGTGGCTCCGTGGTGGCCAGACAGAGGGAGCAGATGATCAAGATGAAGCAGGTAGGCCAATTTTCGTATTTTCTGTGCTTGCTTTTTAAATTTTTCTTAAAAAATGTACACTCTATTACACAAGATAATTTTCTTTTTAGCTGTTAGGGAAATACTTCAATTTTTGATCGATTTTGAATATTTTTTTGAGGTACCCCAAGTGAATGTCTTTGATTTTCTTTAAGTTTTGCCCTAGTAGTCTAAATCCATATACAGTATTTCTACAAAAGAAACGTTGCTTGTCACACAAAAACTGCGGAGATGTAGACAAAAAAGTTTTTTTTTTGTATGGCCGTCTCTCCTCATTTTGGGTGCTCTCTCGAAAAAATTGATAAATAGGAGCTGACAGTTGCAGGAAGTACTTTTTGGCCTTGTGGGGAGCTTGTATGCTATATTTGAAAAAAGAAATCAAAGGAATATTTCCATTGTCAAATTTATATTACCCATGAGGTTTTTGATCAAAAATTTACCATTTTTTTGGCTAAAATGTGAAAAATTTGACGACAAATTTCGTTAAGAGTCAATCCTCCTCATATTCACATTTCCAAAGTTCAAAGTCTTTAAAATCCCCACAAAATCATCACTTTTAACATTACCCTTCAAGGAGATGGAACGTCGCCAACAAGACGAGCGTTGGCGTGCTTCAGTGGTCAGAACACGACTAAAAATCGCCATGAACGAGTCGAGCTTTATGTCCGATGATCAGCCTGAGATGCAGGCAATGCCAAATGGAGTGTTGCCTGAGGATAATTTGGTGCAGAAATTCGGAGCTTTCAAATTAGCACGGCTGAATGGACCTGTGGGAGTTCGGCCGACTTTTACGCTGAATCAAGGGGAATTTCCACGTAAGTAATTTGAAAATTAATGCATTTAAAATTTTTTTCATCAAAATTTTTATGTTTGAAAATTAGATTTTTTGAAGTTTTTACCCTCATATCTTGATTGTTTCTGCATAACGCGGTCAAAAAATTTCTGTCAACAACTTTAAAAGTCGTATTTTTCAATTTTTATTTTTTCAAAATTTTTCAAAAATTTTATTTTTAGAATCAATTGATGCTAAACTGCCTCCAGCCGCGTTGACCGACCAGCCGAGTCATCGTCGAAGCTTCCACGAAGCCCAGCAGTATTCCCTTTTCCCTTCTTCTTCCCGAACCGTTGCTTCGCCCAGTCTCCCAGCCCTGCCCAGCTTGCCTCCGGGCGTTCAGTCGATGCAATCGAGAAGGCCCAGCCAATTCAACAAAAATGTTCGATTCTTGCCGTTGCATCGAGCGCAAACCGACAAACATTTAATGGGTAAAATAGTTTCGTATATTTTTTATAATTTTGTAGGGTAAAATACGCAGTCTCTTATTTTCCCATTAATAGATTTTTTCATGTACCATCCAAATAAGAGCTCGAAAAATTAATTTTAATTTTTTTTATTTCCAGCCGGCTCAATGCCCCCTCTGTTGCCGGGTCAAGTCGATCTTTCCGGCCCATTGGGACCTTCCCGAAGAGGTGGCGGTCGATTTCGAGGACGAAGTCAATCGCAGAAGAACTTGCCAGTCATTGCCGGCCAACGACATACGAAAAGTTGGGACGACGTGGAAGATTTGACCGATCCCCCACCAACGGCTGTCGTTCTACAGCCCATGAACAACGTGGAAATTCAAACTGAGGACTTCTTGGTGAGTCTTACAGTTAGACTCACTTACAGTAGGCAATAGGTTCTAAACTGACGAAAAAATAATTTTTATTTGCCTCTGGAAAGATGATTTTGAAGTTTTAACTTTTAAAAAACACTTTTGATCCCATATCATCAAGTTTTCCTGTCATGTTTGGCCCTACAGAATCTTTGAATTCCTTGATATCCCATTTACAAGACCTTGAAGTTCTTTAAAAAGCCAGTACCGCTGCGTTTTTTTTTTGAATCGAGCTTTTCACGGAAATGTCCAAAAAATTGATTCGTTTTCCGTATTTATACCACTAACGGCGATAAAAATTATGATGGCATTCTCAAATTCTCAGCATATCATTCTTAGCCTATGTCCTTTTTCTGTTTCAAAGTTCATCCAAATCGGTCAATCCATCACGGAGTTCTCTCCAATTTAATCTACCTTCTCCTTCAGGCTTTCGACGAGACCTTTGAACCTTTGGTCCGAGAGATGGTGAATGGCGCCATCGCCGATGGAATCCGCAAACTCATGGAAGAAGAGGACCTTGAGCGGTATCAGCAGCAAGTCAACCAGCTAATGGATGCGATTGACGAGGAGAAACGACGCAATCAACTTCTCCAAGACAGTATTCAGCACCAAACCGAGGTTCAAGAAGCCCTTGAGGCCGAAAAGAAAACCGCCAACAAAAAGCTGGACGCCTTGGATTGCCGGAGAATGGCCATAGAGTTCGTAGATGACCTCCAGAAGAAATGCATGGGCCATTTGATGAACCGGAATCTGATCAAAGACGACCGATTCATGCGGGATGTGGCGGCGGACACAAGACAGCTACAAGCCGACTCAATGAAGCTGCAACGAACGGTGGAGGAGGTGCGGAAGGACTTCTTTCCCTTCGTTTATCAGCAAGCGGAACAAGTTTTCGTCCACCAACTCACGTCCAGCTACCTGAAGGATGGTGAGTATATTAAACTAAGCTAAAAAGTACAAGATTGATGACTGTTTCCAATAAAAATCCTTTCAGCTCTCTTCTCCAAGAACAAGGACTTCCGCCATGACGCGTACCAGCGATTGAACGAACAGATCAAGAGGTACAATCACATTTTGGGGAGGAAATCGAGTGGATCCTTGGACAGATTGGACAGTCCACCGTCTCCGACTCCTCCAATGTCGGCGATTCGAATCCGCAGAGATGTCTTCTGATCTCCATTTATCCCCGCCGTCTACCCACGCCAACCTCACTCTTCGCCTTATCAGAATTTATATTGTACTTGCTTACTACAACATAAAAAATTTCTGATCCAAATCAATCGTTATTACCATTTATTAACTAACAATAAAATTATACTGGAGAGGAGAGAAGGGCATGATATTGCCTGAGATTTAGCAGACACAGACACCATGGGATGGGACCACTTCCAAAATTAAATTAATTTACATTCAGATCTTCAAGAAAAGGTACAATAACTTTCGATACAAGAACAACATTTTCCTCCTCTAACATCGACATAGATGGAAACAGGGCATAGACCAAGAAAATATCAGACTGCAAACTATAACGGTCTCAGAAAAGGGGACTTTAAAACTAGACCTCAAAGTTAAAACAGAAAAAAATATTGGAATAAATTAAGGTTGGTTTAGAAGTGATTGTCGAGGCTAAAGTCTTCGGCAGGTCGTCCGCCACCTCGTTTGCTGGCTGGACCATCAAAAGAGCCTCCGGGTCTCTTCCCTCCGCGGCCTCCAAAGCCCGGTCTTTTGGGTCCTCTTTGGTTGGGACGGCCTTTTGGCCCGCCTGGGGGACCTCCATAGCCACCGCCATATCCAGCTGGTGGGTATCCGCCGCCTCCATAGTATGGGTCAGGGGCTTGGTAGTATGGGTCATAACCACCACCTCCATAATATCCACCTGGAGCACCGCCGCCATAGTAAGGATCGTATCCTTGTGGGGGAGGGGCGAATGACCCATATCCTGGACCGCCATAGCCTCGCTGTGGAGGGCCTCCTCTTCCCTTAGGGGGTCCGCCAAACTTGGATGGGCCACCTTTGCCTGGAGGGCCACCAACTCTTGGCATAGGCTTCTTCTTCAATTTATTGTCTTGCTGGGGCTTGGCCAAGCTGATCTCTACCTCAACATCTTCAATCTTGGTTCCTTGGAGAGCTTCCATAGCCTGAAAGGAAAAAAATTATCATCCACGCCGTTAAAACTATCAATCTTCATATACACTATCCATGAAATCTAAACACAAAACACAAAGAAAACCACTCACTTTGACAGCCGACTCCCTCTCCTTGTAGTGGATGAAGGCATAATCTCGGATCTTCTTGACTCTTTCGATCTCTCCGTATTCCTTAAAGATTTCATTGAGCTTCTCTTCAGTGACTGCTTCCTTCAAATTCTTCACATACAGCACCTTCACGGTGGACATGGTCTCCTCATCAGGTTCAGCTTGTTGCTCAGCCCAGTCAACGACAAGATCAGTGTTCCAAGGACGGATCTTAAAAACATATAGTTTTTACGACAAACAATAAAACTTTAGGTCCTAAAAATCGAAAAAAAACTTGTAAAATCCTCACCTTTCCTCCGGCTAACTTGCGACGGGCATCAGAAGCAGATTTGTGGTCGCCAAAGTCCACGAAGCAGAATCCACGGTTCTTCTTGCTTTCGCTGGCATCCGGGAAGCTGTAGATGATGACATCCGTGACGTTTTCAAGTTCTAAAACCAGCACATTACATCGAGCTCCCCCTCCAACTCATGGCACATCACAAAACTCCAGAAAAACTCCGAAAACTCTGGCTCCAAAAACTGATTTACCTGGATGTTTTTTTAGTTCTTCGAGAATATCCTCTTTGGATTTGGCTTTAGGAATATTCCCAACAAAAAGTCGGCGATTAGCCACAGAAACGTTGACTTTCAGCGCTTTTCCCGGCAGAATTTCGTGTCCGTCAAACTAAAATCAGAAGAAAAATGTGTGATTTTTCGAATTTTTGGTAGGCATTTTCGCCCGTTTGACGGTCAATTTTTCGATGTCGACCGATGTTTTTGGTCGATTTTTGGGCGGTCCCGATTATTTTGGAGAACGCGACCCATGAATTTGCATTATAATTTATTTCGTGTTGTTTTTGTTTGATTAATATGAGATTTTCACCTTAATTTAGATTAGATGCATCTGAAAATTTTGAAATGCCTACCTTTTTCACAGCCTCGTGTGCTTGTTCCTTGGTCTCGTAGACCAGGAAAGCGTAGCCGCGGCTTCGTCCCATGATGGGGTCCAACATCAGCCTAAGATCATAGATCTTTCCGACTTCCGCGAACTTCTCGGCAATCTTATCTTCAAAAATATCCTTAGGAATTTGGCCGATGAAGGTCTCATGGCCGTGTTCTGGGGCTGGGACATCTGGTGGAGCGTGGTATTTGCGTTGTCCCACAGTCACTTCCAAGGTGTAACCAGTGGATTCAACGAGCTTCTTGATGTCTTCAATTGGAGGTCCAGGGATCAGCGCAGATTTCAAGGCCTCTGAGGCTCCAACCTGACGGACCTTGTCCTTGAAGTTGCGCATCACAGACATCACGAATTGGGGTCGGTTATGAACACCATACAACCCACTTCTCTAAAACATAAACAGAGATATTATATTAAACAGATCAAGTACAAAAACATTCTGAAAATCAATTTAATACTTCGGTAATTCATCTAAAAGACAAACCCAAGATAAAAATAAACCCACCTTGATCTCATTGAGGATGAACTTGGCCTGATCAGCACCAAAGTTTCCTAAAGCTTCGATGGCTCTTTCATCAAAGTCCTCCAAGGTCAAACTCAACGTCTCAAAGAGCGCAGAAAGCTCCTTGGCAACGTCGGTGTTGAGCTTCTTCTCGGTACACACCTTCTGAAGGTCAGTTCCATCTCCATTCGATTGGGCCTGCAAATCCATTATGTTATATACACTCAATACCACAACAAAACCTCAATAAAATTGCCACAAGTTGATGAGTCATAACCGATCTAACTCAAAACTTCCACGAATCCTACCTGTTGTTCCATAGCCTCCTCCGGCTTCGCTTCGGGCTTCTCCTCCTTGATCGTATTTCCATTCTCCGCCATTTCCACGTCGGTCATATCACACGAATTGCTTGAGCTGAACGAATATAATCGACCAGAATATGCAAATGTCTCTCGCTGGCACGAAAAAACTCCGCACTTCGCAGAGAAATCGATTCGCGTTTGGCGGAAAATTTGAAAACAAACCTACGATACTTTTCGTGGCGGGACGCAGCGCACAGTGTGGCGCAACGCCAAAAGCCTGCCGCAAAATTTATTCATCGTGCACGAGCTCATGATTTTGAAGTTTTTATGACCATTCTCAGCCGAATTCACGATTCACACCGATGGTTTTCCATTGCGCAAGAAAGAATTATGTTATAGTTGACGTCACAGGCAAATAACGGTTCAAAACATGAATTTAAGGCCACAGAAAAGGCGGTTTTTTGCAGCACAAGAAGAACGACTCTTTTCGAGAATTTACTGTTATTGTTTCGTCGTTCTGTCGTTTATTTTTATTTTTCGTGAGCTCTGATATCGGTTCTTATCTAAAATTCTTTGTTCTTTTAGTGATGTCGGCGGAAGTCGAGAAGGCTAATGGGTCTGGGGAGGGCCAAGAGAACAGTAAAGATTCTGATTCGGACACCGAAGTCAGCACTGACGATGTCTATGAGGTAAGGGCTGGTTTTTTGCTTTTAATTTTAGGTGCTTTATGGATAACATGAAATGCCTCGACGATTTTTTTGAATAATTCGTTCATTTTTAAATGAAAAACTTTTTAGCCGAGTGATCATTAGTTTTAGTCCAAAATGACTTCGCACTGACAGTAAATTTTTTAGATTCAAAAGATCGTTGGTCACAAATTCGAAGGTCGCAAAGTCCTGTTCCGTATTCGCTGGGTAGGATATGGACCGGGAGATGACACATGGGAGCCAGAAGGCAATCTGTTGGGGTCAACTTCTGTTGAAATGGTGGATGAATACAAAAAAAGATACGGGTTGGACAAGAAAACATCTAAACCAAAACAGAGGGCTCCGAAACCTGCCAAGAAAATCCAAAATGCGATCCTCAGCGACAGTGACTTCGACTTATCGCAGAGTAGTAAACAAAATCAGCCTCAAACTAGCTCACGTAAAGAGCGAACTTCGTCTCCAGAGGATGATGAAGATGTGGAGATGAATTTAACTGATGATACCGGCTGGTTCGGTGTCAAGCCTGATGAATCCCATCGAGATTTGAAGAACTTGTTTGTCACTGATAGAAAGTTGACGCAGACGGAAAAGGTAGGCAGTGATCTGCATCAATTTTCTATGCTAGATAAAAAAAATATTTATTTATGCTTCTTCAGCTGCTAACAGACATTCACGACTCCGGTGCTAACCGAATGACGCGCTCACAAATTCGGGAACTGCTCAATTCGTCCACAGCTAGTACGGTTTCGCCAGGTAAACTATTTTTTTATTGTATTATTCTGAATTTAGTGAAACAGCCCAAGAAGAGGAGAACGGAGAGAGCTGAACATTTTAGGCGTTCTGCTTCTCCAGAAAAATCGACTGAGGCTAATGAGAGGAAAAGAAAACTTGATGAAGAAGATGATGAAGTTAAGGCTAAAAAAGCCCGAAAAGAATCGAAAGAAGTGGCTGAGCTTCCATCAGAAGGTCAAAAGAAAGTTAAGAAAGAAAAGAGAAGCAAGAGTGAAGATGGAAACGACTCGAAAAAGCATGAGAAATCGCATAAATCCAGTAAAAATGGGAGACCTGATGAAGAAAAGAGAAAAAAGTCGAAAATTGAGAAGTTGGAAAGAAAGGCTGAGAAAGAACATCGAAATGGGGCAGAACCGGGCGCTCCCAAGCCTACAGCGCATGATTCGGTAAGAAAACGAAGGAAATTTCAAAGGATTTTGACCTGATATCAAGTGCAATATAATAAGATTTAAATTTTCAGGTTAAGGATGCGGCCGTTCCCATAATAAAGACTAAGGTGGTGACATCTGAGAAGAAGAACAATTTCTTCTTTAATTATCGGATCCCAACCAAAGGACCGGAGAAACTCCCTTCGACTAGTAATGGAGACTTCAAAAAGCCGAGAGATCCCGTCCCTCAAGGTGTCGCCGTCACGTACGGATCACAGAAACTATATATAAATGATGGTTCTAATGTTGCGAGTGTGTTGAATGAGTTACCGAAGGAGAATGATCCGATTGAAATGGATCAGAAGGTAGTGTAATATAATTTTTTTTTTGATTTTTCGATATGTTGTTGGATTATAGGTAAAATTATGTATTTAGGCGTTCAATGAAGCGGTTCTATCGGGTAAATTGAGATTGGCGAGGAGTGCTTTGCTCTTTCCGAACTCCAAAATTGACCTCAATTGGAAGGATGAGGATGGTTCAACGTTACTTCATAAGGTGAGCTGTTGAATTTGGAGGGTTCTAGGATCATTTAAGAGCTATTTAATGAACATTTGAGTTTTAAATTTTAGAAAATGTGATGAAATTGTCTAAAACAATATAATTTTACCTTATTCTAGCTTGCCGAGTCCGTCTGCGATCCCCAGCACAACCCGGACGACATGATCGACCTCCTAATCAACTCTGGAGCTGACCCGAATATTGTGGACAAAAAGCGAGGCCAAACTCCTTTGCATGTGGCCTGCTCGAGTCGAAGAAATTGCCATATTATTAAATTGCTGAGATTGTCGGTTAATTTGGACGCCGTCGATGCGAATGGAGAAACAGCGCTTGGAATGGTCATGAAGAATCTTCCAGTTGAAATTACGAAGATGTTTTTGATGGCTGGAGCCGATTATTTCCCGGTTTTTCGGCCAAGAAATGGATTTACGAAAGCTCAAATGAAGCCGGTTTTACAGTACGCGGACAAGTTGCAGATGGTCATGGACAAGATCAGGGACAGCATGATTAAGTAAGCCGTAATTTAAAGGCATTTCGGTTTTGTTTTGGGATGTTTCAGAAACTGCACTGTGCACAAAAATGTTATTTTTGCACATAGATTTAAAATATTATATAAAGTTTTTTTTGGAAACCAAAATTTTTTTAGGAATGCATCGAGGTTCCACACGTACTGTAATGTCTACCAGACGGGACTATTTGGCCGTGAAGAAATCGAATTCAAGTTTTATAATGGAGAGAGTCCAGCTCCGAATCCGGGCGAGAATCGGTACACCATCGTCATGTGTGCGATCGGAAGAAATGTTAATGGCGTAAGTTCCTGAAGGCTTTTGTTTGTGAATGTTTAGATATTGTTGTAGAAGACCCAAAGTGATTTTTATATTCTTGGTCACGGATAATATAATTTTTGTTTTTTTGCCAGAAATTGTACTTTGTGGTTTCAGAAGACCAGCGCATCTATCTCTGTCCCATGCCCGATTATTGAATTGTCGATTAATGGCCGCATATTGGAAAGAATTTCTCCGATGGTCAACTTTGTATATGGATCTCCAGCCCTGATCGAAGACTGTGTCCACACCGTCAAGATGAAACTCTTCAAACAAAACACTCCAGATCTCCTCTTCTTCCAAGTGATAACGATCTACCGCACCACTAACTCAAACCCAGAAAGTGCTAAGGCCAATGTCTAGTATTTATTTTAATGTAAGGCACAGAGTTTTATGTCTATAAATCGGCTAATTAGGTTCTTTAAGGATCGTCTTGGAAGTCTGGGAAATTTCGGAGGGACTGGGAGAACTTTAGTTGGGCTAGAGGTGTCTGGGATATTGTTTTGGGCATCAGTGGGCAGGAAAGTACAAATTTTTTTTGATTTTTTTGTTGGAGGTGCACTTTATATTTAAAGTTTATTTCTATTGACTTGGTTAGTCCTCCGCAACCGAAATTTTCTGTTCATGAAGAGCTTTTTAGATTACGCTACCTAAAATTTGATATTTTTTCGTCAAAATCTCACCTCTTATTAGACTCAGGGCTTTCTAAGATTCCTTGAACGGCTTAATTATGCTGTTTCTTTATTTTTTTCACTTCTCGAATTTTATTGTTACATATCTTGGTCGTCGTCAACATTGATCTCATCCTTATTTTGTGTGGTAATCCCTTATTTTTTTGTTTCTTCTAGAGCTTCTCATGGTATTCAAAGTTTAGGTAATAATGTTGCCCAGCCGGTGATACGGGTATCCTATTTATTATTTTCTCTTTGCTAATAATGGAACTTGCAATAAATATTAAAACGAGAAGTGAAATGATGAATTTTTTGATGGGTCGAAGGCCTAAAAAGACATGTTGAGGGAAAAATAATATTTCCGTGTAAAATATGAGTTGTGCAATCAATTGTTCCTTTCAAGTTGACAGGGGAATACCCCAAGTGCGACGCTCAGATTTTGATGAAACTTGGCACAAAGTTAGAACATTTTTTCTAAAATATATGCAAAAATACTAGCTTACGCTTTGCAGAAGCAACCGAGGTTTTTCGATCGAAAGTTGGCGAAAATATGACACTTTTTGCCGAATATCGGCACGAAAAGTTTCTTGCCTATTTCTACCATTGAGGGTGATGTTTTCACAAAAAAAATGAATTTTTTCGGCACGAAACTGGCAAAGTTATGATCAGAAAGTGTTTTTCTCTCTGACCGCTCTTCGCGTTTAATGTTCTCTCTCGGCGGCAAAGACCGTTCAATATCTCGACGGCGCTTGCAAAGCGCGAGCTAAAATTTTCAGGAATTGATATTTAGTTCATGACCGACGTGTGTGCAAAATCTAAAGAAAATCTGAGCGTCGCACGTGGGGTACTTCCCCTGTGAATTATTTTTTAGCTGCACGGTGCAGATTTTTTTTAATCTAAAAATTTCTTCAGAAATGCCTCCAAAAGGTCTCAAAACTCTCTCCAAAAAGAAGAAGAAGACTAAAGAGCCCGTCGAAATCTTCGATGTTGGTCGTCCTCGACCACAAAGAGCCTTGGATTGTGCTCGAATAATGGTCGATTTCCTCGAGGCAATGTTCCATAAATTGGCCCTGCAATACTGCGACTTGAAAGGAAAAGTCGCCGATTCCTTCTGTGGGATCTTGTATTATCGCTGTGCGAGAGAAGCGATCCGAACTTACATGACGGACATGAGATCCACACTCAGGTATTGGATCAGCCATCAACACTTGACCCGATTTTCGGTCGTTTTGAAGGACGTGCAGAGCGGGGAAGAGCTGGGGATTATCACGTTTGGGTTGTTCTCGGGGACTGACAGAAATTGGGCGTCAAAGTGAGAACTTTTTATATTGTACTTGGTATTAGTCAAAAAGAAAATATCATCAAAAGAAAAAAAAAGTTTTTAGAGCCATTCGAAAGGGAGTGATACACGAACTGAAGGATCAGCTGATGATTTTGTTTGAGAAATTGGATGAACTTCCCACCAGAGAGCAGTTCTTGAAAGATTTTGGAGAGCGAGGTAAGAATAAGGAGGAAAATGAGGTGAAGATGGTTCGCGATTTGAAGACAGAGCCTTTTCTGATACTTTACATTTAATTTCAAGCTTCTCTGGCTTTTAAAATTTTGGATAACATCAATTTTTCCATTTTTTGTCATGTTGAATATCCGGTTTTCGTGTGAATTTGATTTTTTTATGTTGTCTTAGGCTGTGTGTGTATTTATAATGCTTTATATGTGTTATTGTGTGTTTCAGAAGTGGGTGCCAAGATCCGTTTATCCTTGCTGCCTGAGGTCCCAAAACCCGATCTTGTCTCGGTAAGTTGCACTGTGCAGTAGCTAAAAAATTTTCAATATCGATTTTGAGTAATACAAAAATGGAGACGTCTCGTATTTTACCCCAAAACTTTTAGGCCATAAAATGGAAGCATGATCCAGATGCTTTGTGTGCCCCAAAGAAGAAACTCCTCTACTCAACCCCTCGAATTAACAGTGAATTTGTCGAGTTCTCACTTCAATGTAGCTCTTCGATCATTGGAAAGGACTAATCTCACTTATTTTTATATTATACCTCATACATTATGCCTCATGTACAATATTTCCCCAAATCTCTCGCATTCAAATGTAAATAAATCCTTTGCTGCTTCTCATTTATTTAACCATCAAGCATATCGGTCATCGGGTGTTGATCTCGCCAATCAGAAAAATTTACAATAAAAAGTATGTTACAGTAAGACGAATTACCGTAGGACAAAATTTTTAGAAATGCACAAAAAGGAACCGAGAAATTCGAGAGAGTTTTGGCTGAGGTTGGAAATATTGCGAAAATAACCGAAGACTACCGTAACCCCCGGGTTACTGTAACAACATGAACGGGGGTTACTGTAACACGCGATATTACAATTGGCGAGAGGTAGTTGGGGCGTCACAAAACTTGGAGTGACTGACAATAGTTGAGTGAGAAAAATGAGGGGTTTGTAACAGGAATACCGCAACAAAAAAGTTACAGTAAGATCGATAAAGTTACAATGTTTGCGCAGCAAAAATAAAGATTTTTTTTTGAATGATCTATTCGGTGAAGACGTAACAGTCAGCGACAAGCTACAATAGAACTATAACAAGTCAGAGGGGTACTGTAACGAGTCACAGTAAGACGCTTGGTGGAGGAGTCGAGGAAAATGCATAAATTTTGAACTTTGAGGAAGAGATAGGAATATTGGGTTCCTTTAGACAAGGATTCAACCCAAAACATTACAGTAAGAACAGGAAAAGAGGTACAATAACAGGGTTACTGTAACAAAACGGCGATCTCCGCACGCTCAGATGTCTCTAGGAATAATTAAAAACAAGAATAGAAGCCCGTTTCGTGAGGTTTTTGGAAGAATAAAAGCGAAAATTGGGGTTACTGTAACATTTCAATCGTCTAGCTACAGTATCCAAAGTTTCTTTGAAGCCTTTACATTCAATTTATAGCCTCAACTAAGGCCTAAATTTAACGTTCAAGCCTTAAAAACACCCGAATTACCGTAGAGGAGACTTCTCGAAAAGTACAGTAACCCAGATTTGGAGGAACAGACTACAAAAGCTACCCGAAACACAAAATTAAAATACGAAAACGTTTAGCTGAACGGACTTTAGAGACAAACAAAACCGGGGCCAGAGATCATTTAGAATTTTGGAGGGGGGATTACTGTAACAAAGAAAATGATTACAAAACCTTCGTGATACACGTTCCAAACACTGCGCGCTTGGCCGACTCTTCGCACCTCGGCTTATGCACAACACCGAAAATTTTCGTTGTGATTTCCCTTTGTGCCCTGCGGGGAATGGGGATTTGAAGCGCTCAAAAAATATAAAAATTTATTTTTAGCGATGCCCTGGAGGAACAAATTTGTCAGAGGCATGAAATAAAGATTATAATCGAAGAGGCTCGCGAAACCCGACGTCCCATGGATTACTGTAACAAAAATTACTGCAACAAAAAATTACAGTACTGCCACGAATCCGGGGCCACAAATATTGTACGATTGATGGAAATTGATTATAAATATCCGGTACCCAAAAAATTTTCAGAAATTCCATTACTGTAACATAAAATTACCGTAATTTCTCTCTTATATTTGCAAAAAATCCGAAAAAATTGATATTGTTTCACAGAATCTAGTCTAAACTTCCCTCGACGGTTGAGTTTTGCCAGAAATTTTAATTTACAAAACCAAAAACACCCATATATTACCTTAGTCCTATCAAAGAACCCAAAAACTTCGGATTACCCTTGGAACTAACAGTCTGACTAACATAAAAGCTTACAAAAAAACACTACCAAACTAGGTTGAAGACTCGTTTTCATCGACAAACGCCCTAATGAGTTTCACTTCGCGGCCCAAAAATGGAAAATATTGCAAAATTTTGGGCCGACGGAATGAGCGCGGGACACAGTAATGTACAAAGGCTATTTACACGTCCTTGCGGGAGGGGAGGATGTCAATTGGAGACGAGGGAAGAAGGTGTGGGAAGATCCGAGACTTGAGATTGAAGCCTTGCCATTCGAAATTCATTAAAATTACAGTATCCAAAAATCAAAATACCGTATTCAAATACTCGTTTCGTAGCTTTTAATAACCGTTTCGGCTATTTTTGCATTCAAAATTTCAATTCAGACCAAAAACTCGTCAAAAAGTCAAAATTTTTGGTCTCAACACGAAAACTTGGCATAGTGCTTCAAGACAAGACAGTTGGGGGTGTTAAAAGTTTATAAAAACGTAAAATAACTTAAAACTCAACAAAATGAGGTCGAAATAACCAGTTTTTCGGGACCTGTAACGACTGGAGAGAAGTTGAAGACGACCCGAGTCCTCTAGCTGAGGCCCTGAGGGCGCGGACTGGATGGCAGACAAATATCGGAGATTTCGGAAGGTATTACATTCAAAAAGAGTTGGATGGATTCCCGAGATTCTCTGGGCATAACACCGGAAAACAGGGAGGGTTCAAAGGCTTCAAAGAAGTCGGAATTTGTGGGGGAAACAATATGCAGATAAGAAATAGAGGGGGAATATGTCAAAAAATAAGAGAAAACAATTCAATTACTGGGACAATTTCGAGGAAAACACCAAAAATTTAGGGAATGGGACCAAAAAAATTTAGAAAATCGGGGGGAATGGCTATTTTTTGACAAATTTCGGGATAAGGAGCAAAAATTATTGGATTTCCGGCAAAATTACAGTAAACTTTTAACATAATAGCCACCGTAAAATTCGCCAAATCTCCAATCTAGCCCAAAAACAGCCAATATACAATAAGAAAACATTTACAAAAAAGAAAGAATATTAGGTTAGGGTTACTGTAACAACAAGTTAGACTGGTTAGCTACAGTAAGACATCAGAAAAATTGGGTTGGGGATCATAAACTCGGTCTATGACCAGACAAATTCCGGTATTTCTACCGAAAAATGACTAAAATGGAATTTGCATATTCAAATATATAGTATAATATATATTCAAATTTGCGTCCACTATATTAGAGCGAAAAGAAAAAAAAAACAATTGTTATACAAATCGATGAAGAAGACGAAATACATACAAGATTATACTGTACAGACTCTACAAGTATACAAATCTTCCTCCTCTTTCTTCTTTCTTTTCGGGCTAGTCTAGACGGCGGCGCAGGCGCTGATCAGTTGGAGTGGGTGCACTCGGATGGGGGCTGGCTTCGACTGGACGGGGGGCAGAACCAGCTCGTCCACGGAGTCGCAGGAAGGCGATTCTGGGTCCGTCTCGGAGATCGAGGCCATCCCGGAGCTGGCCGTTGAGGGCGTGGGGCTGGTGCGCCATTTGGGTTGTGCCGAGGCCGGGCGTTGGAACTCGGTGAGCCAGTTGCAGGGCGGCTGGGGAACGTGGCGTGCCATCGGGGAATCCGTGAACTTGGAGCCCGCGTACAGCGAGGAATTCGAGCTGGTTCGGCTTGAAGGGCTGGGTAGGCCAGCTGCCAGTCCGGACATGTTCGGTTTGGGGGTTCCACACAACGAGACCGAGGAGCGTTGGCGTCTGGGACGCTGAGTTCGGGTCTCCATACAGCCGGCCGACTGGACCGTGTGCAACTGTCGCGGCTGCGGCGCTGTCGAGGTGGTCGGGCCGCTGATGTTGCGGCGGGGCCGGCGTTGCGGAGTTGTTCTCTGCGGCGTGTTCATCGTGCCGGCCGGAGGTTTTAGGGGGAAATTACAAAAAGAGAATAAAAAAACTAAAAATAGTGGAATGATTAATATAAATGGTTATAAAAAAGGATCAAATATGATTAAATTCGCCGCGAAGAGACTCGAAATTCAATAAAAATATGATAAAACATTATTTTAGACAACTAAATCGCCAAATCTCCCAACTATTTATATTATCCATCACAACGATACAAAAAAGTCCAACCTCCTGACCTAAATCCTCTGATGAATGTAAAAACCCCTTATAAACCCAAACCAACTCCTAATACTGAGATGTAAGAACCACTTTCTTCTTATAAACCTCTTTCTTTCAAGCAGACAAAAATTGTAATCAAGATCAACAGAAAAAATAAACAGCTTATCTTTGCGAGCCAGGTTCCTGTCCGGAAGCCTCGGTTACGTCAACAAAATGCTAATCTCTTGATTACACATACTTTTTCTAGCTTTGTATAATCAAAAAAGCAGAGAAATCCCCAAAATATAATCCCATCCAATTAAAACTCCCAAATTCTCTGTCACGTAAACAGAAATGCCTTCAAATTTAATTGTAGCTTTGAACGTCCCTCAAATCTCCATGGAGACGCGATAAATGGTTTAAGTAGGTAATTGTACACCAACTACCTCATTCTACAGTGCGCCGACTACATTTAAATTGTATTTACAACCAAATTTATCAACTCTCGACAAAATTCGAAGAGCTCTCAGCCTCATGCTGTGACTCACTTTTTCCCAACTGAAGAAAGCGAGAGAAAAGCCAATCGCTCCGCTCCGAAGTAGCTCCGGAGCACAAGACCGAACACGAGACTTGTCTCCGTGGGTCATATGCGCGGGGACGGCGAGAGTGCGGGAGATAAAAGGAAATGGGCAAACAAAGTGCTAGAAATGGCAAGAGTTGTTTTTTGGTGCGGGGCCATAAAACAATGGCATTCGACTACGGTAAATGTTGAAGCTTAAAATAGCCAAAGTGCCTAGAAGTCAACGGATTCAGGTTAATATACCGAAGAATCGAACCAACCCGTCAGAGAAGGCCCAATAAAAAGGGAGGCGCAAGGAAAATACGATTTCGAAATCGCTCTTCCCGAAGCTGCCAACGATTTCGCGACTATTTCGTCACAAAATCGCTGGCGTTTCTCTCCTGGCCAACAGTACCCTACCATCAAATTAAGCCCATTCTTCGGGTCAAGATTGATGGTACAGTACCTTTCTTTTCACAGGCAACAATGGTTCCTCGCGCCCACCAAAAACCTTGCGACCCAGCCCATTCCATTCTATAGTAATTACCATTCAAATCGACGTCTATATTTAGCGGTAAAAGTCGATAAAAAGTTACGATTGAGCTTCTGAAAGACAAAAACCAAACGAGTTCTACTTTTCGTTTAGCGAGTAGTTTTACGATTCCACTGTTTTCGTAAAAAAAAGCTTACTTTCCCAAAAATGGAAAATTAGGGGTTCCTAATGCACAGACTTCAAGCGTTGTGTTCGAGTCCTAATTCAACATGACCATTATTTCAAAAAGAATAATTTTACTTTCCAAAAATATTTCGACGCACTAATTTCCGGGACAAAATCAAAGACCGACGGACCCACGTCATCTCCTACCATCTCTGCACAAAATTACTTTTTACTTTTACTAGGTAAAAGTAATAGCAGCTACTGTACAAAAAAAAATAGAGCGAAGATTCGATTGGCGTCTGTCCAATAGGAACCGAATGAAAAAACTGTTCGGCCGTTCCGAAACGTCCGCCGCAAAGAGATTTATTTGCCCGGGGGCACGAGGCGGCTGTGATCACAGGGCCTTTCCGGGGTAGGGGTCATGGGTGCTGTCTCCCCGGGATTACGTGGGAACAGACCCATTGTAATCCCGTGATTATTTTTGTCTGCGATCAACCAATGGGTCTGGTCTATACACAGGGTATCCCAAATTTTTCGTAAAGTCTGTTACAGGCTAAAACTGCTCGATTCAAGTCAAGAAAATCTCTATTATAGATATAGCAACTACTGCTATTACTATAATAGAGGTTTTATAGACTGCAACCTATGAATCATCACAAATAGGATCACAACTCGACGAACGCCCTGCCGATCCGGGGGTCATATTCTCTACGTTTTGGCAGGTTCCCAAAACGAGCACGGGACCTCGAATGGGGGCTGTTGGGGGGCCAGCACTCCCTATGGGAGGAAGGGGGTCTGATGGGGGAGGGCGACGTCAGAAAAAAGGTCCGGTTGGGAGAGGAAGAGACGGGGTCTGTCGCCTTTTCTCTCCCTCCCGACTAATCGATTCCCAAAAACCCCGAGCGACGAAACGGAGAGGGGCTTGACGAGATACTTCGAGGCACTCGGAGAGGAAAAAGAAGCCAGCGATACACGAGAGAGGACGGCCTTTTCTCCATTATGAATCGAAGAGAGAGGGAAGGAAACAGCACTGCGAAGAAAGGGATCTCCTGCATTTGTCGAAAGGAAACGAAATACAACGCGACCGAAAGAGAACTCAAATAAACTCCCAACAATCACGCGATCAACGAAGAAAGAGACCTTGTAATTCGAGGAGAACCCAGACGAAAGAGCCCTTAAGAACACAACCGAAACGACGATCGACCGCAGCTGTTAAACAGCCCTTTTCTCTCAGAAAAGCAAATTTTTAATTACTTTTGAGATAGGATTGCGAGTTTCTTTCACCAAAATGTCAATTAACTTTTGGAAAATTGTCAAGAAAGTTATTTTCAACCACAAACAAACATGCAACCTCAATTTAGCTACCCAATTTAGCCTTATATCCACCAAGAGTCCTCAAGATTTCAACATTTACCCAGAGTCACAACACCGCGCAATTTTACGTCCAAAAAATTTCGAAATATAACATCAACAGACGAGAGCACGAGAGAAAAGGGCTTTCAGACAGAGATCCATCACTCAGCTGTCATGAGAACTCTCGGGAGGCACAAAGGGATGCACAGGGATCACGAGGAACCAAGAGAACCTCCAACATTTCCCTCCATTCGTCGGAAAAGGACACTGTCATGTGGAAGGTGTTTACAGCCAGAATGAGATCGGAAACATCTGGAAACGCAGACAACCAAGGCCGCAAATACGACCTTTGTCACAGTGTTTATGCTTCATCGGGCATATGGCGGTTTAAATTACTTGATTTAACAAGTTTTTCAAATTATTTTGTTTGCCTTTTGCAAATTCTTCTTTTTGATTTTGCAAAAAGCACTTTACTTATACTGTGAGCTCTCTTTGAATAGAAAGGACGATTAGCATATTCTTCTATCAACAAAACTGTTCCCTTTTATGAGACCACCTGAGAGCATTTGAATTAATTTTCTCTTTTTATCAACAATGAATTCTTGGACTAAATCAATATCCAAATTTAAACAAAACAGCTCTGTGGGTTCTTAAACAATCTACAGAGCAATAAGACATTCATTAAAATCCTATACCACCAAAAAAACTATATCCGTGACCAGCAAAAAATATAATATAAAGATCATCCCGTTTCTCTTGCAAATCCCCACTTTTCTGCTCCAGATACACCTCTGAAATAATACCAGACCACCTGCACAAAACCAGTCCAACGTAGCCGAAATCCCCCGACAAATCTCCCAGAGAAACCAAAAAAAAAATCTCCGGAAATTCAAAAAAAATCAAGTCGAAGAGATCAAAACAGATTAATCGGAATTTAAATTCCCTGGGAATTAACACAAGGGCTTTAAAATGGAAGTGAAACACGTCAATCTAAGAAAAAAATTTTAAGTATACTGTACTTTTAAATAGCACTAGTGTAATTTCCCAGGAAGATTAATCAAGAAATTGATATACGATTAGTAAACAAACTGGGAAGGGGAAATCATATGATATTCTTCATAAAAATTTGAGAAACCCCAAAAAATGTATCAAGTTCAAGGTATAAAATGGGTCAAAGCCATTAGAAATGAAGTGTAACATGTGAAAATCATATATTTTTTTATTAGTCAAACGTCAACAACAACGTAAATCAACAACAAATGTTGTAACAAAGTCATACCGAAAATTTGCAGACAAAATTTTGCAGATCTAAATAATTTTTATTATTATACTAATAAACAGCTCAAAAGTTTGACTGAAAATTTTCGGTAAGCCCTGTTACGACCCTTTACATTACCGCACACACAGTTTAGCGAAATTCTTTTTTGACTTTCTTTAATTTCTCCTTCTTTCGGCTTCCAATTTCTGTCGATTCAATGACTCCGAATGCTTTTAGTCGTTCTTTGGAGGCCAATTGGCAATCTGGTCGTTTCCTGATCGATTTTACCTTGAAAGGAATGGGAATTAGATCTTCATCTTCCATTTTGACATCCATCAAGTCGAAATCCTCCTCTTTGGCCTGGGGAAAAGGATCGTCGACTTCAACAGGCAATTTTATCCATGCAATTCCTTTGATCTTCTTCTCTGAAAAGGAAAATTATAAAATTAGAGTCCAAGTCAAAAAATCTGAACCAAAAATAAGGTAAATTAAACTTCGATTTTCATATTCTCTCTATTCAAATAGCATTTATCAACACAATTGTAAAAATCCACCGTTTTTGACCAAAAGAATCTAGACTAGACCAACTTACTTAGTGGAAGTTTAGGATTCTTTTCGCCTCGAGTTTCTGGAGCTTCAAAGAAGTACATGGATTTGTTAGGCGCTTCTAACTCGCATTCCATTACTCCTTGAGTCGTCGCCACTGCCTTTTCACAATTCGAGGGTTTGATTTTCTTCGGGAAAGTCATGTTCTGTAGCTCATCAATGCATAACTGAAAACAGATTACAACTAAGACTAATTGAAAATTTTATGCTGTCAGAAAATTCCAGGCTCTATTGACGACCTACTGCAAAAATATCTGAGTTTATAACATTCTCCGGCGTTGGGAGCTGCTAGAGAAGTTATGTTATAACACGTCAAAACGGGCAATCTAACATAAAAATTCAATATAGACCAACAGAACGCCCAGAATACTAAAAGATATTAATGAGACCATCCTAGAGACCTCATCAATGATCAACCGCAATGAAACTGAATTTCAAAGCTCTATAGAACTAAAACATCGACTATTTTCCCCCCGACTCATGCTCAGTGCGGCATAACGCTCTCTCTAAACTTCGAAACAAGCGTAAAATCAAAATAAACTTACAGTTTTAGGTTTCCTGACCAGCCAAACATCAATTCCTTCCAAATCTGAGGCATGTCCATTTACGTGGTATCCATTTGTTGATATTGTTTCGTCAAATCTGACCTTCTTCAGAAAACTGTCCTCGATTATTTCGGAATCTTCTTGAGACTTCCGTTTACCCATCTTTCGACGCACGAAGCGGTTGTTGAACAAAATTTTGTCGCCTTTTGAAGGTTAAATCAGAATGCCAATACGATTGTTTTCGCTTTGGGAGAACATAAACTTTTTTTAAGCTTTGGTCCTGCCACGAAAACATCCCCGCGAAAATTTTATTTAAAAATGCTTATTTCATTTCGTCGCAAATTTTTCACGAAATTTTTTTCCGCAGTTCGAATTATACTCTAACTATGGATTCGGGCAAGGTGAAGGCGCTTCTGGAATATGTAAGTTCCGAAGATTTTATGTGATTTTAATTATATTGTTTTAGGTTCAAGTGATCCCCAGTAGCGATGATGCAGCCAAATACGAGAAGATGGGTGTCAAAGAGTGCGCCGAAAAGTATTTTGCGGGCATGATTGGATTGATGTAAGCTTTATTTTGTAGTTCTTTATTCAGCTTTTAGTGATGGGTCAACCAGTGTCAAAATTTCGGACGAGGTCTTTGGAGAAGCCAATTACTTGATTATGGAGAATCTGGGGATGAAGGATGTCGGGCTTATGGAGATGTATCATAATCTCAATTCGGACAGGGCAACAGAAGGCGATGAGATGGAAATGCTCAAAGTAAGGATGATGGTTGTTGAAGTTTGTTATTTAACTCATTTTTATTTTTAGTATTTCATCGCGTTGGTCTATCTCAGCCAACTTCGTCAAAGTCCACTGGTTGAGTCGCGCCTTCTTCGGCTAAACTGGATCTCCAGACTCCATATCCAACATATTGTAAGTATTTTGCTTCCTCGCTTCAATTTATAGGCAAATTCCGGCGAAATGTACATGATTTAGATATCCTACATCTCTGAGCCGGCTCAATGGGTCGATGAAGGGTTTGGTGGCGTCCTCAGCCTTCCACTTGAAGAAGCAAACAGCGAGAAGGTCACGAGCACACTGGAGAAGGTCCGAAGGACTCCAAGTAGAACTCCGTTCAAGAGGACTGAGAATTTTTCAACCTTCAACTCGAGTTTTACGGATTCTCCCACATCCCGAGTGATAAATTCACCAAGAATTCGAGAAAAGATGGCGATGGAAATACAGAAACAAGTGAAGCAACAGAGAGAGGAGTTTGAAGTATATATTCGAACAGAGTATGATCGAGTTCTTGAGCAGTGCAATCGACAAGAACGCGAGATTCAGCGGCTAAAGGAAGAGAAAGAAGAGTAAGTTACATTTTTGGATTTTTTGTCTGATATTTAGGTAAATTACTGATTGTTTCGTCTTCAGTCTCCAGAAGAAGGCAAAACCAGGATGTGTGGGCGATTGCGAGGCCTCAACTCGGCTCAAATCCCTAGAATTTGCGTATCATGGAGTCAAAACTCGTCTCGAAAATACAAATCAAACCCTCGGAATCTATGAAACACAACACCAAAAGGACGAAGCATTCATAAAAGATCTCAAAATGCAGATTCGGAGCCTCAACGAACGATGCGAAATCATCAGCGACCAAGAAAAACTCATTCAGGACTTGAAGGACGATCTAAAGAAGGCCAATCATGCTGAAAAAAGTGTGTTGGAGCAGATGGATAAGGTCGAAAGAGAATGCAGGGACGTTAAGAGGAAGCTCAAACAAGCTGAGAGGGAGAATAAAGAGATGAAAGAAGCTCAAAGTCAGAATGAAAAATTTGACAGATCGGCTGTAGACGAATATAAAAGGAGGGAAATTGAATTGACCGAGGAGCTGGATAAATTGAACGAAACTTTGGCAAGGACGAAGAAGGAGAGAAACGAAGCCTTCACGCAGTGGGGAGAGGCAAAGGTTACGATCGAACGACTTCAGGTATGTTGTACTAGACAACGTTGAAGAAAATTACAAATTTTTGTTAACCCCTTCCGGACGAGTCGGCACCTCCATGCAGAAATGAAAGAGGGTACCCTACTGAGTAACGGCATAATAGTGGTTCAGCCCATCGAAGCGTTATTTGGGACTTATGACAAAAAATGTCCTAAAAAGTACCCCCAGTTGACATAACCCTTATAAAATTTTGCTAACGACCTGTAAATTAGAAACTACCCCTAAGTTAAAGTCAAACACTCCTACTACTGTTACATCCAAGAACTGTCCAAATCGGACCACTACTGGATTAGTTATCGACTTTTGGAAATTGAATTTTAAATTTCGACCAATTTTTGGCCCAAAATTGAGTATATCTTCCGCCGGAATCAACCATTTCGGTCCAGGTGTGGTTTTTCTGAATCTACATTGACGCTAGCTTCTTCCTAGAATGTTTCCAGAAAAAACCTATAGAGCACGTTTCTGTAAAAAGCAAAAAAGTTGAAAACTTAAAGGTTTCACCGTATAAAATGTCGCCGCAAGCCGAAAAGGGTCGGGCGCAGCTCGAAAGGCGAAAATAATATATATTTTTTTGAGAAATACTATTTTAGTGTGAAACTAAAGCAAAATCCAATGAAATTGCCTGAAAACGCATTAAAAATATTAAAATGACATTGAGTTAATGTTTGCGTGCTCTGTCTGTCTGTATTTCGTCTGAATTCAGCTTGTCGACACTAAAATAATATTTTTTCTTCGAAAAATATTATTTTCGCCTTTCGAGCTGCGCCCGACCCTTTTCGGCTTGCGGCGACATTTTATACGGTGAAACCTTTAAGTTTTCAACTTTTTTGCTTTTTACAGAAACGTGCTCTATAGGTTTTTTCTGGAAACATTCTAGGAAGAAGCTAGCGTCAATGTAGATTCAGAAAAACCACACCTGGACCGAAATGGTTGATTCCGGCGGAAGATATACTCAATTTTGGGCCAAAAATTGGTCGAAATTTAAAATTAAATTTCCAAAAGTCGATAACTAATCCCGTAGTGGTCCGATTTGGACAGTTCTTGGATGTAACAGTAGTAGGAGTGTTAGACTTTAACTTAGGGGTAGTTTCTAATTTACAGGTCGTTAGAAAAATTTTATAAGGGTTATGTCAACTGGGGGTACTTTTAGGACATTTTTTGTCATAAGTCCCAAATAACGCTTCGATGGGCTGAACCACTATTATGCCGTTACTCAGTAGGGTACCCTCTTTCATTTCTGCATGGAGGTGCCGACTCGTCCGGAAAGGGTTAATTTTGGCAAAAATTTGAGATGAAATTAGATGGTATGAATCGAAGATATGGTGATGAAGGGGCGCATAATAATTTTAATTCATTTTAGAACCAATTGAAGGAGCTGAACGCCAATAATGCAGAAGTTGAAGATCTCAAAGCTGCAAATAACAGCCTCAAGATTGAAATGAAATGTATTTTTGATAATATGAAGTCCATTGCAGATCAGAGAGACGGTTTAGAGAAACAGTACGACATATTGGTCAATGAAAATGAAGAAATTAGGGTAAGGTGTCTAGTGTAATATAATTTTTGGAAGTTTTATGATAATTATTAGTTTTTATTGTGGAACTGGTTGAGAAAATCAAATTTCAGGCTGAGAGGGATGATCTGAAAGCAAAATTAAAGGCCATCCAGGTCGATTTGGACTGCGTCAAGGAAGATTTTAGGAACGCCAAGATGAAAATTGGCGATTATGAGAAAAAAATGGAGAGTTTGATAGAGAAGAACGAAGATCTGAGGGTAAGAGACCTTCAGTTTTGATTTATAAGTGTTTTTTTAATTTGGAATTTGTGATTTCAAATGAAATTTTATATTATTTTAGCTGGAATTAGATGAATTAAAATCAGAAGTCAAAGAGCATGAACATCGACGAAATGCTAGGCCAACAACAAGTCATCATAATGCAGCAAAAGGTAAGAGTTGAATCGGATTTTATCGTAGCGGAGTCGAGTTAAGACCAAAAGGAGATGATTATTTTATAGCATTTGAAATGACGAATTATTCAGAAGATCAAATCGTGTATGCCCGATCTTCTGTAGATGTCAAAGAAGTGGAAAAGGATTACCTGGAACGGAATGTCAACGCCGAACGGTAAGAGTTTGATTTTTTTGGAGGGGATTTTTTGAGAATTTGGATTGGAGGGATAATGCCATGGATAATATAAAAAAGTGGGTGAACTTCTCTGTAATTATGTTCGTAATGTGGTAGTGGTCATAGGGCAAGAAAATGAAGTTAAAAAAGGTTGGAAGGGTATTTTTGGACATGAGACAGCGTCTTTTGTAATATAGGTATTTAAGGCCATGGATAATATAATAAGATAGCTAAGAATGGTCTAAACTTGAAGAACTTGTGAATTTCAGAACTGCCGAGCTCCGTAGACGTAATCAGGGTCTTCCGCCACATATGCAGTGCTCCTACCTACCAGAAATCGCGTTCGGCTCCGAGTCCCCATCCAGTGTTTTACCCAAGAAGTAAAACCCTACTGCAATAAAACTACTAACATGTGAATACTTATCTTGACGTAGTGGACGTTTTTGTCCCCACCCCGGTTTTGTCCCCAAGACGGTTTTGTCCCCAGGACGTTTTTGTCCCCACTTTTTTCGAGCCTTTTTGTCCCCAGACCGGCTTTGTCCCCAGGACGGTTTTGTCCCCAAGACGTTTTTGTCCCCACTTTTTTTATTTTTTTGTCCCCACACCGGTTTTGTCCCCAGGACGTTTTTGTCCCCAAGCTGGATAGTACGATTAAAAATTATGCATTCAGATGTTAATGCTGTTGGTTTGGTGCACAGTACTGCTCAAACAACTTGTTCTTAGCGCTTGGTACTGTATAGTACGAGGTGGTACTATATAGCACGAGGTAAAAATTAAGCCATAACACGTCAATGCTATGGGTTTGAAGCCCAGTACTTCTCAAAAATGTGTTTTAGCACATGGTACTATATAGCACGAATTTGTTTTTGCACAAAATGAACGTCTGATCAGTACTGCATACCAAAACAACGTCATTCACGCGTTATAGCTTAATTTTTACCTCGTGCTATATAGTACCACCTTGTACTATACAGTACCAAGTGCTAAGTACATGTTGTTTGAGCAGTACTGTGCACCAAACCGACAGCATTAACATCTGAATGCATAATTTTTGATTGTACTATCCAGCTTGGGGACAAAAACGTCCTGGGGACAAAACCGGTGTGGGGACAAAAAGGCTCGGAAAAAGTGGGGACAAAAACGTCCTGGGGACAAAAACGTCTTGGGGACAAAACCGGGGTGGGGACAAAACCGGGCCCAATCTTATCTTGAATGAATATGTACCTATGATCGCAACCCATTGAAATCTCATTGTTTATACTTTTTATTCAAAATAAACCCAATTTACGAGGTATTTTGACATTTTTTTGGGTAAAGTAATATATTTTTGAACTTCGGGCAAGTTTTTGGAGGAGAATAAGTTGATTCCAATGGTAAAACCTTATTTTCTCAACTTCTAAAATACGGTTTTATCATTTTGGCCGAAAATTTCGAGTTCAAACAGAATGCCAAAAATTGGTTTCGTGTTGGGAGAAAATAAATTCCTCGATAAATTGGCTTCGTGGAAATTGGACAGAAATAATTTGGACAGAGCGTGGAAATTGGACAGGGTGAAATTGGACAGAGTGAAATTGGACAGAGTGAAATTGGACAGATTTTAGCTGCAATCGTACGAAATGTCAATATTGAATTATCAAATAATTATTTTTTGCAGTGAAAAAAATCTGTCGAGTTTCACTCTGTCCAATTTCACTCTGTCCAATTTCCACGCTCTGTCCAAATTATTTCTGTCCAATTTCACTCTGTCCAATTTCACTCTGTCCAGTTTCCACGAAGCCGATAAATTTTATAAAAATTTATGGAATTTGGAGTACAAAAATGGAAGAACGCGATTTCTCAGGGCTTCTAAAGTTCGACAACAACAGGAAACGTCAGAGGAAGGAGAAGAAAAAGCTGAAGAAAATTGTCAAAAAGGCATATTCGTCGCATAAAAAGGTAATACACTATTTTTTTCGATTTTGTTTCATTTTTAGGTTGAGGAAGTTATCAAAAGCGAGTTTGAGTCTAAACGAGCCAAGTTGAAGAAGAAAGAGAAGGCGCCGAAGGCTAAGAAAGACAAAAGTCTTCAAAAAGAGGCCGAGGACTTTCATGCGCAAGCTCGACAAGAGAGATTCAAGCGATTACAAGAGGAATTGGAGGAGGATGAGAAAGAAATTAGAAGATTGAGCAAGAAGCTGGGCTATAATAAGAGGAAATCGACCAGCGTTCCGGAAATTTTCGCAAAGGAAGGATTAGATGGTAGGTAATATTTAAAATAATATAATTGCTGTCTCCAATATGCTCGAAAGTCAAAGAGTCTTTCCCGTAAGGTATAATATACATTTTTGAATCTTTTTTAGGACTCTGGGACGTCTGCGAAGATGAAAAACGAGCAGAATTGGCAAAAAGTGAGAAAGAAGATCTTGCTAGAATAACAGCTGATGACGCTGAATTTGACGATTTCAATCTTGCTGAATCCGATGAGGAGTCCAAGCCTAAGAAAACGGTTAGGAAGCTAGACACCAGCGCTGTGGAAAAAGTAAGTCTATTAGATTGCACTTGATTTTTAGGTAATAAAATCTGGGATTTCATTAATGACTGATCTTCCTAGCTTCTCGGAGACCTGGAAGGCGACCTGGCTGCGCTTGACGAGTCCGGCGATGAGAATGCAGAAGATCTTGACGATTTTGATGATGAACTTGATGAAGAAGAAGAAATGGAGCTAAATGATGAAAATTCAGATTTTGGAGATAAGGAATTTGATGATGAAGACGATGAAGATTCCCATCACATCACTGAGGACATTTATGGGCGGAAAGTGGATGCAAAAACGGGAAAGTTGATTGAAAAGATTGATACGAATAGAGCTGCCGAGAAATTAAAAAAGCTGGAAGAAGAGTCCGAATTGAGTAAAGAGGCCAAATTCCAGCTGACAAAACAGATTCGTAGTATTTTGAACAGGTTGAATGAAGGAACACTCGTGAATTCGGTAAAAACTTTGACAGATTTATGGAATTCGAATCCCAGAAATGGTAAGGTGAAATTTTCTGATTATTATGATGTTTAGATGTGAAGGAAATTTTCTACGAAGTCTTCAACAAGGCCGTGTTTACCAGTTTTGCCCTGACGGATCGATTGTTAATCGAATATTCGGCTTTCCTATCCCTGGCCCATCAGCTGGTCTCCACGGATATTTGTGAGTTTTTTGACGATGTTGATCTCATTTGCTTGTGAGTCTTGACGTTGGATGAAAGATTTTGACTTCTTCTGTAATTAGAACACTATTTTAATTAGTTTGGGGTTAAAGTTAGAGGTTTTTTGAGAATTTGTATCAGATGTCTAAAATAATGTAATTTTTTGAAGATTCATGTTTTATTTCTGATTCCAGCGGCTCATCTGGTCGAGAAATTCACGTTGGACTTCTTGGAGCACTTTGCCGAATCAGAAAACGATGAAAAGGAATCAAAAATCATGAGGAATGCCATGGTTTTCTTCTCTCATCTGTTCAATTTCAAAATTATCAAGGCCTCTTTCTTGTTCGAATTAATGGATCGACTTAGGAAAGTTGAGAATCCACTTGGATTTAACTTGATTGGAGATGTTTTTACATGTAAGTAACGGATAAATTTTGTGAGATTTATTATATTAATTTAGACGCATCAGCAGCTCTCCGACGAAGAGAAGCGGCTCTATTGTCCGCATTTGTCAGCCGATTGCAAGAGCAGATATCGAAATTAAGCAAGGAAAAGAAGGAAGAGTAAGTTGGATTATTTTTTAGACTGTGAACTACTGACTTTTATAATGATCTCTTATTTAGCCCGCGGATATCGTATTTGGTCGAAGATTTCCTCGAAATCAAAGGAAATAAATTGGCAAAGTACTCGGAGAAGTTTGATAACACATTCCTGGATCATTTTCAAAAGGTTCTCAAAGGACTGACAAAGAGTAAGATATTGGAAATTTGGGATATTCATTTAGATTTAGCCATCTGATGGGAAGACTTTTAAAGACTGACGATTTTTATCGGGTTTTTGTGGATTATCAAATTTTGAATTAATGAAATAGGCTGTGTAGAGTGCAGAGGTTTAATTTTGAGGCGGTATACTGGGTTTGTTATGTTTTATAGCCAAGTTTTATATTACACATGACCAATATTTTCAGAGTCGGATCCGGTGACAGAGCTTGGATTCTCGGTGGTTGATGTCCTCAATGTCAAGGAAAAGGGTCGATGGTGGGTTGTAGGATCTGCTTTCAACAGAATCACCGTCGATAAAGACGAATCAGCCCCGACAACGTCAGCAATATCAAGCAATCTGAACAAGTTTGATAAGTCTCTTCTACAACTCGCAGAGAAGCTAAAGCTGAAAACAGATATCAGGAAGACTATTTTCTGCACAGCTATGAGTGCGACGGTAAGGGAATCTTTCAATTTATTAGGAAAAATTTGTTGGTTTTGACTAGTGTAATATAATTTTTATTTTAGAATGTGGTAGACGCCTTTGAAAAGCTGCTAAAACTGACAACGAAGAATGACAAACAAGGACGAGAGGTCGTCTACATCTTGTTTGTTTGCGCCATGAACGAAAAGGTCTATAATCCGTTTTATTCGGCGTTGTTGGAAAGATTTTGCGCACACAGGAAGACCTTCAAATTAACCGCGCAATTTGCTGTCTGGGATAAGGTCAAGGAACTCGCAGACCTAAAGGCCAAACAGAGAACAAATTTGGCCTATTTGGTGGCGGATATGATACGATTGGAATGTGTTCAACTTACTGTATTAAAGGCAAGTGCAATATTCGAGTTTTAAGATGTTTTTTGGGGTAATTTGAAAAGAAAAGTATTGTTATTGGTAGTGCAAGACTAGAGGAGATTTGATTTGACCGATACTTGACATTTTGGGGGTTTTTTGAAATTTGAATTTTTAAATTCCCGCCAATTTTGGCTTTGTGTTCCAAGGTATATAATGGTGTAAGATTGCTCGAAATGGCATTACTGTTGCATAGAGAGATCGAGACGTCTGTATACCTCTTTTTGTTAATGTTATCCGTGAATATTTTGATGATTTTCCCAAATTTGTACTCTTTTTTTACCTAAATTATATTCAGACTGTCAACTTTGCCCTGATGGACCCCGTTATCTCCACATTCCTCAAACGACTCCTCTTCCGATTGCTAGTCAAAGCAAAAGAGGCGGATTTGGAAGATTTGTTCCGACCAGTCGTCCAAAACCCAAAGTTCGAGCTCCTTTCCCAAGGCCTTCAACTTTTCTTCGAAGTGAATCTGAAGCCAGAAGAAGATTTCGCCGAATCCCCGGATCTAAATCTCTTTATGAAGAGGCTGTCTGTGGTGAGAAGTGTCTGGGGAAGATCGTTATAGAATTTTTTGGTTAAAATTTGTTGATTTTTTGTTGGATTTTTTTTTGTTGATTTTTTGAATTTTGTTGAAATTTTTGAAAAATAAATTAGATTTTTTGAAAGTTTGGGGTTCAAAAACCAACGTAGATGGAAGATTTGGAAGTTTGAAGGCGTGAGGTTTTTTGGGAGACGAAATTTCGGTATTGATCATGTTACTATTTGGAACAAAAAACATGATTTTTATGATTGAAATAATAATTCTTTAAACCAATTATTGGTTTTGAAAAGGCCTAAATTTGATTATAATCGAATATAAATCGAAGTTTGGGGGCGTCATTGGGACATTACTTTGAGAATTATGGCAAAAAGTGCATCTTTAGTGGTTATTTTGCTGATTTGCTTGGGTAAGTGATACAATTTTTGAGAATTGGTTGAAACTTTGTAAAAATTGAGGTTACAGTTTTCTAAGGTAAGGCACATATAAAAGACTACCTCGCGTTTTGTAATCCCATAGAAATTTTGAGCTTGAAACTTCGAAATCCCTCAAAACACGGGCTAAAGTCTCGGATTTGTAAGATTCCAGTCGAAAAATAGAATACTGAAAGTAACTTTGAGACGAAATTTGAGCCAAGTTTCATCAAAATCCGTTGTAAACGATGCAATCAAATCTCATTGTAGTCGTTCCAACCATGTCGCAAATATGGACTTCATTCAATATTCGTCCATTCAGCATTGGCAAGAAACCAAATGGGAAATGGGGAATAATCCCAGGGCAGCCAATGGACCCGATGATGAACGGTGGAATGGGATCCTATGGAATGGGCGGTGGAATGTATGGAATGGGAGGTTATGGAGGGGGTTATATGGATCCCTACAGTGGTGGAGGCATGCCCATGGGGTATAAGAAATAAAAAAGGCGCTACTTTGACCATAATGCTATCGTATAATAATTACTTCGTAACTGAGAAAATTGTAATAAAATTGAGCTTTATAACAAACATTGTTCTTGTTATTAGTTGGCATGTTCATGAGTAAAAAGTGAAGAAGTCAAACTCAAATTTCTCAATTTTTTTTTAAATTTCAGACTCTAAACAGGCCATAAATCAACCACTGAAAGTTACAGCCTTTGTTTTACATCTGCGATGGAGATACAAAGCAATCTGGCTAGAGATGAAACAACGGTTAATCGAATTTTCCAATTATGTCATCAACGTGATCTCTTCGTATAAAATGTAGTTTTTAAAATTGAATCATGGACCTATTTTGATCCCCAAAGTCATGACAAAACGGGTTTGTGCTATTTTCTTTGCCCTGGCTTTACGTAAGTCATCAAAATTCAACAAAATTGTATGTTTGAGTTCATGTTCTTTAGTTGCTCCAAGCCTTGCCCAAAGTCCGTTTGGAAGAAGGCCCGCTTTTCCGTCGATGGGCAATGGAGCCGGCCAAGGGGGCCGTCAATGGAGAAACATCCCAATTCAAGTCATAGATGGGCCGCCTAGAGATGGAGGACTCCAAAGCGGCGGAGGAAACAATGTCGGAGGTCCTGGAAATGACGGAGAAGACGGTGGTCTCCAAGGTGAGTTTAGCATTACGTATTTTCAAGGTCCCTCAATTCCAGTAGCCATCCTATTTGACCCTTGTTTCAGGTGGCCCTCCAATGTCCGGTGGACGTCCAGGCATGCCTCCTACGGATCCCAGCGCCGGCCCGGGAGGCCGGCAATGGAGGAACATCCCAATACAAGTCATAGATGGGCCTAGAGGCGGAAGAGGTGGGGGAAAAATACTTATGATTACATTGATTTAGGTCGGGGAATGCCAGGAGGATATCGCGGTGGCGGAGGAGGCTATATGGGTCGAGGTGGCGGAGGTGGCTACAGTATGGGTCGAGGTAGGCCTATGAACCGAGAATTTGGTTCTGTGGACTTACAGTGGCGGACCTGATCCATTGGCCAAAAAACGTACCATTTTGCTTCCGGGAATTATCAAAAATGCAGCAAAATACCTCCTTCTCCAAGTGAAAAACTCCGATTTCAAAAGCACGCCCGCTCTTTTTGTGAGAGAAAGGCCGCGCAGTTCAAAACGGAGTTTTTTTAGTTGGAGAAGGAGGCATTTTGCCACATTTTTGATACTTCCCGGATGCAAAATGATACGGTTTTTGCACTGGATCAGGTCCCTGTACCGAAATACAAATTTTAGGCCGTGGAATGCCTGGTGGATTTGGTGGTGGTGGAGGCTATGAGCGAAGCAGAGGTATGCGGTTTGGCCAACGCTAATGAACAGGAATACATTTGGAGACGCATTATAAGTCCATTCCTAACTTCTCTTTCCTCTGATCCTACCATTTTTTATATTATACATGACCCTTTTACCCATCAAAAATCTGTTTTTTATCTTCATAAAAAACATAAGCTGCTACCTACTTGACAAAAATTCCCTAAACCGCATCTTCTTCGCATACACATCCATTTCCCACCCACGTCAATCCAAAATAGAAGAAAAAATTTCCCGCCCCTTTTTTGGTGATTCGTTCAAAATCCGATAAAACGCATTTTCTTATCTTTCTTCTTCCTTTTCGAGAAAAAAACAATTATTTCGGGCGAGAAAAAGTGCCGATAATTTCGCGACATTTCGTCTCTCTTTTAAACCAATGAAAACGGTACGAAGTTTCGAAACGGTTCAGGAAATGCGCTGGATTGACGTGCCACCTTCCTTCCGCCTTTACTCATCACTTTTTATATTATTCATGAGTCCTTTACTTCAAAAAATAAATAATTACACTGTGAAACAATCCAAAGTAATGAAAAAGTTAGAGTATCGAGTGAGTTAGGCTTCAGCATTTGCATTTTCGGCATCTTCTTCATTATAAATATTGTCAGCCATCTGCCAGATCTGCATGATATTGTCTTCGGAGACCGAGCAAATGACCCATGGTTCGTTGGGATTCCACGAAAAGTCCGAGATTTTGGCTGTATGTCCTCCATGGATGAAGAGGAGTTCTGGGGGACCATCTTCAGCATCTTCGGGGCTCTGTTCTTCGCCGATTTTGGAGAGATCCCAGATGTGAAGACGGCGATCCGTGCCGGAAGAGGCAAGAATAGTCTCGTTGTGAGGGGACCATTGGACTTGGAAGATCTCGTCTTTGTGAGATTCGAAGGAGTGCAGCTTCAGACGGAGATTTCGGAGATCCCAAAGGGCAACAGTCTGAAAAAAGATAATATAAAAGTCGAATTTCTACTAATTTTATAAACTCCAAAGCCTTTCAAAGTTTCTTCTAATTTTATATAAAATCAAATAATATGAAAAGAAATTAAAACATTAACCCCAAACCCAGCAAAAATATTATTTTAGCATAAAATAAGAGTCAAAATAAACAAAAACTTCCAAAAACAGGCATTTCAAACCGCTTCAGGCTCTCTAAAATCCTCTAACTCCTCACACTCACCTTATCAGCCGATCCAGTAGCCAAGATGAATTCAGAATATGGATTAAACGACAGACAATTCACTTCAGCTGAGTGGGCATCGATGGAATGAGCTGGTTTAGATGGAGTGTTGCTGCGGGTATCCCAAACCATCAATTTATGGTCATCACCAACAGATCCAAAGACCGAATCGTGCAGCACATGCCATGCGACATCTTCCACGACAGCACTATGACCAGTAAAGGTTGTTTGTGCGTCCAGATACGTAGCGTTGGATGTATTGGCTTGGATATCCCATAAACAGACGGTCATGTCATCAGAAGCCGAAAGAAGATGACCGGGGAGGTTGCTGTTCCATGATAGACCGTAACCTGGAAAGATATTGAGTTTTAGTATTGTTGGTGGCATCAATGTCTACTACAATATAAACCAGTAATCAAATGCCACCAAAAAAGTCCTAAAAGCCAAACAGATATCAAAATCCACTCTTACCTTCCTTGGTGTGCCCTCTCAACCTCAATTGAGGCCTGCAGACATTGTCATTGGTGGGCAAAGATGGGTGTTTGGTATAATCAAAAATGAACACCTCAGAACTAGGAGACTTAGTAGCCAACAAATGAGGATTCTGCGGCATGTATCGTGCTCTGTTCACCTCACCCTCATGATTCATTTTGATCTCCACATCAATTTTTCCGGTGATCGAGCCAAATCCACCAAATTCTGAAGAATAAATGGTAATTGTTTTAGAATACGACCTAAAATGTGAAAAAAACAGGTGAAATACATACCTCCTCGATCAGTATCGTATTTCGAAGCATCGAACTGGGCATCTTCAGTTGGGAGCAAAAGCTTCGCAATTACCAAATGATTTTGCTCATCTGAAGTATGGGTTCCAAGAATGATTCGATGAGTGGAATAATCCGATCCCTCCGCTCGTTGGAAGTCAGGAAGCCATTGAACTGTCAAACTAGGCCATTCCAAGGCATGGGTCATAACCTGGAAAGCGAAAATTGTAGCATTTAGGATTAAATTATATTGCTGTATGTAGGGAAAAGAAATAAAAGTAAATTTAATGTATTTCGAGAGTCCAAAATGTATTCTGGGCATTCAACGACCTCAATAGTGGTCCATACTTCCTCTTCCCGCAAAATCTTACCATATCATACAAGAACGGAGTGTTCTTCTTCCAGATCTTATATTCCTCATTAATAATTTTCTCCTCAGCGCCATCGTCGTTCGATTGAACAGCAGCCATTGTGAAAATCAGCGGATTAGTCGACTAACTCGTTGCTGCAGGTCTGGGCCGACAAACTTCTGCGCAGAATTTTTTTCCTTTCTTTTGCCGCCATTATAATTTCTGGGTTCCAAAACGAAACATTGTGCCAATTTTGAATTAAAATTATTGCTTGGCGTAATGCACTAAGACTGAATGGGGCCAAAAATTAGAATTCTTGCATGGTAAACAGATTTACTGTGGGATTAAAAGTTCGTTTTTCTGTTTAAAGGGTATTGTTTGGTGGTTGGAACCTTATTCTAGGTAATACTAGTCGAATTTAGGTAATAACATGTATGAAGAGGTCAAATACTTGGGTATAAACATGTTTACGACAATTTAAATGAAGGGGTTTGCCTGATAAGGACGTAAACACCTCCCTGGAGGATAATTTTTAACGCTTTAAGAGTAATATTATAGTAAATTTTACATATTTTTTGATGAAGACCATCAATGTTACTGTAACTCTTACAATTAGGGGTAAAATACAGTTCCGTTGATACGAATTGCCTTTTTACTACATAAAGAGCGCATTTTTTATTGAACAAGACTTCAAGAATAACATTTTTTTATTTTAGGGTTGGTATCCTCACGGATTATCTAAATCAATGTCGTGGGAAGAATACTGCCCTTTCGAGGGCGTTCGCGATCTTCTCATCGCATGTCTTCTCGTCTGCATGGTCGCATCGACTGTTGCCGACCAGCCAATCAACAGTGACTTTGAGATTACTTTCACAGCCTACCGTCTCCGCCAATTCACACTCACCGGTGTGTCATATGGCTCCAGATCTGCCCGCTTTGCCTATGATGTTGTTCCATTAAAAGATTCGGTAGTCAGACGATGCTTGGTGGTCAGATGGAGCGATCTTCAAGAGCAGAACCTTCAAGAAGTTGTTGGAGGTAATGCTGGAGCGGTTTTGATCATCTTACCGAAGGGCTTGAAGCCTCCAACTGAAAGAGTAAGTCGTTTACAGAATTATTTCGAAATTTAGGCCCGAACCATACCATTGTTTTCTTGGATTGATCAAAAAATTATATAAATATTTTAGTCTGGCAACAAGCTGACTCTGGAGGAAGAACTGGCTCGGTTCTCGACTGATCAAGCCGTTTACTTCGCCGAAACGACTCCGGAGCTCGAGGTTTTGGTCAGTAGTGCTAAGACAACTAAAGCCCCTACCGCGTTCCAGCAAATGCTCAATCTTTTTGTGGAAAATGCTTTCCAAGTCTCTACTACGAGTGCTGGAGTCCCTGTGCCGGTGGTCAAGCCTCATTTCAACATTATTGTAAGGATTTCTCTGGTTTGGAGCTGATACAATATATTTTGGTGATGTTAAAATTAGGTGGATCGTGTATAACAGTGATTTTTTTCAGGGTAAACTGACTGCTCCCGAAAGAAATGCCCCAAGTGTTGTCATCGTCGCTCATTATGACAGTCGTTCAGTTGTTCCAGTAAGTAAAGTTTTATTATTCAGTTTTACGTTCAGGGCCTTTCAACTGGTTATGACTCAAATGGATCCGGGGCTTTGGCTCTAATCGCCTTGATGCAAAAGCTTTCCCAGTACTACAAAATGGAGAATATGAGACCAAAATTGAACACAATCTTTGCTCTAACTGCGTTGGGAAGCTATAACTATCAAGGAAGTCGAAGACTGTCCGATGAACTCGTCGAAAATCAAGGTAAATTTTATTTTTTTTTGGCCAATCTTTTGTCATGGATAATATAATTTTGGTCAAGTTTATACGTTTTACTTGCAGAAAAGGGTGAAAGAACACTTCTGGTGATCTCATTGGAGTCTCTACTTGGCGGAGACAAGTTATACGCCCATATTTCGAAGAATCTTCAGGAGAAAACGGCCCCGTTCAACTTTTTGAACCGAATGAAATATTTCACAACGAAATCGAAAGAAAGAATTGTGAAGTTGAATGGTCAGATCAACATTGATGAATACAATTGGGAGCATGAGGTCTACTTCAAGAACCGACTTTCTGCATTGACTTTGAGCCACTTTGACAGCGCCCGAAATCCAGCGAGGTAAAAAATTGCTATTTAAAATATAACCTTTTCATAATTTTTTGTGAAAAATTTTGTTTCAGAACCTCGATTGTGTCAGATGTGGACCTTAGCAACGAACAAGAGCAGTACGAAAAGTTCAATGAGAGAGTTCGGCTGATCGCGGAAACCTTGATCAGCTATGTGTTCAATATTGATCTGAATTGGTGCACTGAGTCCCTGAAAGAGGCTGATGAATGTCATATCCTCCCCAAATTTGACGCTCTTTCCGATGAGAATCATTTGAAACAGCTCTTCCAACAGCCCAGACCGGCTCATTCACTCCCACCCAACCTAGTGCAAGATCTTTTGAAGCTGGTCAAAAACACTGCTCAGACCGGGAAACTTCAACAATTCCAGCCGTCAGACCTCCAAATCTACGATAATATCCAGGACGAACTGGTTGCTCAAGTTGTGAAACCAGCATTGTTCGAACTTGTACTTGCTGTAGCTATTGGTGCGTATGCTTTCCTGATCTACCAGTTGGCTCAAAACTCACAGGAGATCCTCCAATCTGCTGTCAAAGTCTTCTCAAAACCAAAAACTCAATAAATGGTAGAGAGGAACGGGAAAAGGTGTCATCATGACAGATTTTAAGTGTTATTGTGACATTTGAATCACCCAAAGTTTGTTAGTTTGACTTTTGGGGGACTAATGTGATGTCTGTAACCGGTAATTCCCGTTTTTCTTCCCATCCAAAGTTGTTGTACTCGTAATAATCTCGACTGTTTTTGAATTGTTATCCGATCTTCGAATTGTGATTTCTGTAGGCTAATTTAATAAAGTATAAGCCCTAAAAGCCCAATAGGATTATTTCGGCGTTGCTCGGAACACAATTGGCTCTCAGCGTGAGATTAGAATATTATCCATGACACATGATGTCATGGATAATATAATCTCTGAATTAATATGGATAATGTGATTGAAAGTTACGGGGATTGTAAAGGATTGTATGCGGAGGTATTTTTAAGCAAATCGCGAACGATCGAATCCATCATCACACCTCGGACCTGTCACGAAGACGAATATTCGAGGCAGCAGATGTTTATGGGCCACCATTCTTTTTGCCCGTTTCGAAAACCCCTAAAAGGGGGCCCAAATTCTAACGTCCGAGTTTCCTCCGACTCCACACCACTTTTGACCACAAATGAGCCTAAATTTTCGGCCAACTTCTTCCGGACGCCTACGTCCAGATTTGCCCGCGAGATTTGAAACGGAAAAGGGGCGGAGTCTAAAAACGGATACCGCGTATTTTAAAAATCCGACATAGTAATTTAATAATTCCTTTTGTCGATTATGTTTATAGTTTCATTTTGGCCATACTGTTAATAAATGGAAAGATTTTTACAACAAATTTATCAAAAACAATACTACCTCTGAGAAATATCAACTGCTCTTGATGGATAAGATAATTGTGAAATTCTAAAAAACTGGCTTACCAAAAATTTTTATATTTCTAAAAAATGTCTACAATACGTTTTTTATTCGTATTAGTGAATTTTTTCGTAGTGTTTTCTAATATTTACATTGTTCACTTCAATCTCGGGCGCAGCGTGCCTGTAAATTATCAAACGTTTCAGATGTTTTTGAGGTGCGCCCAATTTTTTCGCGAACTGCGGCCTCGCCAGAGCAGAATAACATCCACATCTTTTTTTCTCGGCTTTCTTGAACTCTCGAGGGTCAATCGGCGCCTTGGTCCGTTCGCTTCTGACCCCTTTCGCCACCAAATATATTCGCCATTCCGCATAGTTGGGGATGAATCATTTTGGTCGGGCTGAAGGCCGATTCTGAATCCCTAATGCCTCCATCGGCTTTGTCTTATTGTCTCGTTCATTTGTGGGGCGAGTCGAGTTTTCGTGGTTCGGTTCGCGAGCTGATGAGCTGATTTTTCTCTTTCTCCGCGATTTCTGTTGTGATGATGGATAAAACAAGGTTTTTGCTCATGTTTCTTTCGATTTTATTGGCTAAAGTAATTCGCGATTGATTTCTTACCATTTTCTCCGTTTATTGTTCACGTTTCGTTTCGAATCTCCTCCGATAAGCCTGTAAATTTATGGTTTTGTTACACTTGTTGCCTACTCTCGAAAGTTTATCGTTTTTCGGAATCTTTTGAATTCATGTCCCACTTTTTTCTCCCATGTGTCATGCGACTGTGATATTTTAATTTTTATGGGTATTGGAATAACCGTCCGTTCATACGGAATTCATTTTCGACGTCTCTTTGTTTACCTTATTTGTCATGGATGTCTATTGTATTATCGTTATTTTTAAGGTGGTACAACCTCGATTAGGACAGTGAATCATGGCTTATCGCATTGTTTATGAGATCTACTTTTTATTGAGTATGCATTTACTTAGTTTGTTCCGAAAAAAGTTGTTTTTGATGAACTTTTATTTTAGCTATATCACGTGTAATATATTGATGAATTTATCGCGATTTTGACAAAAATTTTGGTGTAGACTAATATTGAGCTTGTAGGGTTTACAAAATGAGTGCGTCAGTGAACCCGGACGTCAGTCAGGCGGGTCAGGCACAGCCACAAGGACGGGTTTCTCTTCGCGATCTCTGCTCGTTATTCTGCTGCCCGCCGTTTCCGTCGTCAATCGTCTCCAAACTGGCATTCATGCCTCCGGAAGCCTCGTATAAGATGGAAATTGAACCACAAGGAGGGTAAGTGCAAGTTTTATTTTGTTTTGGCTATTTAGATGGGGATTTGGACGAGTTAATTAGAGATGTTGAAATATCGGAGAAACTGGCACTTTCGAAGGGAGATTTTGAAAGTTGTTGGTGGATAGCATGATTCAGCCGGACTTTTTGTTTTTGTCCAAAAATGGGGAGTAATTCTAGGGTTTGTGGTTTGAAGCCTATATTGCACTTGAAATGGGGTTCACATTTTAAGTGTTTTTGTGGCAGTTTTATTGTAAAATACGTTCATTTGGCTCGGTGTACCACAACACAATTTTCCAAAAAAAGTGCAATATCATTTCTTTCAGAAAGTATCGAATGGTTCTTCTGGAGAATCGCGCTGAATGGCCTCATGGAGATGATGAGTTCCGAAATGTGGAGGTCTTTCACACACGTACGCGACGGAATAACAAGATTGCTTGCATGTACGTACGGCCGCATGCTTCGGATTCTCAATTTACAATAATGTTTTCGCATGGAAATGCTGTTGATCTGGGACAAATGTGCAGTTTCTACTACGGGCTTGGCTACAGACTGGGTTGTAACGTCTTTAGCTATGATTATTCGGGTGAGTTAGACAATTTTTTGGAGATTTTTTATGATTTTAGGTTATGGTTGTTCAAGTGGAAGAGCGTCGGAGAAGAACCTCTATGCAGATATAGCAGCCGCCTTGCAGGAATTGAAGAGCAGGTATAATGTAAAGGACGAGAACGTTATCCTTTATGGTCAATCCATCGGCACCGTGCCAAGTGTGGACCTTGCAAGTGCAAATCCAAATATTGCTGCGTTAATTTTACACTCCCCGTTGATGTCTGGACTTCGTGTTGCTTGTGGGGGAGTGCAGAGAACGTGGTGTTGTGATGCGTTCCCGTCAATCGAAAAGATTCCTCGAGTACAATGTCCAACTCTGGTTATTCACGGAACCGATGATGACGTCATTGATTTCTCTCATGGCCTTACGTTATATGAACAATGCCCATCGAGTGTAGAGCCATTGTGGGTGGCTGGAGCAGGTGAGTGCTTTGAATTTTGATTTTTTTTGGTTTATGGATCAAATGGGAAGGTGATGTAAAATAAGGTCAGATCTCAAAGATGGACGGTCCGGTTTTAATGAAACTTGACTTAGAGGAACGGGAGACGTTATACTTTCTCCAGGATACTTTTTTATTTCATATTTTACAATATTTTTTGAATTGTGGCCATTTGAAATTGAAAAACCCTACCATTTTGATGTTGTTCCAAAAGTTTAATTTAATTTTCTGTATTCGTCCAAATTCCAGGTCACAACGACGTCGAATTACATGCTGTATATTTGGACCGCCTGCGGCTATTCATCGAAAACGAAGTAAAACCGAAAGTTGCGACGGCCCAGTTTAACTCGAGCCGGTAGCCGATCAAAAAACGAGCGACAACACGGGTTCTAAGTTAATTAAGTTATTGTATTCGTCTTTACCCAAAGCCAGGTCTCCTACCCACTGTTGTAAAGCATTTTCCGTCGTATCCTATCAAAATAAGTCGTCTTTATACATAAAATAAGATTTTAGGTGATTTTTTAAATAATTTTTGTATTTTGAAATGCTTTAACGTTTAGATTGGACTGTATTTTTAATAGTAGATAGTGTAAAATGGAGTGGAAGTTTAGATAGTAATTTTAATTGAGGTGCAAGATAATTTAGCGAAGAATTACGGACATCATACTATATTATACTAGACCAGTCCAATTTAGACGAATATCCATGTAAGACTGCTTCGTATCCACACGTTTTCCTACGAAATATTGTTGTTCTTTCGTATTGAACTATTTTTATTTATTCCTATGTATCAACTCCAACTATGATCGAACTCCAAGTTTGTTGTTTCAGATTGAGTAAAGCTGTAAAATAAAATTTAAATTTTGAGGTTTATTATGAATGTCAGGTACAAATAACAGGTATTGGAGGAGCTGTATGTCTACCAAAATATTTTGGTTTATGAAAAACAGATCTTGTAATCATTTATTTCTTGCCACGCCACGAAAACATTTACTGCCAAAGAATTCTTGGCATTCCGCCCACTTACGAATAATTGCCGAAAAATAATTTTTTCGACCAAAGAATGTCAAAATGTCGGTGAACGGAAGCGTGGATGGCGATGTTTTTGCCTCGGAGGAGTTCAATGGTGCTCAGTGTAAGTTTTAAGCTAATATATATTGAACTTGACCGTCAATGAAAATTCTTTGAATTTTAGTTGTTAATGACATTCTCAACAACTCCCGACCCGGTGAGGAAGTAAAGAAACTCCACAAGCTCAAATCCAAGCTCAATGCCGAATCGAATACGGCCTCGGAACAGGTCAAGGATATTATCTTTGATCACTATCGGCAATTTATTGATACCTCAAAGGAAGTTGCTTGTAAGTTTATATTACCCAATTTTCTTCAGCTTTTAGCATTGGAACGAGAGATATACGAGCTTTCAACCTTGCTGACTGATCAAAAAGCCTTGATCGAGAATTTGATGGACCTTTGTGGGCAGGAAAAAGGCTCCATCTGTAGTGTTTCGTTGCATTCTGGTAATAATAATCAACAGAACCCTCTACAATTGCTGATGCATAAAGTTGAAGGGATTGCGGTGAGTATTGTATTTATTTTTGTTGGTTTTTAGATCGATTTGTTTATGAGGGACCTAGTTTGGTGAAAGTCATACGATTTGATGTATAAACCAATTTTAAAATGTCATAAATACGCTGTTTATGGTAAAATACGGCTGCAGTAATCGACTGCACAAAAGATGAGAGAAAATCGTCGCTATTCACCTTAGTTTGAATACCTGCTATTACCTAAATTAATATCTGTAATTTCAGGACGAATTAAACCGCCTGAAGCCCAACGAGAAGATCATTTTGCAATCTGAATTTACCTTGCTATCTGAAAATACGATGGAGCCGGTCCACACTGTCTTTCTTGTACTCCTTTCCGAGACTTTTTTCATCTGCTACCCTAGCAATAATCCCAAGATGAAATTCACCTTTTCCTCAGCACATCGACTCGATTCTGTAGCTGTTGTGAACGTAAAAAGAGCCGCAATTGAGAATCCATTCGCTGAATTGATCATGCAGCTGATGATTTTTCCGGAGCAATTGTATTTGAAATGTGATTCCCCGAGATTGAAGAAACAATGGCTGGAAGGGATCGAAAATGCCAAAAGGGCTTTGGAGAAGGAGAAAAATCTGCATCGCCAGGCTACTATTAGAGGTTTGAAGGGGATTTGAGGGCATATTGGGTCAGAAAATTGGATTATTTAACTATTTTTTGTCATGGATAATATAATTTTTGTCGATCTTATCACATATTATGGTTGTTTACGCCCCGGTAGGATTCTAGGAGGAAATTGAAGACAAAAAACACTACTATAATCATGTTTCATCCATTTTTTGCTCGATTTCTCTTATGGATAATATAAGTTTTGTCAAAAAATCCCACTAAAATCCTATTTTCAGCCAAAAGAAGAAAGAGTTCGGCCGCAGCACACCCCTTGGACCCTCGAGATCGCCTCTCCGGCATCAAATCCCAGAATTCCGAGGCCATTCAGGAGGAGGATCAAGAGAAAATCGAGGCTGATATGGAATGGCTGAGAGGGTTGGAAAACGATCTGCAAGAGGAGATAAGCCACAGACACATGGAAGATGCTGTAGATTTACTTATGGACGCCAAACAAGCCAAATGCACGGATCCGGAGCTGAGCGCGAGAATCGCTTCGTATGAAAAACAGATCATAAAAATGCTGAGTGATGAGGTAAGTGGATAAATTTTGATGGAGATGGGGAAGAGGTGTAATAAGTGGACTGAGATAGCGTTTGAGGATTAGAGATTTCAGGTAGACCGATTTTTTTGGCAAAAAAATGTTGTGTTACCTTGTGTAATATAATTTTTGGCTAACAGGGACAGTACCCCAAGTGCGACGCTCAGATTTTGATGAAACTTGGCACAAATTTAGAATATTTTTTTCTAAGATATATGCGAGAATCCTAGCTCTCGCTTTGCAGAAACAACCGAGATTTTTAGATCGAAAGTTGGCGAAAATTTGACACTTTTTGCGGAATTTCGGCACGAAAAGTTTAATGCCTGTTTCTACCATAGAGGGTAATGTTTCCACAAAAAATCGATTTTTCCGCACAAAACTAGCAAAGTTATGATCAAAAAGGGGGTTTCTCTCTGACCGCCCTCCGCGTTTTGTGTACTCTCTCGCCGGAAAAGATCGTTCAATATTTTGGCGACGCTTGCAAAGCGCGAGCTAAAACTTTCAGGAATTGATACTTAGTTCATGGCCGACGTTTGTGAAAAAACTAAAGAAAATCTGAGCGTCGCACTTGGAGTACTTCCCCTGTAAATTTGACATTCAACTATGTCACAAGGATATTACCGATAAATTTTTTCAGATCAAACGTCCGGGAGCCCTTCACGGAGGCGCCAAGGCCCTCCATCGGCCGCTAACCCTCCTAAAAACACTTGGCCGATCCACCTATGCCATTGATTTGTACCTAAAAAGAAGGAGTTCGGCCCTCAGCCAAAGAGCCCGCGAGTTCACGATCAGTGAAGAGCCTTTGTCCTACGTCCGACATGTCTCAACAGTTTTCATCAGCGCCATTTTGGAAGTGATTAAAGAATTCAAATCCCAAATTGATGACTATTGTTTGGTGGTCCAATGGGCATGCTCGGAACTCTCATTGCTGCTGTCGTTGATCCGAAGGCATGTCCTGGAAGTGGCTCCCACAATGGCCGTCCTAACCAATGCTTGGAGAATTTTGGCGGGAGAATTGGAGGTCCTCAGATATGAAGGTTTGGACCTCTCGTTTGAAGTAAACAGGTTGTTGGCACCATCGCTGAGAACTGCATTAGAAGGAAACTTTACTAATATCATAGAATCGACACGGCTGAGGATTCAGGTGAGAGGGTTTGGGCGAAAATGGGAGTTTGTTTATATTGTAGTAGATGGGATTGTCGGAAATTGATGGGTATCTTGGTAGAGGCTGTTGATAGAGCTGTGGTATTTTTAGTACTCAATCTTTGTTTTGTTTGGTATCTCGTGCCGAATTTTGAATGAATTCTGAATGTAGAATTTGGAGTAATTAACATGGATATTGTAGTAGGTAGAGGTGACAATAATTTTGGAATATCTCAGTTGGCCTTGTAACTTTGGTTTTGGAATTGTTGGAGATTGTTTTGCAGAGTATATTGGGTGTGGAAACTTAATTTGAGGGCATTTTATGAGATGTTTTGAAGTAAATTATTTTAGATGGTATCGATAATAATTTAGTCCCAGTTTTTTCTATTTTTATAAATTTTTTGTTAATACCTATTAATTTTCAGGAAGAACGTTGGCAGCCCTTCAATTTGGAAACCGAATCCAACCTGAATCGCTACCTGGAAGAGATGTCTGACCTTGGTTTATGCATTGACTGGGCCATCCTCCCACATCAGCCCAATTCCTTGAGTATTTCGCAAAGTGGATGCGAATTCGCGAGAGTTGCAAGGTCGCTGAGCCGAGATCTGAGTCTGTTGAAATCCTCAGGCCATCTGAGGGAATTATCCATCGATTTTATTCGGACTTTGTGGTCAGATTACTGCGAATTGTTGGCCCAGCCAATCAATAATGAAGTCCACAACTTCACCTGCAAATTTATTGTGAATCAAGTGGGTTTTGAAGAGATTTTCTCTCGGAAATTTGAAGATTTATGAGAGTTTTGACAATTTTTTGTCATGGAAAATATATTTTTTTTTCAAAATGATATTTTTAGTTGATCCCATTGTGTGAAGAGATCTACCGCGAAGATTTGATCCGGATCCTACTGCAGAAACGATTCCCCATCCTCCTAAAATACGTGGATCGCCCGCTGGAAAGATTGGATTCCCATGAAGAGGAAGATGTCTGAAGTATAATATAAGTCGTATTTTTAGCTTGTAAAAATTATATTTATTTTTTTAGACAAAGGATTTTTATTTATTTTTGCCATACTGAATAAATTATCCATATTTTTTTGAAAATTTTTCAAATTTTTTTTCAAAAATCAACTCCAAACTTTAACTGGAACAATTTTTACTTCCCAATAAATAAACGAAGTACAACGTTATGCGAAATGAAACTAGTAAACTTTACAAAATTCAGTCCCGAATCAGGAGTTTTCCTTGTTTTTATAGAGCGAGAGGAAAAAAAGGAAAGAAAAAATGTGAGAAACCCGGGATTTCTGGTTAAAGATTTCTACGGAAATGATCTTAAAACACGGACATTGAATGGAATTTTGGTATCGAACTGGTCTTGATCTATAAATCCTACTTTTTATCCATGAAAAATTTGGAAAACTTAGAAAAATGGCGGAATTTTTTGATTTTTCCAATTTTTTCGTTCAAAAATCGGATTCCGATATTTAATTTTGATTTCAAACAGCTCCAAATATCATAAAAGTCCCATTTCTTTCAACTTCACCGACTTTTTTCGGCAAAAAAAATCCAAAAAAAATTCCTTTTTCAATTTCCATCCAAAAACTTCAAAAAAAAACCCTTCCCAAAATTCCGTTCAAATCCTCGGAGATTTTATACAACAAATGGTGGAAACAAAAGGAGTCGGATAAGAACAATATGGTAGGGTTGTTTACAGTACCTTTAACAATGCGAACCACTCAATGGAAATAATCGAAATAAATAGCGGGTATTGGAGACAAGACTTTAATGGAATCCAAAACAACGTTATAACTGAGGTCGGGGAGAGGGGGCGGCGGCGGAAAAGATCGTTATTTCATTTCTTGCGGTTCACGGCCGTCATTTGTTGCAGCGCTTGCATAAAGTTTTGTTGGCCGCTCAGTTGTCGCATCATTTGCTGTTGGTTGCCGCTCAGCAGGTGCTGCAGGGGGTTGGATTGGGACGTCGTGTTGGAGGACTGAGATCCGGACGAGGAGGAGTTGGCGGCCAGGAGTTGGGCCGCGAGGAACTGCTGCATTAATTGTTGTTGTTGGGTGGCCGATGAAGAGGAGCTCGTGTTCGATGAGTTGGAGCTTCGTTGCATCAGTTGCTGCAAAATAAAAGGTATTATAATCAAAAAATACAAAAAAAAAAAAAAAATTTTTTTGACTGTCCATTACATAACACTTTATACTCCATAAAAATCCCTATTCTACCCTAAACTCACTTCAACCCTCACAAATTTCAAAAAATCCCAAATTCTTACCGCCAACATTTGTGGATTTGACATTATTGCCGACAGCATCATGGGATTCGACCTGAGCATGCTCAGCTGATTGAGTTGTTGCATTTGTTGGGCCATTTGTGGGTTTTGGATCATGGCATTCATCAACTGTTGCATCTGCGAGTTGGTCGACGAGTTCGGTCGTTTTCGATTGGCCGATGACGAAGAAGACGTCGTGGGTGTCGCGGTCGGTTTCTTTAGGTCTTTGGAGCCGTTCATCGTGTTCCGGAGGGAATTCTGGAAGGATCTGGCGGCCAGAGAGGCGGGACTGGCGCCCGAACCAGCGGCGGCGGCCAGGGATGCGGCCGACTGGTTCAGGGCTTTCGCGGCGCCACTCAGACCGCTGAGGGCGGCGGCGTTGAAGTTGGAGGTGTTCTTGGAGGTCGGGGTGGAGATGCCGTTCGAGTGCGAGGAGGTGGCGGTCGAGGACGACGCTTCGTTGAACTTTCCGGCTTGCACTTGACGTTCGAACTCCTAAAATAAGGTAAAATAATGTAAAAAAATGTAAAAATCGTCAAATACGGGGGAAAATCCACATAGAATCCATTTACTTTTTTTTCAAAATTGGGGCTTCGGTAGTTGAGCCCCCCACGAAAGCTAGTTCAAACCCCCACTGTTTTGCCCGTTTCACACCCCACATAATGAACAAATTAGAATAATACAAAACATGTAAGTGGGGGTTTGATCTACTACGTTGGGGGTTTGATCTTAAACGTAGGGGGCTATTTCTAAAACGTAGGGGGCTTCATCTAAAACGTAAGGGGCTTCATCTCAAACATAGGGGGCTTGATCTAAAACGTAGGGGGCTTCATCTAAAACGCAGGGGGCTTGTTCTGGACCATACAACTTGGATTAATTCTTTGAAATAAATTTTGAGGTTCAGAATGGACGAGGGGGGTTGTACTGGGTCATGGGGGGCTAAACTGGACTGGGGGGCTGTACTACCTTAGCCCCTCAAAATTTTCTAAAATCTAATTTTCAGAATCAAAAAAAAAACAAACCCTTACCTTTTCTTGCTCCGCGATTTTCTGGAAGACCTTCTTGTAGAGACTTGTTCTCTCATTTCGGACCTTCCTCTTCTGTGCTTGTTTCACACACTGTTCACAATACACATGAAGATCTCCTTTGTCGCCGGCTATCGCCTTCCAATTGGGAGTAAAGTCGGTTCCGCATTCTTCACACACGTAGGGCTCAAATTCCACTTTTCTGAAAATGAAAAGGATAATCTAGCGGTTTTAAGAAGATAATTTATATTACACTGGACTTTTGATACTTTTTAATGCCACAAAAAACCCTTTTATCTTTACATCAACTTTCGACTACTTATTTATATTTTTCTTTCCATCAGTTACCTAAATTTCAAAAAAAAATCTCAAAAATCCTTACTTGAATACAGTTTTGTCCTTCAAGTTCCTCTGAACCACCAAATCCAGACCCAATAAGTAGCAAAAATCGGGTTGAGACGGGTTGGGAACAAAGCTCATATCATTCGAAGGCGCCTTCGGCGGGGCCAGCTGCAGTAGATGTTGTTCCAGATGCCGCCTGAGCTGGTTTCGTGCCGCGTTAATCTTCTGTTGCTGGGTTTGCTCGCTCAACTTGGCTTGACGTTCGGCCTCGAGTGCGGCGGCGGCCGCTGCGGCAGCGGCGTTCTTCCTTTCCTGCTCTTTTCGGGCCAACTCCGCCTTCTTGGCGAGCTCCGCTTCTCGCTCGCGTTGCTGCTCCTGTTGCTTTTGTTGGCCGGCGGCGAGTTGCTGAATGATTGCGTTGAACTGGGGGCCGGCCATGGTCGCGAGTTGTTGGATGTGTTCGGGTCGGAGTTGTTTGGACTCGAGGAGTTTTTGGAGGACCGCCTGCTGGCTGGGAGTGATCACTGGGACGCCGTTCTTCTGCGGCTTCGCGGGTCGGGTGGGTTTGGCGACGCCGTTCAGTTTGGCGGCGATTGGGGCAGCCATCGCGGGCTTGTAGGCGGCACCGGTCGAGTTTTGCGGGATGTTGGACATGAGCTTGGGGTCAGTCTGCAAAAAAATATATTTTCCATGTAAAAGCTGACAAGTTTCTGTGAGATTTTGGGCTTCAAATACTGCTCATGCCTTTCTTCAACTGTAGAACACCCTATGCACCAAAAAAAAACAAGAAAATCACTAAAAAACTGACCTGTAATGTCTTGGCAACGAGTTGTTTTTGTCTCGTCTTTTTCAACATGGCAAGTAGAGCCTCTTCATTCCGTAGAGCTGCTTCGAGTTCTTTCGTCTGTAATTCACGCTCTCTCGTCTTCTCATCGTTCATTCCTTCCAATTGGGACTGAAATTTCGATATTAATTATATTACTTTAGATGCCAAGTCTAAAATTCCCAAAAAATAATACAAATGCATACCTTATATTCTTCCCATTTTTCTCTAACTTGTTTTAGTTCCTCTTCGTTCAGCGAGGAAAGTTCACTGTCTTCTGTCATAGCCACAACATCACCATCTTCATCTACTTTTATTCCAAACGCGCAATCATATTGATCAAGGTTTGCGCCGCCGGAAAGCTTCCGTTTCTTCTTCTTTGGTGATTCTATTGTCTCAGCGTCGGCGGCTGCAGTTTTGATGGGGAGATCAGGCAATGGATCCGTGTGCGAAACACCATTTTGGACCTGAAAAGATATTAGGTAACAGATGAATAAAGCAGATATGAAACAAGTACCAGTTAAATTAAAAACAAGGCTTTAGTTTTTGATTCAAAATAAATCTTATTCAAGAAGTTCAATACAAAAAATCTCCAAAACAAACAATTTTTATATCAGAAATGGTCATGAACACTTTCCTTTCTAGTAGAACATACACCGCAAAAAATTGATAAAACCATCAAAATACTTTTTTCACCTCCTAAAAGACACAAACAATAATTTTAAGGCACTTACAACCTGTGAGTCGACCATTCCGTCCTTGTGTTTGAGCTTTTTCTGGGCCTGCAAGGCACTCACCCGGGTCGATCTTCGGAGCGAGTTCTCAGCTAGATCCGCTTCTGAAGACGCCTGAAACAGATTTCATAAGTCTTGATTAAAATTTTCAATCCACGTGTTTTTATCAACTAACAAGTCTTCGGGTAAAACAGAGGTCGATTTTATATTATACATGGCCGAAAGGGGAGAAATGAGGAAATTACCAAAAATCCAGTGGATTAGTGAGAAAATTGGAGCGGAGCATGATTGTAAAGTTAGCAAAATAACGCTACGGAGTGTTATGTTGGCTTCGTGGAAATTGGACAGAGTGAAATTCGACAGAGTGAAATTGGACAGAAATAATTTGGACAGAGCGTGGAAATTGGACAGGGTGAAATTGGACAGAGTGAAATTGGACAGAGTGAAATTGGACAGATTTTCGCTGCAATCGTACGAAATGTCAATATTGAGCCATCAAATAATTATTTTTTGCAGTGAAAAAAATCTGTCGAGTTTCACTCTGTCCAATTTCACTCTGTCCAATTTCCACGCTCTGTCCAAATTATTTCTGTCCAATTTCACTCTGTCCAATTTCACTCTGTCCAGTTTCCACGAAGCCGTTATGTTAGGCAGAAAGACGAGAAATTACGCAAGTGCATAAGATTTAACGTTTTATGGATTTAGACGTAAATTTTGAATCTATCCGGCTGCTGTTGAGGAAAACGTCTAATTTGGCGGTAAAAATTTCTGCTACACACTTTATGAGTAGTACTGCAAGCAGGAATTTAAAAGTTCTCAAAATTCGAAGATCTAAAGCTCGTCATGATGACGTATTTTCTGGAAATCACTTATAAGCCCTAAAGAAAAACTTGGAAAACAGGACAGTGAGAGATCGTTTGCAGTAAACAAATTCCAAACACGGGACTTATAAGAAAGAAAGTTCTCGAATCCTTGGATTGGCAAAAGTCGAAAATGACGGGATTTCTGGACTCCGAAATTAAGGTGAACTTTGAAAGTAAACAAAAGGGTCCGCATCTTGGCTGTTATGAAATGAAAAGGGCATAGCGAGGTCATAAAATTGGGTGTGAGATATTTAATAAGATTTTTTTTTGGTTAATGACAACTTTCGTCTCAAGGAGAAGAAAAAATTTGGGAGGAATGGGGATAAAGTGGATGAAAAGTTGAGTCATAAGGACGTTCTTATGTCTCCGAAGGGATAAAAATCATTTTCAATGGATAATAACCCAAATTTGTTTTTTCATGCACTGTGCGAACAAAACCAAAAATTTTGCACGGTGCAGTGGAAAAATGTAGGCTGCACTGTGCAAAAAATTTATTCGGGATTTTTCTCTTCTGCACAGTGCAGCCAAAATCTTGCCGCAAAGTGGGACAAAAAGAAAAATTTGCACAGTGCATAAATTTCAGTGTAATAAAAGATTTTGCACTGTGCATTTTATTGCGAACGCTCAAAAAGTTCCGACCGCACAGTGCAGTCGCCATCAAAGCCTTCGATGACTAAAACTAACTTCAAAACGAATCCAAATCCGGAGCATCCGGTAATAACGCGCTTGTAAATAACCAGACTGACTTGGAGGTGACGCGACGCCCCTCTGCCCCACCGAAAAATATTCTCGGACATTTGGAGAGTTAAGAGAGCGAATTTCGGTGTTTGAAAAGGAGAAGAATGAGCAATTCTTTCTGGTTGGCGTCGCGCATCGCTCCGGAGCAGGTGTGGAGGAGAAAAAGCGGGGATTTGTGCTGCTTTTGTGCGTGTTATGAGATGAGTAGGCTCGGGAGTGCGGAGGAATGGGTGTTAAGGGCCAGAACGGCCTCCCAACAAAGGCGGTGGAGTCGGCGTTTTTAATCGGCCGCTGAGTTTCGCCGCTTTCTCAAATTTTAAAACTGTAAGCCCCGAGGCCATGAGGATGCTGTGTAATAGAAACTACACTCCAAATTTTTTTTACAACCTCAAAAATACATTCGAGCTTTGTATTTAAAAAAATCTTCTCGAAAAATCCCAACAATTCCAAAATTTCTTCAAACTTTTCCAAAATTTTTGCCTAAAACAACGAAAAATCCTAAGAAAATGGTAAGAAAAGAGTCCAGCACAAAGATAGAATCCATTTTTAAAAACTTTCAATGCTTTGTTCCCACTAATCGCACCAAAAAAGTAGGAAAAACTCCAACGGTGCGCGGACCGACGAAAAAACCCTTGGTCTGGATGATTTCGCGCCAAATTAGATAGCCATCTAAACACTCACCAAAAGTCTAGATCGTAATTGATATATACAATCACTTTCCCATCTTAATTTCAGGTCAAAAAATTCCAAAACAACTGATTTTTAAATTAGGGGTGCACAGTGCAGGCAAAAAATTAAATTTGCTGCACAGTGCAGAGGGATTGCTGAAATTTTTTTTGAGTGCAAGTGGTTGTCGCAGAAAAATATTTTCTTGAATTTCGGTCGCACTATGCAAAATTTTTTTCCACTTTCCGCACAGTGCATTCAAAATAAAAATTTCGCCGCACAGTGCGAGAGAAGTCCAAAATCTCTCAGAAATAATAAAGGAAATGGATAAACTATGCACACAGGCGGCCTTGCCGATTGCCATCGCCAATCCCATAAACAAGAATGGTGTATAAAATTCGAAGCGAGAAAATGGGGCCAAAAGAACGCGCTGCAAATCAAGGACCGCACTGTGACAGGTGCAACGGACAAGAGGGGTGGAATATATGACCGCGTAAACTTATAAGTCGGGCTGGAGAAAACGAATGACTCGGCAGCCAAATAAACGATGATCCGGACAAAGGCGGAGTTGCGCAATCGTCGGGCTCAAATTGGAATGAGAATCATATTTTGGGTGGAGGGAAACCGACGTTTTTTTGAAAAGGAGACTTGATAGGTAAGAAGACTCTACGTTTACGATCTACCAGTTAAAACAACAGCCATTTCGAAATTTTGATGACTTAAAAGGGTTTGGAGAATTTTGGGAAATTTCGGAAAAAATATCTGAGATGACCAAAATCTTGATCGAAAAAATATTTTACAACCATTATACAGCTGTTCGAATACGATTGGATCGTTTTTTGCTTGAAATTTGCAAAAAAATTGAGACTTTCCGAATTTTTTTTTAATGTCATGAATAATATGTTTTTGTTTCGTTGATGCCCTAAATCACCTAGATTACCGCCAAATCGATTTCTAGCTGATGCTGGTCTCTTATCGCTTCCATAAAAACATAAATTCCACCAACAACATTTTTGGAAAACTTGAAAACAGAAGTTTTTCCCAATGTTATCCTTGGCCTCATGGATAAAGTGGGGGTTTTGCTCCGCAATTACCCTGAATCGAACTCAATTCGATTGCAAGTCAATTTCAAGCACCAACTGGTCCTTTATCCCTGCCATAACAACCCAAATTCCATCCCTGTCCCATGGCGCTGGCCCCCATAAACCGCCGCATTTTGTCGTCGCCAAAAAATTAAATAAGCTCGAAAAGAATTTAGAATGGGGGGTTAGTTTTCTTCAGGCCAAAACACCCCTCAAAAAAGCGAATTTTTTTGTTTGAATCTCTCTTCTCTTATAATGTATGTAGAAGTAAGTGAAGTGACGAAACTCCGGAGCCGGGCAATGCTCCGGGACATAAAGAACCCGAAAATTGTGTGTTCTTATGGTCTTCTCTCCTTCATTTCGCCTCCAAAACGAAGCAGCCTGAACAGCCAGAGGAACGAGCGGATCGGTGCGAGCAATTCCACGGATCCCGCGACATCCGAAGGCCTCGCGATCTTGAAAATCAATGGGGAGAGCACCTTTTATATTCACCTTGATAGAGGTGGTCAAGGTGAACAAAAAATGAAATTCCTCAAAGAATTGATGTCCAGACATCTCAAAAATGGTCTAAAAATTCTATTCGCTCTCAGTTTTTGGAGAAATTGCCCAAAAATTGAAAAATTTTAGCAAAATGCCCTGAGGGAAAATTTTTGACTTCTCCATTAAAAAGAAAATTTTAACTGTTGAAGGTGTCTAACATGCATTTAAGATTTTTTTCATACCTCCTAGCCCCATCGGAGTAAAACAACCTGGAGAAATTTTCTTTTTTATGTCATCACCTCCTAGTACAACATAAACGGGAATCAAAAAATAAACCAATGAGCTTCAGTTGGAAGTTTCGAGGGCTCAACAGGACCTCAAGAATTAATGCTTAAGAACCTCTCAGCCTGACGCAGCCCGCATTTCCTTGCGAATTAACATCAGAACTTTGTCGAGGCTGAGGAGGGCCGGATGAACAATCTCGCTTGGGCCGTTTGGTAGAAAGTAAGCGGCGCACTTTACGCATGAATAAAGTGTAGGCCGTCTTCGTCTCCTCCTCGGCCAACAAACCTCTCGACTTTTGTGTGTGGCGTTTATTTATGGAGGGGGGCATAAGTGCGGGAACCGGTCCGATTTTCTTGTCCTTGGGCCCGGAATTGGATGGCATTAGGGTGGAGGAAAGGGGGATGGGTGCGCGTGGCGGCGGATTAGGAGCCAGCTTCGGTGACCTGTTTTTGTATTCAAACACACAAAAGAGAGGTTCTCGGAAAGCTCGAGGCCAATTTTGGGTCTCAACACGAAAACCGGGAACGTCTCGAAAGCCGGCTATACCGAGTAATTTTAGGCTATTTGAAATGGGAGACAATTTTTTCCCCCAAAATAGGAAAATTTCCAAAAATCCCCGAAGTTAAATTTCTTGTATAAAATGTCGCCTATTCCTTCAAAATATTTCAACACTGATTTAAACCCAAGGTATTTAAAATACGACTGAGCCACATCGACCAAAAAACGCCTTCCATTACTCAAAAAACTCCAAAATAATTTTCTTTCGTATAAAATGTCACCCGCCACAAATCGAAAAAATCGAGATACAGAAGGAAAACGTAATTTGCAGAAGCTCCAAGCGAATCAATTATACAAAAACAACAGAAATTAGTGTATCCCCAGCAACGTAGTGCGGGAAAGTGAAGTAAAAGATCTGCAAAAACGGATTCGAACCGTTGAAAAACGGATTCTTCCGTGGAAATCCAGTCATCTTCTACGAGCCTATTTTGAACAAAGTCTAAATTGAGAAAAACCACGGTCGTTACATCCGCAAATCAGTTGCTATAGTCATTTATATTACTTAAGACCGGATAGAGAGCTTTCAGGCTGATCTCATGAGTAATATCATCGCTATTTCGAAGACTTAAGGTCTTCGAATCCGAGAACAGAGTCCCTGGTTATGGAAGCCGCCGGTCCGCTGGCTGTATAACATAACAAATGCGCGTCGGAATCGATTCAATGGGATAAGATTTGGGGCTGGTTGGGTGGGGATTTAGGGGAGGTCATAAGGAAGTGCGAAGAGAGTAAAGAGAAAAAAGGTAAATGGAACGAAATGGTATGAAAAGGAACTTTCCTCTCGCTTCGCTTCTCCGGACATCAAAAAATATTGGATATCGGATCAAGAAAAACAAAAGGATTGGCTTTGATCAGTGGGACAAGGATAATATTCGGATTTTTAGAGGTTTAGAGAGTTTTGAGAAGAAAGGAAAGGATTGTAAAATACGCGCGGTAAATTTTTTTATAGTAGAATAATTTTCTTTTAATTTCGATTGTTCTAAAATACGAAAAATAATTTTCTTCTAAACTCCACCTAAAGCTCCAAAAATTTTAAAAAATGCCAAATTTCGTCCAAAAAATGGACAAAAAAGTAACGAGTAATTTTTTCCCCAGCTCCAAAAACCCTGCAAATCCAGTGATCTTAAAAAATTCCGCTTGAATTTTTCGTGGAAATCCATGAAACTTGCTACAAAGCCAGGGGCGATAAATATTGAAAAAAGCTTCGGTTCGCATTCCATGACGTCACAATAGCGTAACTCGTAAATATATAAATAGCCAGGAGGGATAGATACTTTTTCAAGACTATTTTAGGAATTCTAAAGGCGTCGGAAATATAGGAAAAATTCGAAAAATAATTTTTTGCAAAACTACAAAAGAAATGATGATTTTTCGGAAGACTGATGACTCAAGAGTCCGCTGAGCTGGCGGACCGGTGACTGACCACTGGTCAGTCTTGTTCAGTCATCACGGAACTCTAGGCGATCCAAGGATTCAATGATTTTTCGATTCGAATTTGGGAAAGCCCAATATATCAAGTGTAAAAAAAGGTTGGGCCGTTTGCGTGTTATTGATTTCCCACGTACTATCTCTACATGGGGGTAAAAGACGCCCAGCCCACACTCTCGCACACAACATAACGGGACCCGATGAGTAGGCTCGAGGATAGGGAACAACAAGGAATAAAGAATTTGGGGCAGTTGGAGGACTTTTAAATGAGCTGGATTGAGGCGCTTTTTTCGGATGCAAAAAGGACGAAGGAAACACTAGGGGGGAGAAGAAACGACGACGCGGCTGAAAGGTTTGTGAACATAAATCGATGACCTCTCAATTTACTCACCGGCTCTTCTCGGGGCGGCGCTCTGGCTGCTCCTGTGCCACGCAATACTCTCTCCCAAAACAACTATACTCCTTTTATGCGCGCTA